ACGGCATCGACCGTCAGGCCGGGAGACAGTGGGAAGAAGAGAAGATCGAGGGGCGTCGGCCGTCGGGGGGACGCACCNGGGGTTTATATAGATGGGCGGGCTCCGCAGGAGCGGGCAAAAGCGGCCAGGGCCGGCGCTACCCCCCAAACAGGTCACATCGGCCCTGTCTAAGCCTGATCGGGCAATCAGATCACCCTCGGGGGCAGGCGGTGAGGGGCGGCAGATGGACCGTGCAATGGCGGCCGTTTCCGGCGCCCCGCTAACCGTCTCATCGTATACTTATTACTTCTTTTTATTTGATTGAAAAAAAAGGTTAAAAAAAAGGTACTCTGGAGTAATATTTAGTGCAGGTGGATCTTTCTATTGTTTTCTATTGTTTGTTCAGTCCAACCACATTATTTTTTCTATCATCGAATTAATTAATTAATTAATTCCTCGACATGGATTGATAATAAACAATAGATGGCATAGTATGGCTGATCTACATACATAAATACATACATATCTGTGTATTCAAGTTAGACTTTGTAGATTTCGTCAATCACCAGTGCTTACACACGTAAAATATTTATATTTTCGTTGGAGATTTTAATCTAGCAAGACAATCAAGTGGATAATGTAATATATTTGACTCTCATTTAAGAACAAGTCAATTTAATCCAGCTGAAACGAAAATCATATCAAACGGAATATACAGGGTATCCACCTCGCCTAGGGCCACAACATGCAAGAGACAAAGAAGAAAAAAATTATAAGTTCATAAGAGTGGGAAATGTTTACAGGACAGCCACCTGCGAAAGTTGCCGCGTTCCATAGTGTATCGATGTTGCAGGGTTATATATAACCAAGACATCGATAAAGTTGATGACTCGTGAGTAGAAGGAATGACGATGTTAGGATCTGTTTATTTGTTGCCGTTCAAATACTTCTCTGGAATCTTGGGAACGGCAGGTGGCTCCGCTGGAGTCTCGTCGTCCTCTTCGTCGTCCATCTCATCGAGATCCACCTGTTTACTAAGCGAATCATCAGCAAGGTCCAGTATGCACGACCCAAAACGATCACTTACCCCAAAAGCTCCTTGATGTTTTTCATCTCGTAGTGCTTCTTCCGCCGCTCCTCAAACTGACGGTGCTTCTCCTTGGCTTCCTCACTCGTCATCAGACGCTCTCCCTCCTCATCACCGCCGGAGATGCTTTCGTTATCCACCATAACGTGCTTCTCGCGAAAGATCCTCTTCTCCTCGCCCTGGTCGGCTGCCTGGAAATCCTCCTCCGGTTCACCGAGCTCCAGGCTAGGGATGTCACTTTCGCGCTCAATCTTGTTCTTTTTACGTGCGCCATCCACCTTGTCGAGTTCATCGACGACCAGGTCTTGCGCATCCAGCATCCGCTTCTGGGCCTCTCCTTCTATGTCGTCCTCATCCTCGTCTTGTGACGGGTCATAGCGGGGCACATAGGGCGTCTTTGGCTCGTCAATCTTCATCTTGGCCGTTTTCTCCTGTTCGGTCAGGTAGAGATTGGCCTCGTCCCACTTCAGCCGCTGGGGGTGCTCGTCCTGCCCGGTAGCGCTCGAACCCGACAGGCGTCGGGAAGTCGAGGTGCGACGGGCACTCGACGAGCGGCGGCGGCCGGCATTCTGGAGGGTATTCTGGAGGGTGAGTTCTTTGTTGTCAACAGAGTCCACAGGCAGTGGTTGGGGGGTTTCGTCGGACCCCTGTGCGTTAAGGGCGACTTTCGAAGGTGCGTTCTTCAAGATGCCTACAAATCATCAGCCTTAACTTCCTCGACCCGCTTCAACAGTGTCTAATGTGCATCTGCTTCACACACCCTTTGGCTTCTTGGGCGCTTCGCCTGCACTGGGCGGCTCGTGGGAGACGGTCATGGCGGCGGATGACTGCGGGGCACAAGAAAAAGCAACACAAAGGTGTATGCTTGGAAAGGTGGCAATCGGCTGGGGCTTAATACATAGCACCAGGCCCGGCAGAAACTGGTCCAGTTGCAGGGCGAGGGTATCTCACAGCACTGACGACTGCCTGGCGGTGTCGAGGCTAGCCAGCGGTCCGGTGGGATTCGGGCTGAAGAGCTGAAGACGGCTGGGTTGCAAAGCCAGAAAAGCGCGAATCCACGCTACCAGCAGATTGCAGGCGTGTCGGAGTGATTTATCGTCAGGGTGCTCACGAGAGAAGCGAGATCGAGCGACAGGACATATGCCGGACACGGAGATGGAAGGGTGGCGAGTTCTTTTTGCTTGTTCTCTTTCTTTCTGGCTGTTCCTGGCCCTCACGTGGGGTCGCTGCCGTTGGGCGGGTGATGACGTCGATCGAGCCCAACCACAGACAGGCCAGATCGCGATAGGCAGAGCCACCGCTCCACCGCTGGATGGGAGAGGTTTCCACCCTCAAGTCGCTTATGAAGGACCGCCTGTGGGCCTGAGCATCATACGGAGTAGCGATGGCAATGTGTACCTCTCACGTGACTGTGTAGATGGAACTGATTATTCTAATTCTACCACTGAAAGAATTGCTGCTGCTTTCTGCTGTGGTCGAAATGCCTGTATAAAGCAGGGGACTTGTCGATCTGATCAAAGGCGATTCCGATATCTGCAGCTGCACAAGGTGAGTCGATTAGGTCATTTATATAGAAATATATAAATAAAAAGAAAATCAAGATGAAAAGAGAAAAAAAAATATCATTCCGGTTCGATCAGGGACCTCTATTGGAGAAGTCATACAATAGTCACTATACAACTCATAACAAACCCTATATATTCAACCGAAACAAGTAATAATGACAACAACAGTAGATAAGGACTGGTACACGTACATTGCACACAAGAAGGCAGTCACTAGAATGACAAAAAAGAAAGAGTTTGGCCTGTAAGGCTTGTATACTAGGGAAGCAGTTCACTAAATTGACTACCACTAACTAGTTCAGCTAGAGCATTCCGCCATCGTCCGCCGCAATTGCGTTTTCAACGTCCATATCGACGGAACAAACAAGATGAATGGCATTATCCAATAATCTCGCCAAGCTCTTCGTTAGAGCCAGTGACTTGATCCCTATGCGGCTAATACAGATATCAACCTTGGCGGATTAATCATTTCATCCCGCAGAGAGAGCCTCTCGCACGCCGCCAGATACAAGACCCGTCATGATGGTAGTCAGAAACTATCAATATCCAACGCCCTGATTGAAGGAAAAATTCGCAAGCTCGAATCCGATCTATCGACATAGTGCATTATGAGGACAGGACTCCGCAGGACTCCGATCCTTTATATCTGGAACTTATTATTTACATATTCATGATGGAAAGAACTCACAGTCAACAGAAAATATCCCCCCCGGCCTTTATTCGATTTGATGTGAGACTGGCACAATGGGAAAAATCCCCAAGTTCTCCAATGTCCACCTCATCACGGGGCTGGCCACCATCGGTGGCTTGATCCAAGGGTTCGACGTGTCCAGCATGTCTGCCATCATTGGTACGAAGCAGGTAAGTAAGAAGTTATTATCCCAGAGAAATAAATAAATATCGAGCCCTGACCGATCCAGTACAAATCCTACTTCCACAATCCGAATTCCGTGCTGCAGGGTGGAATCACTGCCAGCATGGCCGGCGGCTCCCTGCTGGGCTCCATCTTTTCCACCTTCATCAGCGACCGGTTCGGTCGGAGGGATTCGCTCTTCGTTGCCTGCGTCATTTGGATCATCGGGTCGACCTTGATGTGTGCGGTTCAGAATGTTGCCATGTTGATTGTTTCGCGCATGATCAATGGCTTTGCTGTGGGTATTTTTACCAGTCAGGGGTATATATATATCTATCAACTATATACCATGAATTTTTGATTTCCCATATTGATCGTGGAATTTGCAGTCCTATTCTCATTGCGGAGATTAGTCTGCCTCGTTCTCGTGGTCGACTGATCTCTTTTCAGCAATGGATGATCACCTGGGGGGTAGGCGTGCATCCAGTGCGGTGAAAAAAACATTGTTCGAGAGTCCTAACACAATGACAGGTCCTGATTATGTACTATGTGACCTACGGAACTTCTTTCCTCAAGGGAAATATCTCCTTCCGGCTTCCCTGGGGCCTGCAGATGATTCCGGCAGTGGTTCTCCTTGCGTGTCTGCCTTTTATCCCACGCTCTCCTCGTTGGCTGGCCAGTAAGGACAGGTGGGACGAGGCGATTGAGATTCTCGCCAATCTCCATGCCCGGGGCAACAAATTGGATCCCATTGTTGTTGCACAGGTCCGCGAGATCCAGGAGAAAATCGAGTAAGTCGGCCATTGCTGGAATACGACACACTCTGACGAAAGTGCTTGCATCAATATGTAGGCTGGAACGCCAGAACAAAGACCTGTCATGGCTCGAGCTGTTCAAGCCACGCAATGTTGTTCGCGTCCACTGCGCCATTTTCACCCATATATGGTCGCAATATACCGGCACGAACGCCATGATGTATTACATCGTGTATATCTTCCAGATGGCCGGTCTGACGGGCAACGCCACCCTTCTGGCGGCTTCGATCCAGTATGTCATCAGCGTTGGGATGACGATTCCGGCACTGCTGTTCATCGACAGATGGCCTCGCCGCCGCTTGATGATGACGGGCTCTTTTCTCATGGCCGTGCTGCTCTTCACGGAAGCTGGGCTCATGGCATCCTACGGCCATGCCGTTCCAGGAGGCTTGAACGGCGTCTCGTCCGTTACGTGGCAGGTCACAAATCCGCGAGCGTCGAAGGCAATCATCGCGTGTTCGTACTTGTTCATTGCTGCATATGCACCAACATGGGGGTCAGTATCGAAGGCAGGAGTCTCAGTGATGGCACACTTGCTAACACTTCTCTCGTGTATAGGCCTGCGGGATGGTAATTCTTGCATATCTGATCTTCTCAACCAGCTTCACTGCTAATACTGTCGTCAGGCTCTATCCTGCCGAAATCATTCCCCTGTACATTCGCAGCAAGGCCGTGTCCTTGGCGACAGCATTCAACTGGGCTGGGAACTTTTCCCTCACATTCTTCACGCCTCCTGGTTTCGAGAATATCCAATGGAAGGTGTGTAAATGAGCATGGAGGCTGGTTGTTTTGAAACAGCTTAATGGTGGTGGCTGACTCTGGATCGGCAGGTGTACTGTATCTTCGGCACGTTCTGCCTCTCCGCCCTGATCCACGTGTTCCTTCTATTCCAGGAAACCCTGGGCAAGTCACTGGAGGAGATGGACGACATTTTCAACAACGAGTCCATCTGGGCGTTCAAGGTCCGGAACAAACCGAGCCGGTTCGAAGCGGTCGTTGAGACTGCCAAGAAGGAGCTTATTGGAGCAGGTGAAGGAGGTGTTGAGGCCAACAGGATTGGGGATTTGCCAAAGTCAGTGCCGGTGTGAGATGTATCTCACTGAATCAATCTTGTCAGGCACTCATTTCTTGTCTGGACCGTTTGATAGTGGTAGCCCATTCTCCAAACCCAAGGTCCCGGTCTTAGGATAGAATATCGCCATTCTCTTAATTAAGTAATCTTCCTTCCACTTTTGGTAAGCTCTGACAGGATGTGTTCCAAGGCAGATGAGAATAGCAAGAAACAGCACTGAGGTTCGCATACAAGACAAGGATGTTGCACTACAGCATGTCAACGCCGATCCCTGAACCTTAATTCGACATCAAAGATTATTATCCAGGACCGTGGTGTACAGTCAATGAGTCTAACTGGCTACCAAGTCATGATTTGTTTCGGAACTTGTGACAGGTCAGGCCAGGCAGGACAGGAACATCGTTATTCCAGCGTGGCCTGACTGACTCGTGTTCCAGGAAGGAGAGACGGAATTTCCTAGTGTGGCACCTGATACTGCAGTGTCTGCTGATTGGTCAGCAGCCACTAACCTAGTTTAGGCATTCGCAGGCTGACAATACGGAGTATGTACGGAGTAACTATCTCTTCCCGCCGACTCGACCCATGTGCTATACTGCTTTATATATCGCCTTTGGCTTCTTTCTACAAAATAAATAGTAGTATGGTCCACAGATAACTGGAACCTGTGGGGGAATGCTTGCTTATCCTCTGTCGAGACTAGCAGTTGTTTTGAGTTCATGCAAGGAGGTTCGTAGATCCGTTTCAGGAATTTATCTCCCGCCATGGTTAAGCTTTTCTATTGGCCTTGTCTGGGCCAGGTCAACACCAGTATTACACTTGTTTCGAGAGTCTCGCGGCCAGAATCGGGGAAGGCGTGCCGAGTGTTTGGAACCAGATTTATACAAGTGACTGGCAATATGTCATCAACAGCCTTCTACGGAGAACTGACTGTTGATCGATTGTTCATGCCCGGTCTAGTGATTGCTAGATACCTGGCGCTCCTTGCATGGTGGCATAGTTATCAATCAATTGGGAAAGACAACGTAGTAATCAGTGAGCTGAATAATCCAGATCGTCTAGAAGACAGGAATGTTAGCAAGTGCATACCTGAGGTCGCTGCTGGCGGACTTGACACCTCATCAGGGGCACAGATGGACGCCCGCCATTGGGTCTGGCAGCCCCCCTGGAAGCACAGACAGCTGGCCACGCCGCGACTGGAAGAGGACTAGCCGTCTCACGTGAGGAGCCAGGCCCCGTCACGGCTGACCCGCTGCTGCCCCAAGCTCCCCTGAGCTTATGAGGAGATCAATCTATTTCTTATTTATCTCCGTCTCCCAGGGTCTGCGCCGCGCCTCCTAACTCTCCCCCTACATCCTGTCCTCCTGAGACGCGGCATCCCTCATCGCACCACTAAGCGCATTGCCTGACTGCTGTCCTGACATCAGCAGCTGTTGTGACCATCGTAAGCTATCCCCTGACTGTTTTCTCTCCTTATCGCAGAGCGGTTCGCTGGCTATTTCTCGCCCCTGTGTAACACCCATACCTTCCTGCACAGTCGCTTTTCATTCCCTTTTTATCGCTAGTAACGTGTCAGCTAACTCCTGCTTCGATCGCAGATAAACAGTACCAAATTCTATTACTGAACCATGTCAGCAGAGCCTGCCGCCCAGGAAACGCCTCAGGCGGTCCCTGAGGCACAGACCGCCGAGAAGACGGTCGCATCTGTGTCTGAGGTGAAGCCTGAAGAGAAACCGGAAGAGAAGCCGGAGGAGAAGCCGGAGGAGAAGCCTGCCGAAACTACCCAGGAGCAGCCTGCTGAGGCCACGACCACTGCCAATGGCTCTGAAACCGCTCCTAAGGATGAACCAGCGCCCAAGAAGGACGAGAGCGCGGCGACCGCGAAGCCCGAGTTTCTGACCAAAAACCCCGCCCTGAGCCAGTTCTTCGACCGTCTTCCTGCCATTCTCGAAAAGACCGGCCACACGGAGATGTGGGGTGTTCCTCTGAAGGACTTCAACGACCCGCCCACGGCCAACGTCCTGATCAAGTTCCTTCGCGCCAACGAGGGTAATGTCAAGCAGGCCGAGGAGCAGTTGACCAAGGCCCTGGAGTGGCGGAAGAAGTTGAATCCTTTGGACTTGGTCGAAAACGCCCGCTTCAGTGCCAAGAAGTTTGGTGGTCTGGGATACATCACCACCTACAACGACCCCAAACACGGAAAAGTGATCATCAACTGGAACATTTATGGCGCGGTCAAGGACATTAACAAGACGTTTGGTGACTTCGATTCGTAAGTTGTTCTCCAGATGCACCCTATGAGAATACCCTGTCGCTGACTGTCAACAGGTTTCTCAAATGGCGTGTCGCTCTGATGGAGCTGGCGGTCAAGGAACTGAAGCTGGAAGAGGCGACTTCGGTCATTGACTACAACGGCGAAGACCCCTACCAAATGATTCAGGTTCACGACTATCAGAACCTGAGCTTCCTGCGTCTGAACCCGACCATTCGCAACGCTTCGAAACAGACCATTGATATTTTCTCTACGGCGTACCCCGAACTCCTCCGGGAGAAGTTCTTCGTAAATGTTCCTGCCATTATGGGTTGGATGTTCGCGGCCATGAAGGTGTTCCTCAGCAAGAACACCATCCGCAAATTCCACCCGATCACCAACGGGGCAAACCTCGCTCGCGAATTCTCGTTCGGTGACGAGCTGCCCAAGACATATGGTGGCAAAGCTCCCGAACTGAAGGAGAGTGGCCGAACGGTTCCACTTGAAGATGACACTGCTGAGCCAGCCAAGGAGGAGGAACCTGCGAAAGAGTCAACTAAGGAAGAGGCCAAGGAAGAAACTCCCAAGGAGGAAACTTCCAAGGAGGAAGCTCCGAAAGAGGAGGCTGCCAAAGAAGAGCCCGCGAAAGCGGAACCGGCCAAGGAGGAGCCTGCGCCGGCCACCGAAGCCAAGGACGGACCTGCCAAAGAGGAGCCGAGCAAGGAGGAGCCGGTCAAAGAGGAGCCAGCAAAAGAAGAGCCAGCTAAGGAGGAACCAGCCAAGGACGAACCTGCAAAAGATGAATCGGCTAAAGAACCGGCCAAGGAGGAGCCGGCCCAAACCGAGTCTGCAGCTGCCGAGGCTGCTCCTGAGACCAAATGAGCTCTTGAATGGCTCGTTGTCAGTGCTATTGAGATACCCGATCCTTCGAATGGAGGACTGCAAGGATGCTTGGTTCGATGATGTTTTGTTTCGGTGTCTGATCTTCCACTACCGGAGACTAATTTGCGGACATGTGGTAGCTAATGTGGTACGTGAATTGTGACTGGTCGACCACTCACCTTGCGGCTCAGGAAACGATCAGTTGATTTGATACCCCGGATGGATTGCAGCGTTGTGCATGCTTTGAAGATGTTGGGTTTCCAAGAATGTTTGTAGACAATACCACATTGCTATTAGTAGGATATTGGGAGGGAAAACAATATAATTATACTTAATACTATTCACTTTAGAAAGCCCCTGAGATAGATAAAAGGTAATAAATATTCAGCAGACTTAATCTCAGTTGACATTGGTGAAGCTCATCCCGGTTGGAACACACCTACCTATTCCTTGAATCCTACAAATACCACTAGTATTAATCTGTACGGAGAAGTTTCAACAGCATGATCTCGATACCTTCTCCATGTGGCATTGCCGCATGGATCCCATTGATCAACAAGAGAGAGCATGGGCCCTGCCGATCACGGCCAAGCCAGCCAAAGTCAATCAACAAGGTTCGAACGATACTCTCCCATAAGTTTAATATTAAATTAATATTAATTAACACGGACTAATGATGATCGAGTCGTGAATTAATTAAGGTTGAGGAGGACTTACTTATCTTGGTAGGTAGGTTAGGTAGGTAGGTAATTAATTAAAGGAAGACGCTTGGATGCAGGAAATTATTAAACTCTATGCTCTATACGGAGTACTTCGTCCAGCTGACTATCTATATATCGATCTCCCTGTTTGTTGTCGCTTTTTGCTATATCCCTATTTGGATAGTCATTTTTACGGACATGTCAGTGTTAAGATAGCCAGTCAGTTTCTTAGCCGAGTATAGCTAATAATATAGGGAGTAATAGCGGACATTATTTTGTCTTTGCTTTTTTTTTTCGGTTTTTGATCTCTCTCCAGCTGTATGCTGTATCTAGAGCAGGGATATTTGATTTCCTATGGCGGGCCGGCCTCAATTTCAAGGCCTACTGAGACGGGAAGAAAAGTAGAGATGGGTAGGACAGGACCCTGCAAAATACGACTGTGGAAGAATTTCTGACGTTCTCACATAGTTGGTAACTGAAGAATAATTAGCAGTTTATTCTTGAAATCAATTGTACGGTCGACTCTGCAGACGTATTTCAGAGTATAAGACGCGCAATACTATTGGTGGGATGTTGGGCGGTACGGGGAGGCAGAATCCCTCGAGATGCACTGCAGCTTTCCATCGCCGCCGACTTCAGTTCGATGGATACGGAGCTGTCTGACCAAGCTGTGAGTGAACCAACCATCAGAACTTCACTGGGGCTGAAGACTTCTCTTGTCCTCACAGAGAGCCATATCGCCAGTTCACATCTGTGAGCGTTTCGTCGTTTCCCTCTAGTTCTGTCAGCATGCCTCTTGTCTTCCTCCAGCCTTTTTTCTGATTGTCCTCCCGCATCTTTGACCTGTTTGCCTTCCCACTTCCCTGAAACGCTCTCTGAAGAGGTTTACACGGAAAAAAGAGTATTTTCTGTGACTTGTCTACTTGACGATCACCTTTCTATCGGCTCACCATGTCCGTCTGGAATCCGGACAATATCCGCGACGTCGCCGAGTCGGTCGGCATTGCCAACCTCAACAACGACGTGGCGGACAATCTCGCCCGCGATGTCGAGTACCGCATCGCGCAGGTGCTGGAGGAGGCGCTCAAGTTCATGCGACACGGTCGACGCACCGTGCTGACGACCCAGGATATCTCGAATGCTCTCCGGGTGCTGGACGTCGAGCCGCTGTACGGGTACGAGTCGACGCGGCCACTCCGCTTCGGAGAGGCTTCGTTGGGTCCAGGACAGCCCCTATTCTATGTCGAGGACGAGGAGGTCGATTTTGAGAAGCTGATCAATGCCCCGCTGCCGAAGATCCCGAGGGAGGTTACTTTTACTGGTAGGTTTCCATACTCTAGAGCCTTTTTTTTAAGGGGTGGTACTGAGATTGGCCATCGAACAGCACACTGGCTAGCCGTCGAAGGCGTACAACCCTCCATCCCGCAGAATCCTACGTCGGCTGAGTCGCGCAATCTTGAACTGGTGTCGAAGGGCCCGAATGCGAACCCCACCTTGGCGGCGATGAGCGGGAACCAGAACGTGGCCGTGAAGCCTTTGGTGAAGCACGTCCTGTCCAAGGAGTTACAGCTCTACTTTGAGAAAGTGTGCAACGCGTTTCTGGACGAGTCGAGCGAGGAATACCGGACGTCGGCGTACTCCAGCCTGCGGGAGGACCCCGGCCTGCACCAGCTCGTGCCGTATTTCGTGCAGTTTATTTCCGAGAAGGTGACACACAGCTTGAAGGACATCTTTGTCTTGAGTCAGGTGATGCGCATGACCGAGGCATTGATCCTGAACAAGTCCCTTTACGTGGATCCATATGTAAGTGGGCTCTTCGACGCCATCCGGATTGTAAACTGACCCTCTACCTTCCCAGGTTGCCTCCTTAGTCCCTCCAGTCCTGACGTGCCTCATCGGACGCCAGCTCGGAGGCAATGCTGACCTCTCTGAGCAGTTTGCACTACGGGACTTCGCGGCATCGCTTATCGGCCTGATAGCTAAGAAGTACTCCCATGCGTCTCATACGCTCAAGCCAAGACTGGCACGGTCGTGTTTGAAGAACTTCTTGGATCCGGCCAAACCATTCGGGACGCACTACGGTGCTATCATTGGTCTGCATGCTGTTGGAGGCCCCGACGTCGTGCGGGAGCTTATCCTGCCGAATCTGAAGCCGTACGAGAAGCTCTTGAGAGATGCGATTGCGGAAGACGGCCCACGACGGCCTGAGGCCGAGAAGGTCCTGGGTGCGCTGCTCGCCGTGCTGTCCACTTTACACGAGGGACGCGCGCATATGGCCAATGGACACGCTGCCATCGTCACGGACGAGCTGCGAGAGCAACTGAACGAGAAGGTTGGGGAGCTGATCGCGGCGAAGATTGCCGAGGCAGGCGACGTCCAAACGGCCCACGCCATCCTTGGCCATTAAAAACCAGCTGTGATGAATCACGCTGTGTACTGTGTACTATGTATTTGCAGAGCCGGCCATGGCACGGTTGGTGGTCTGCACAGAGGCTTACTCATTACGGGCGTTTCGGGTGAGACTGGTACGGCATGATTAAGACTGACAACGTGGGCGTCTGTGTTTTGTTCGTGGGAAGTCTCCTGGTGGTTAATTTCTTTTTTTTTCTTCTTCTCTTTTTTCTTGTGATCCATTTGACAGTACATGTAGTGATACCCTGCAGGATCATGCTCAAAAAATCCATGAAAATAAATGCAATGTCAGATAGAGTCTCATAACTCTTTCTAGAAAAAACGAATCATGCTTTAGATCTGCTCTATCAGTATAATAATAGTATCTTGAGCGATTTCTCGGACGGCGGATCCGGTGCCTGGCCCAACGACGTCACTGTTCTGCTGCCCGACGGCACGAGAGCCTCTGGTTGGCTGAGGCGGTCACCGCTCCCACTGTCGCACGACACCTGTTTCCGCTGCCTGCGCTATTTCCTCGCTTCTCGCCCTGCCAGCGCTCTGCTCTTTGTCTCCTTGCTTGCCACTGCTCGATACTCTGCTCTGCAACATTGGCTGTGTGTATCGTTTCTGTCGTCTATTCCCCTGGAAAACCCTCTCGCTGCGGATCTGTTCGAGCCCAGCTGAGAGCCGCGTTCCGCCGTTCCCCACGCAGCTGTTCAAACTTTGCAGCTGCACGCCAGGCACTAACCACTCTCCCTCCCCCGCGATTAATTAAGCACTCAATCGATTTTTCGCCCAACCCACACAACACCGACAGACGAGGGACCGGCCCTAATTGACTCACGCACCCACGTCTGCTCGCTCTCAAAATTCTTTTCTTCGCTTCTGTCTGCTCAATTCATCTCTGTGCCTCGTCCTGCGCTCTTCTTTCGCCGTCAGCAATTCGCACACCCAGAAAAAAAAATCTCTCTCGGCTTTGCTACGCGTGAGGATTCCACAGCCCTGGCGTCTCCGTCCATGTGTTAAACACCGTGGCCTCGTGCTGCGCCCGCCTCTTTGTGAATAGAGACGCCTCCTGTCCTCCATGAGCCGAAAGGACCTTCTGCGTTTCCTGTCCAAGCCTGCGAAGTGAGTCCTTCTCTCTGCCTGCCGTCCTCACAAGGTGGTGATGTCGTGACGTCCTAGTCCATGACTCCTACCTCGGAATGTCGACTGGTTCTGATTGTTTTGTTTCGTGACAGGCCCAGATAATACCCGCTCGTGTTTTTCACCACCAATTCGAACTCTTTGAATCGTCTTTTTTCTTTTTTTTTATTTGTGTGCAGCAGATATCCTCGTCTGCTAGACCCGATACTTTGACCGGTATCGGTATCTGCCAGCGCGAGGTTCTTTTAAACTAGCCACCATTTCCTCGATCAAAGCTTTCTTCATTCCCCTTTCCGCCCGACCTCCCTAACGTCCCCCCTCCGGGGTTCAAGCTCGTTCCTTGTCTGTTGGCTGGCCGGTCTGCCAGTTTCTCCTCTCTCTCATAAGCGGGCCTTCTCTTCTCAGACGGACACCGCATTGTTCGTCTGGGTAGCAGATAGTGCTTCCATAGCTGCTCTTGTCTCGGCTCGAGCTCTTCGCTTTTGATCACTGACCACTGCCAAGTTTCAATTGTGTCAACCAGACTTCCCTCGTCGATACACGGATATGGTCTACATTGGGATCCCCAAGAATTATACGACTTCGCCGTCCTCGTTTGCCGGGACGCCGTCGTTGACCATCAATCATGAAGCAACTGTAGACCTCGACTCCACCAATGCATTTGAAGGTACGCCTTCCCTTTATCAGATATGTTGGATGAGTCGTCGCTAACCGATATTTACAGGACCAGAGAAGTTGCTCGAGGTCTGGTTTGGCCCCTCTCCTCAGGATCTACTGGGGTCCACCGAGCCTGCTGGGCTCAAGGCCGTTCCCGTAGAGGTATGGAAGGACATGCTGGATCTTGTCAATTGCAAGGTGCTGTCGATCGTCGAGTCCGAGGATGTCGACGCCTATCTTCTGTCTGAATCCAGCATGTTTGTCTGGCCCCACAAGTTGATCCTCAAGACTTGTGGTACCACGACTCTGCTCTCGGGACTGCCCCGGATCCTGGAGATTGCCGCTCTGTTCGCCGGCTTTCCCAAATCGACGGCGCCCCCGTCCCGCGGTATCTCCGTTGCGGCTGCTCCGTACCGTGTCTTCTACAGCCGGAAGAACTTCCTGTTTCCCGACCGCCAGCGCGGCCCCCACCGCAGCTGGAGGGATGAGGTCAAGGCTTTGGACAAGCTCTTCGCGAACGGCAGCGCTTACATGATTGGCAAGATGAACGGCGAACACTGGTATCTCTACCTGACGGAGCCGTACACCACCCTGACGCCTCCGTCGAGCCCCAAGCCGGAGACTGAGACCAAGGTTCTGAATCTTCCTCAGGAGAAGAGGCGTGGTTCTGGACATTGCGAAGAGAATGACGAGACACTCGAGATTCTGATGACGGACCTGGACGAGGAGAATGCGAAGCAGTTCTACCTCGACCATGCGAGTGCGGTCGCAGAAATCCGTCGTCGGAAGCTCGAGCAGGACAAGGACGAGCCAGTTGACGTATTCAGCAACACGTCTTCGGACATGAGTGACCCTGACTCGGATGGCGAGCACACTCTGCCGCCCGAGCTCACCACCGAAGGGCACGCGTTAGGGACTGTCGTGACGGAGTCGTGCGGTCTTGCGGATGTGTACCCGGTCAGCAAGTACCCGGACTCGCGCATTGACGCATATCTCTTCACCCCCTGCGGGTTCTCTGCGAACGGCGTCATCCCGGCCCCCGACGGTCAATCTAGCACTCATTACTTCACCGTCCATGTGACACCGGAGCCTCATTGTTCGTATGCTTCCTTTGAGACGAATGTGCCACACCAGCAAGACGGACGGGAGACGGCGGACATTGTCAAGCATGTTGTGGACATCTTCAAGCCGGGCCGTTTCACTGTGACTCTGTTCGAGGCGAAGCCAGCTGTGGAGCAGGCCGACGAAGGTCAGAGCTCCAAGCTGGTGGACCGCCAGGCTGCCCTTCGGGCTGCCAAGATGGAGCAGATTCCGGGGTATCGTCGCGTGGACCGCATCGTCCATGACCTGGATGGGTATGACCTGGTGTTCCGCTACTACGAGCGCAACGACTGGAAGGGCGGTGCTCCGCGGATTGGAGAGCACGGATGTTGATGAATTTTTTTTTAATTTTCCCCTCCCTTTCGTTTGCTTGACTCCCCCCACTCCTTTAGAAGTCTCTCCCACTCCTTCAGAAGCGTGTGGTGATGTTGTGCTTACTCAATTTGCAATTTGTTCTGGTCGATTCCCTGAAGTCGCAACAAGTATAATTTGTTGTGACGTTTGTTCTTGATTTACTGCCTGTCCTTACCGCGATAGCTTAGTTGATAATTTATTGCGCCTTGCTATATAATTACTACTATTTGGCATTTTTTTAACCTTTTGACCAGTTGATCATCTGTAGAACTATGTAAAGAACCACAAATGAGTAAAATATATAACGATATTCTGTGAGATTCTGCTACAAATAATTTCACCGCGTAGTCTCAGCAGTTGCGTCACTCGACGTTTGGAATATTCCTATTTTGGTGCAAGGCTCGGCAGACTTACCGGATGGGTCTGCGGGAGCTCCAAGTCAGTGACTGCACTGCGGAGACCGCCTTGCACAGGACATCATACCACTTTGACAGTCTCAGTCCCTCCTCTTCTCTCAGTGACACCGCGACATGAGTCGCTAAATACTGCTACTAATAAGTCTCAGCACATTTGCTGAGAACTGCGCGGATTTGTTTCCCGCGTCAGGTCACGTTTATCTCGCGTCCACCTCGCCAGCGGGCGCGACATCGACAGAAACTGATACTGTCACATCTCATTCTGTCGATATTACCATCCTGCAAGGATCTTCTGAACCATCTCGATCAAAATGTCGTCGCCACCTCCCAGCACGCCTAACGCGATCAACCCCCGGAAACGGCCGTCCATCTCGTCGACCGCGTCTCAGCAAGGCGGCAACAACGCCAAGCGGCCGCGCATGCATCCTCTCCGACAGACGTCCTTCCCCTCGGGTGGCGATGCTGACGGTCGAGCTTACAGTGCCGCCAGCGATGCAGGCAGTGTGACAGGTAGTTATACGGGCAGTCTGGGCGGTGCCAGCGCGGCGACCGGTGAGGGCGTCTTCACGACCGGCAAGAAGAGAGGGCGCAAGAAGAAGGCGGACAAGGACAGGGAAGACGCTTCCAGTACTCGAGAGGGGCTCGATACGCGAGTGGGCCCTGCCGATATTGATGGGAGTTCAGTGAGAGGAGGGGCTGGCGGTGGGGGCGTAGATGACGCGGATGAGGATGAGGATCTGGAGGATGAGGGCGACTTGCTGGGTGGGGAGGATGGGCTTACGGATACGGAGGCCGAGAAGAAGAATCTTGCGTATGTATTTGGTTCGAGATTTGACGATTACAGATGCAGACTCTGACTTATGATTTTCTTTTTCTCAGTATCCTTGTCGACGCCTTCAATCCCATCCAGTCCGCCCGATACGATCTGTTCAAACGGGCCAAGTTGCGGAAGGAGACGCTGCGTCGGATCGTCAACCATGCGCTGTCGCAGTCGGTGCCTGCGAGCGTCGTGACGACGATCAACGGGTTTACCAAGGTCTTTGCGGGCGAGATCATCGAGAAGGCGAGAACGGTACAGCAGGAGTGGGCGGAGGCGTTTGACCAGGCCGCTCGCGCGGAGTTTGAGAGAGAAGAAGCTGAAGCTGAAGCTGCTGCAGCGGCAGCAGCAGCCGCAGCTAGCAGGTCGTCCTCTGAGAATCAAGAGGGAGCAAACGGTGTCAAACACGAGTCGCCTGAAGGAGGTGCCACTCCTGCTGGTGGTGGTACGCCTGCTACTACAGCACCAACGTCGATACCAGCGAACATTCCCGCTGCTCTTTCGCCCGCCCCTGTTCCTCCTGACCACCAATCTCCGTATGCTCCCAGCACATCCAGCGATGCACCACCCACCGTCCGGCCGAAACGGGAGTTCAAACCGCCTCCAAATCCGCATCGGGGCCAACTGCTGCCGTCGCACCTGCGGGAAGCGCTGCGCCGGTATAAGCGGGACGGCGAGGGCGGCGGAGTCGGCATGTCGGGGCTGAGTCTGGCGAACCTAGGGGTGCGAGGCACATTTACGTGGAATGTCGGGATGGGGGGCAGGCGATTATTTAGGTGAGCGGCCTCAGCCTGTTGTCAGGGAGAGACCTCCCTCTTTCTCTCTTTCTCTCTTTCTCTAACTGTCTATTTCTATTTCTATTTCTACTACGGAATGAGGCTGGTGTTCTGTTTTCAAAAGGTCTGGTGACAGGAGATACGATACATATCGGTTTATGTCAAAGTAAAGACAAAGTTTTAATTTAATATCTTGCTTGCCCGTTGTCAGAGATACCATGTACATGTACATACATACATTACAAGAATGGAAATGAAATGGAAATGGGAAATTGAAAATACGTTACGAGGAGGCTATTATTATATTATTACTAAGATCACGACTGACGAGATGTGCGAGACGATGAATGAGACTACTACTATGACCAGTCGAAGCAGCAAATCTGATCAATTAATTAAATTAATCAATTAATTGGTCTATTAGTCAGTCGGACCGATCGAGCGATCAATCGATCTCTCTTTTGAGATGAGATGAGATGAGATTTCTTTCCATGATTTATTTTATTTTCTATGAGTTCCCTATGATAATAATAAACGAATAATTGTTAGGTAAATATATACCACTTACTTGCTGATCTACGTAATTAACTCCAAGTCCTATCTGTAAGTGTTACCTATACTGCAGCTTCTGCAGTACTTAAGCAGCTGTAAGGTCTATATGTAATATTAGCTAATAGCTCTAAATATAGCAGAGGATAGAAGGGGATCGACTGAGTGTTTCTAAGGAGCATTCGCTTGGTGGGCAGTAGTAGTTATATATAGTATAGAGAGAACACCCTTATCTATCCACCCATCTATCTATCTATCTATATGTACATACGCTAGTGCCAGTCTGCTAGCTGTCTCGTCTGATGGTACTATTTTAGAACCTACCTTACATTGGAAGCTCTATTTGTAAGGAAGGCTCAAGACTCAGTATCTTCTTTGCATGTTTGCTTCCTTCCTTGTTTCTTACTACGATCCGTTCAATGGCCTGCAATTTGGGATGTCTTTCTTTTGGTGATTGCGCGTTTCAATGCTAAGTGTTCATTATTTTTTTTCTTTTTTCTTATCATCGACAACAATAATATCCACTAATCCGATGAGATCAATACTAATAACTAGCCTATACCCAGTACCGGGAACATGTGCCGACCGAGTCGTTCCACTTTGCGTCAGAAGAGGCCGCGAAGGTATCATCTGTCTTAACCCTAATCTGAATTAGAATCGCATGCTTATCGTTTCTCAACGGCCAGAATTGTAATTGGTCCGTAATTAGGTCCGTGCATGATGCGCTGCATGCCGGTAGTTTTCTTTTACCGGCTGCAAACGGTGCAATTCCGCCGGTACAGAAATACTCCGTATGGAAGAGTGACGGCCAGAACGATTGATTGCATGTTGCTGCAACTCGCTAGGAAGTACAGCATAATTTTGTCCTGATCACGCAAGAGGTGAGCCAATGGGCGTTTAACATATGTATGTACTGTACAGTACATATATAAGGTATATATATCTTCAGATAAGGTGGATGTGGTCGTAGTGATTGCTCATCCATTATATACATACGAAGACAATAGACAACCACTGCTGCAGCTACGAAACAAACATGTCTCAACAAAAAGACAACAACAACAGCACTATCAACGTCGCCATATCGGCGCCGGACCAGCCGGCTTAGGCGCCGCAATCGAGCTCAACTAGCTACCGTTCGTCGACTGGAAGGTCTACGAACAGGCCACTGCCATCCGCGAGATCGGGGCCGGCATCAGCATCCAGCCCAGCACATGGCGGCTGCTCGAGGTGATGGGCGCGGCCAAGAATTTCCCCTCGAGGGATATCTACCGTCCACGGGATAATTATGCGGTGCAGCATCGGTAGGTTTGCTGGCTGGGCACATGCCATCTGATATGCTGATGATTTCAGGAATGGGAGAACAGGAGAGCTGCTGTATTCACATGGTCAAGAAGGTGCGCATCGACTAAGAAAAGAAAATGAACGGCATAACTTACTGTTGATTTCGTTCAGGCACACCCCTAGATCAACTCCACGCCCGCACCCAGCGGTCCAAACTGCAGCAGGTGCTTCTCAAGGAAGTCGACCAGTCCAATGTGTTTGTCGCCCATCGACTGGTGCGCGTCAGCCGGACGGCATCGAAGCGATTAACCGTTCACTTCCAAAACGGGTACTCGGATGAAGTTGACCTGGTCGTTGGCGCTGATGGAGTTCGATCGGTGGCATCATACTCTCAAACTTAGCAAAGATTATAACATTATAACAGACCGCTAACTGTACATCAGGTCGTCCGCAATTTCGCCTTCCCAGACCACCGCATCAGCTACACAGGCAAGACCGCCTACCGGGTCGTCGTCCGCGAGGAGGATATCGCACCTCTGAACATCCCCGACGCAGTCACCTTCTGACATGGCCCATCCTCGTGGCTCTATACGTGTGCCCTTGGGGACGGCAAATACGAGATCACCAGCATGGCGCGCGAGTCTGATCGCGAAGACGCGGAAAAAGTGAGCTGGGGGCAGGATGCGACGGTGGAGCAGCACGCGAGGCACTTTACGGTAGACACGCTGACCCTTTGGCTGGCTTTTTTCCTAATAATTTTTTCTTTTAGGAATTTGCCCCCCTCGTCAAAGAAATAGTCACCTTCTCCAAAGACATCAAGCAATACGCTCTCTTTGCCGGTCCGAGACTGCACCAGATCACAGCATTTGGATCGGTGGCGCTTGTCGGGGATGCTTCGCATCGTGAGTATTAAATTCAAGCACGATAACTACTTACTGATGCTGGTTACATATTCAGCCCTCTCTGGAGCGTTTGGTAAGGATAGTTATTATTCACGTGGAAAAACACAGACTGAAGGTGGTTATTGCAGGCGCCGGTGCCGGCTTCGCCCTCGAAGACGTCTACGTCCTAGGACAGGCATTGAAATGGGCCCATGAAAATGGATTAGATATCGCCGCTGCGCTGGATCTGGTTGATCGAGTCCGGTCGCCGCATTACAAGAAGTTGGTGAGTTTGCCTCCATTTCAATCACAATATTATTCATTTATGTATAAAGTTCTGGTGAAAGACAGTACGACATCCTCGACGAATTCGCCGCCACAGACGCCTATATCAGATCGCACAGCCCTCCGCTTTCGTTCGATGAGGCAGTGGCCATCCTTGCGAGGGAGACGTGGAGTAAACGACATCATTGGATTTATAATTATGATGTAAGACAGCACCATAGCTCATTCTTGATATAAACTAGACTAACTATCTTGAGTTATAGATCCAGCAAGTCTGGGAGGATGCTGTCGCGGCGGAGAAGCGTCTGCGTTCGCCAGCTGGGTCTGAAAAAAGATCGAAGCTGTAGACCACGCCAGACCATACCTCTATATACGTGGGTACTAGGTAACAAGAGTTTCTTAGAGTTCATTTAAGGTAGACTGTCGTATGAAAAGGTGAAACAGATCTATACTACAGCATGTATCTGTTAGTACAATGTACATACCTACCATGTGTAGGTAGAGCAACATCCTTTTATCACAATCGATGCATGTGATACAGAAGCGACAGCTGACACCCTCACGCATTCGATACGCAAGGACTGGTTCATCACTTGGGGGATCACTGCATTCGCAGATGAACTTTTCAGTTGCCATTCTGGACTGACGATAATCTGGAGAGATGATGGATTTCTGAGGACCTCGATGTGAGAAATATCGAGAAATATCGTGGATGCGGGATGGAGTTTGGATGGTTGGATACGCGAAGTTGCTTGACTTGCTTCGACGATGTCAGGCTGTGATCGATGGCAGGAGAATCAGATCAGATCATGAACGGAATCAATGGTATATGTAATGTACTTTGACAAAGAGGAAGAATAGAAAGGAGAAGGAAATTACCTAGGAATGGATTTATATGGCGTGTCCAGTGATGTATGACTCTTCCATCGACTCATTCTTATGACAGCAAATTCCGCGCATTTGGTGAATTTTGAGTCCATTGCTCAGAGAAGAAAGGGGATCTCAAACTGAATGGGAATAAAAGAGCAAGTCAAAAAAGGCCCATTTTCTCTAAAGAAAAGAGAGGCAGAGGACGGAATAGCATCTATATGCACCTGTACTGCGCTGGTTGGATATGGACGCCTTATCACGTCAGAGAAGATAGTTAGAAATCAAAGAAGTCTATTATCCAAGCATGTATATATGTACTGAATAAATACGGGTAAATATATTACTCACACATGATGATCAGAAGAATCAAGAGACCAAGACTCTTATACCACAAATAGATATATATGTACCCTTCAATTTACTGAGCAGACTCAACGATTCTCGGCGAGTAACGAGTCCATATAGGCCATAAGCTCCTCGAGGGTCGTCGCATTGTCAGGGTCTAGATATTTGTTGTCGACACTCAGTCGAAAACCTTCCGGGGTCGTCTGCGACGCCCGTGCCGGTCCTGGATCTGGAGAATCGGGCTGCGGCACCTCGTTCCAACGGGCTTCGAACCCGAATAGAAGTCTCCGCAGCACCAGCTGAGTATTCAGGATAGCCTTCTTTTCCATCTCCTCCCGCAACTGTTCATCGCTCTCACTCTCCAAGCGCTCAAACTCGGCATCTGTCTCATTTTTGATGATTTTCAAATCTTTCCATATTTCCCGGTTGTCACATTGCATGCATGGAAAGTGGAATTTGATCTCGTTTCCCCTTTGTGTATGGTCATGGTACCGATGCGATGGTGGAAATGGACAATCGGGACCTAGGTCGTGTCCGCAGGAGAATTTGCGCGAGGTTTTCCCGTAGTTGTCTCTGTTTGTAATATTCACAGGCATGTCTGTGGCAGGACTTGATAAATATATCGTTCCTTGCTAGGTATATATTCAGGTGAAGGTTAGAATACAAGATGATATCTGTAGTTAGCTGTGTATGAAAAGAGAAGGCAGTCAGAAGCAGGGAGATTTTATACCATGGGGTTGACATGTCATAGCCCAGTCATAATGCTGTTGAACGCATAATACCGCTGGGTTTGACTCCAGTGTCGGAGAAATGAAGATGACTCTTTCTGAATGACTCCGTTGGAGGGTGATACCCGACTAACAACTAATGAGTGAAGATGGCGGTGGGTGTTGATGAATAAAGCACCCAGAGATATCGCCTGTTAAAGAGTCACGAACTAGTCGACTATCACCCTCCAACAAAGGCACTCAGAGGGAGGAATCCGTCGATCTTATCTCTTGTCATTGTTCGCCGACTTCTCATCCCGTCACGTAGTCGGATGTATTCATCATTTGCAAGGAGATAGTCGGTCGTCATGTTGCAACCAACAGCACAAAGGTGTAACACTCCTCGTATGCAGGATCATCAGTCTAGCACTGACGAACTTCGTCACATGCTCCTGCAAGGTCGTGACACGGAGGCTTGCCATTATAAAGTCCATCTTGAAAAGAACTGGAAACTGGCGTCAGTCCTGTCCATTGTGTAATTATACCATTCGAGTACTCAGCCAGTCTCTCTTTCACCAGATGCACAATCGTTGCGACAGAGAGGTATGTAGAGCAGATTCGCAATCAGCTCAAGTCTGAAAGTGGCTTTTACGGCGGGAAACATAGGTGTGTTTCGTTGAGACAAAAGAAGTATTCAGATTGTCAGATACGAAGATCATTGTTGCAGAAGTTGTTTGAGGTCTGGCAAAGAACAAGGTTGCACAAGGTTATCGTCGTGCAACGTGGACTGCCATCGTCACATGATTACGTGCGATTCTCCTACCTACACAGGTAAGAAGGCTCATATCAACTTCAAAATCTCCTTATATAGGCTTGTCAATCAATAATGGAAACTTCTCCCGGTTCCAGTGCAGGATCTCACTCGATTCAAGCACATCCTTTTCTTCTATTTCGAAGACTTTTCTTTCAAGATATGTCTCATAAAGAGCAGCGGTTTCCTTGCATGAATCAGAACAAATCTGCAGAATATTGCACCTGCATTGCAAATAATAGCCGGTTATATTAGGCAGCTCAAAAAGAAAAGATAAAAGAAAAAGCAAATAAAGAAATCGTCTTATTCGTCATCGGCGACAATATTAGGCATCTAAGCATTTTGAAGGCAACCGGCATATCTGCATGCTCCCGTCAGGCAACTCCAGCCATGTTGTGATTAACAGGGGAAAGTACCAATCGGACTATGAACTGGATATCCAAACTAATGGATTCGGCACTCCGAATAAAGGGAACAAGTGACGATGACGAAAAAAGAAAAAAAAAGAAATCGGATCAGGCTGTAAGGACTCCTCCATACCGTATTCGCTGAAACCGTATCTATCCATGTCCCTGTTTGAATGACATGTCTTTTGTTTTCTGCAGACAAGTTACGCAGTTCTCTTTGGCCAGTCTGCTTTTACTGGGATATGCCTTCTTCAGTCTCCCATATAATTAAGTAGAGTGCCAACTAAGCACTAAGAGAAAAGGGAGACAGCACCTTTTCAGCAGATCAACACTTATACAGGCACCAAGGCATGAGGTATTGAGAACTGAAAATGTCAAACTATAGATCATACTTCTCCTTTCTCTGTGCTGTGCGAATCCCAAAGAAAGAGTCAACCTGATTAACGACAAACATCACCACCGCAAGGTACCAGGTAGACATACCCCGTACTCCGTACTTAGTGCTGATATTATTTTTATTTCCAGATAGAGAAAGGAGAGAGACCTTCTCCGATCCGGCATTTAATACTCCTGTAGAATTAACTTGCGGGGGGTATAATACTGGTTCAATCGAATGGCTCTATGGATCTCCCCTATTTATTATCATACCCCTATGCATGTAATATTAATCCGTATGATCTGATCTGATCTGGTATGATATGGCTTGAGTTGAGATGCACGAAATAGAACTAATAATATAATAACTATATGATATAAATAGAGCTGCTTTTCGCAGAGGAGAAGAAAAGGGTGTTAAAAAACGAGCATGGAGCACTCCCTACTAAAAATAAAGACAGATAGACAGACATCTGAAATATTTCCGTTCCGAATACTCAATATTATTGCACTTCGCATACTCCGTACGGAGTACTCCTTTCCAAGGCGCACTATTTACAACCCAAAGAGAAGTACGGAGTAGTAACTTCCATAGTCCCATTATTATTGACAGTTAGATATACAATTAAAATTTAGAATTCCCCAATTCTTGGAAAAAGCCAAGACTACTAACGTACAGAGGAAATACGGAGTAGACAAATGGGAAAAGGGCACGTGACAAATGCCAAGGCGTCGGACCGAATCTAATCATTTACTAGGAAAAATCTAAACATTTGGTAGGCAAGTTAAGGGGTTACAATTTACGGAGTAGAGTAAGTAGAAACTGCGGTACAGGCTGCCCAGACAATAGTTATGTTTCGACTTTAAAGGGGTGATTGTTGCATCGCATATGAGTACCCCGTACGGAGTGTACAGTACTCTCTCTGCTGAAATCTCAATACTGAAATGTTGATGTTGGCCTTCTCAGCTATGCCTGGGCTGAGTTTACGCCTAGTTATCTTAACGAAGTGCATGCAATATGTGAATGATTACCATATAGATAATCTTACTCGCTAAGATAAATGCGCCGCCCAAGTCCAAAATCTGCCTGGACTGGCATCTGGACTCCTGAACCTGGGGCATCTCATTACTCCCGTATTGTAGCAGGGTGAGACTTGTGGGGATGGTGTCCCTTTTATCTTGGCAGCACGGGGTGAAGCCGACAAGGCCATCATTGCCGCCACCTTCGCTCGCTTGCACATTCTGCCCAGCAGGACGGTGTACAGAGTATCATCACGCGAAGGCAGCAAGGCTTCAGCAACCTTCCCAGCCTTATTGGGCTGGCAAGACTCAACAGGCTGTTGGGACCGTAACATTGGACGCATGTATGGTCTGTGGATCCGGACCGTGTGCTGGAGAGATTCCAAGCATCTGGACAACTGCCGCAGCCGTCATGACCAATGATAATCGCATTGTCAGCATCCAAAAGCACCCGACTCTCCGTGGTTTCCGGACGGCCAGGGCCAAGCAGTGCGATTGGGCGGAATGGCCGTCTGCCAATGTCACGAGGTTGGCCGTGGACATGCATCGTCTTGGCGGAGCGGGATGGTCTGAAACCAGCGGCAGAGACTCCGTAACTCTGGGCACTTCCACGCTGGCGGAGACGTGCCGGGTTTCCGTATTTCTTGGCTCCTCCCAGACGGCCACGGGCAGGTGACGGTTGGAGCACTATTGCAATCCGTCTTCATGGGGTGACCGTGTCTGTTTGTTGGAACGAAAGCAGAGAAAGATTGGCAGACTCGCCCGGATGCGGGCGTCCGCACCAGCTGCAATGTGCGTCCCGGATGCGTGAGACACCTCCAACGTTGCAATTTATCAACGCATCCTTGTTTGTATGCTGGACCATACGGTGTACAGCGAGGACTCGGGATTGGGCAGATCTGATTCGAGTCGCGGGAAGATAATCGAGATCACGGTGTCTGCAGTGCAGATGCCAAGGCCCGCTGGTGGAGGCAGTGGAGCGGAGCACGCGACGCTTTCAGGGTCCTGCGATGGCGGAAGACAGTTGCTGGGAGCTGAGACGCGGTTCGTGAGAGTTGTGCAGAAATCATCTATCTTCCCCTTGAACGGACAGCAGGCACTGTCAAGGCAGGCTGGTACGGAGTAGTGGTGGAAGAGGAGAGAGACAGCCGACGTCTCAGGCGCTAGGCGAGACAGCCGGACTAGACCGAGCCGGGGAGAGGGGCGTTTGTGCAGCGTTATGCGGTCATGGATCATGATGGATCAGGAATGGCGATCGCTGGCTCGCGGGCCGTGACTGGCGCAGCGCCCAGTAGGGGATGGCGCAATCGGCTGCTAAGCAGTTCCTGGCGGCTTGGCTGCCGCTGTCCACGCAAGCGCTCCCTAGTTCCTGGCCACCGGCAGCGCGCCTCCATGCCTGCTTTAACCCGCCGCCTGTCCTTGCCGGGGGCGTTTTTGTGCCAGTCCCAGCGCTGCAGCCTCCACGGCCTCTCCCACCACCACGCATACCATTCCTCTCGACGCTTTCTGCTTCCCCGTCTTCACTTCTAGTCGTTCTTTACCCCCAGCCGTCTGTCTTTTCTGTGCTGTCCGATCCAACTATCTGATTATCTGAGCCATCTGATATGATTCTGTTGACCAGACCGTCCCTCCTTTTGGTGCTCGTCCCATAATTATGTCCTACAATCCTTCCTACCTCTACTCCCGCTTGCGGGACACCATCCCAGCTGCTCTGCCGTGGAGTGGCGGGGACCCCTCCGTCAAAGGCGATCCCAAAAAGACGGTCAAATGGATCGATGTATGCCTGCGTCGCGTGCTTTCTGCCCGTTTCCTCATGCAAGAGCTGATCTTCTTATCGCATCTGATAGGGTCTCCGTGGGATCGCGTCGTTCTTGGTCGTCCTCACCCATCTGGCACGAGCCTGGGACTATGATCTCTTTTCGCCGCGAGACGGCCCCGATATTCCTCCCCGACTCCTCCAGTACCCCGTCTTGCGCATTCCATGGCAGGGTCGTATTGGAGTCACCATCTTCGCCTTCCTCACCGGTTATGTCTGCGCTCTCAAACCCTTGAAGCTGTCGAGAGCCGGCAACACCAGTTCCGCCTTCACCACCATCGCCAAGAGTGCCTTTCGCCGTCCGCCGCGTCTGATCTTCCCCGCGACCATTGCGTTGCTCATCTCCTGGACCATCGCCCAGTTTGGAGGCTTCACGGTCGCTAACCGCTCCGACTGCTGGTGGTGCCGTTATGCCGCCCCCGATCTGGAGGACTCGCTGTACAAGGAAGTCATCCGGCTATTCCAGAACTTCCTGAGCACGTGGACCACCGGCTACATGGCGTACGATGATCACCAGTGGGCCTTGCTGCCGTTGCTGCAAGGATCGATGTTGATCTATATCCTGCTCTTTGCCACCATGTTTTGCCGATACCGATGGCGTCTCCTGATCTGCATTGGCATGATCCTGTATTATCATCAAGACGCCGCTAAGGACACCGGTAGGACTTTTTTTTTCTCTATTGCTCACGTGCCTGGCTCTGACAAGGAACGCTTTTCCTAGAAACCTTCCAGATGCAGTGCGTTTATGGAATGCTTCTCAGCGACCTGTCCTATGAGATCTCCTTCAAGGAATTCCTCGAGAAGTATCGCTGGCCTCGACGGTTCGTCGCTCTGTGTCTGGTCACGGCTGGTCTCTTCATCGCATCCTATCCCGGCGAGCACCCGGAATGGTCCTCGTGGTCGAACTACATGTATGAGATGTCTCAGTATCTTTTCCCTCCGGAGGTCAACATTGGGAAACGCTATACAGCTCTTGGCGTGGATATGATCATCTTTGCCATCTACATCTCGCCCACGACGAAGGAGTTCCTCTCGAATCGGTTACTGCTCTGGCTCGGGAAGCAGAGCTTTGCGGTCTACCTGGTCCACGGGACCTTGTTGCGCGTGCCTCTCGTGTGGATGCTCTACGGGATTTCCGGGGAGCCGTGGGAGGAGACGGTGGACGAGAACGGCAACGTGATCCCGCCGGCCTGGCTCCCGCTGCGTCCCCCGTGGGTGGTCGCCATCAGTATCCCTTGCTGGCTCATTCTCGTGTACATCTGCGCGTCGCTGTGGACCAACTACGTCGATCCGTTCTGCGCCCGGATGACGCAGAAGCTGGAGAACCTCATGTTTGAGGAGGACGAGAAGAGTCCCGAATCGATTCCGATGACCACACGGCCGATGCCAATGACGTGAACACTTTGCCTGTTGCTGCTCCTTTTTTCCATTCTTCTTTTTTATCTCGCTAGACATATATACTTGCTTTAATCCGGGATACCTTTTCTAGATATATTGCATCTGTCGCGGGCGGATCTTGCTATATACAACTATCATGACGCTGATTTTTTTGTCACTGTTACGGGGGTGCACTTTGGAAGTGATCTTCAATTACTGGAGTTGGTTCTACGGATTCGGGTCTCCAGCATCTCGTTCATCGCACTCGTTTGTTTCTTTTTGCCATCTATTGTGCCATCATGCTCGACATATCGTTGTTGGATCTGATTTGATCTTGCTGAAAAAGAATTCTTGTTTTGGGTGCTGGGACTATACTGTACTGTACATATTGCCGCAGTCAACCAATGGACATACGATTTGCTTACTTGAACGTTGCATCTGCGACCTAGGTGCTGTCATAGTAGTATCTCTGGAAGCGTCTAGCCCACTGGCGGTGTCTGGGGTTGCAGGGTCTGGCCTGGTCTGCGTGGCAGCGTGGTTGGCCCTGCATGTGCCTGGCACGTGCGTGGGGGATTGGTCTTAGCTTCAGCCTCCCGCACAACTCGACAAGCAACATGCCATGCAGAGAGATGCAAAAGCGATCAAAAAATCGAAAAGATGGGGGCCAACGACTTTTCCTTGACAGGGACTGTGGCGCATGGAGATGACGACGACAGGCCACGCGTCCTGGTCAAGCTTTTTTTGTCTTTCTTGTCTTTTTTCTTGGATGATGATCGGGGGCGATGGGCTCCATTGAGTGATATATTGCCTGTTTGGGAAGGAAACTGCCCTTTCTACGGTGTAGTCTGCATGATGGATGGAAGAGGAATGAATTAGGCAATTCATTGATTCTATGGCGAAATCGACGATCATTGCTATTAGTACCGTACTCTGTACAGTCCGCTGTTTCAGTCCGTCCTAGACTCGTCATTATTCTTATTGTTATTATTACGATTGTTATCAGGGATTGATTATTGCTCCGTACGGAGTAATTCTGTCGGCGATTCATTCGGTGTGTGTCTGTGTGTCGGGTGTGTCGCATGACGGCTGTTTCTGCCGAATCTTCTTCCACCAATCATATTTAATCAGACAGAGTTCAGCAGCGAGGGGCGAATAATGATTTTCTTACTGACGGGCTTACTGACGGGGAGATAAGACGGCGCGGCGGTGCTACAGCCTACTGGAAACCTTAGAATTAGATTACCGCGGCTCTCGACGGAATGCTACGGCTACAGATATCTTCCAAGGTTGTTACTAAACGGTTTGGGCAACTCAGTCAATCTCGACTAAACCTACTCCGCACGGTACGTAGTGGACGGGCAAATTTGCTCGGAGTCGTTGGGCAATTTCTTTAGGTAATGTTTGTTGCAGAGACGGAGTATTATTATTATCTACCAAGGTACCTACAACTGCGGCTGAGCTGCCTGCCTGGCTTATACGGTTTTTTGACCTCAGGCCGTGTGAGGTGGAGTCTGGATTTCTGACCCACCTGTCTGGCTGGCTGTGTGATAACAATACTCTGTACGGAGTACGGAGTTCTCCGTATAATAATACTACGTACCGAATAACAGGCACGGAGGACGGAGTTTACTACGGAGTACGGATCCGGGGAATTGGCGGGGAAGATAAGATCAGGACCTGATCTTTGGGTTACTGGGTACGTAGCTTAATGTCAGCTCAAGTTACGAACAGTTAAGGTGTCAGCTGGGCGAGACAGAAACAGGTATCTGCGCACGAGGTGACACGGGACTTGAGGGTTGGCTGGGCGCGGCTGGTGCATCTACTGATGATGCCCGCCCGTCTGGATGCCAAGGACAGGGTGGAGTAAGAATAATATTCCGTACAGAGTAGTTACAGATTGAGATTGATTGACTTGAGAGAGAAAAAAAAATTTTTTTTCTTTGCCTTCTACCGCTCTCTATCTACGGAGGAGAGATCTTTTCTGCAGTGTATTCCGTTGTTACACTGTGATCAATCACCTTAGCAAGTTGGACTAATTAGAATTCAAACTGGAATTACCGAGGAGCATTGACACAGTACGGAATACCTAGGTAATGGACAACTAAATCCGTAATGCAACGAACTGTGCAGTTACCTACGGAGTACAGTACATGCGAAGTTGCAATGAATTAATTGCGACTGTTAATCATCTGTTCCTCGTTACTCCGTATTCTCTCCAAGATTTGAGAACAATACTATTGTGATTTACCTACCTACCTGAAGAGGGCCTCGGAAATTGCATCATGATTGGCCCGGATGGAGATTGATAGCCAGTCCATTATGACATTCTATTGGATTTCCATATCTGCAGACTGATTGGTCCATCGGGCTCCATCGATAGATCAGCGGGTCCTTCATCCCGTCCGAGGTACGGAGTACCTGGTACTTACAAGCAAGTTCCTCGAGAATATGAATGGCCTGATTATCTGATAAGGCTCTTTATCGCCCTACTATGTTGTACTATATCTCATTCCCTGATTACCTTTCTCTATTTGTTCAGTCAAGTACGGAAAGAACAGTGTATGCCGTACACCATCAGATCGAAAATTCGGTACTCCGTACGGAGTATACGGGTCCAGCGGTCATCGACGATCGGACGATCATGACTTCATAGCGCACCGGCCAGGATCTTGGCTGACCCCTGACCATGGACTATGAACTCCTCCAGCCTTGCATCAGAAGCCAGACGGGATACTGAAATCCGCTCTTTGATTGATCGATCGATCGATTCATTCTTGTCTGCCAATTCTGTTCGATGGATTTGAAAATGTGAAATAAATATTCCATGGAGTACTTTGTACTTCGTGTTGGGCTGGGTGCTTATTTCGTTCTCGGCACCTGCTTGAATTATTACCATCATTGATTGCCATCATCATCGCTGATCATCATTCAGGGAACTCTTCATTTTTTTTTCGGTGCCAAGATTCCTTTCCTTGGGAATACACCATACGGAGTTGCTCCATTCTTTGCATCAAAGATGACCTCACAATATTGCGACTGTTCGTCGCATGCATGCCCTCTTCAAACTTCCAGTTCAGCCGGTGGGGGCACGACCTGCTAATCTTAAAACACATCTCGAGTTGACGTACTGAACAAGGACGGGATAATAATGCAGCACAGCAGTTACTCCGTACAGATCGTCGGTAGTTATGGAGAATTGACACGTCTACTCATTATGTCGGCCTGAAGACGCATAGAACTTGCCTGTCTGTCAAAACAAAGGACAAGGCTGAATGGCTGTTATATGTCATTTCTTCCACCGACTGGAGGGTGGGAATTTTTGTCTTGTCGATATGAAACGCAAATTGTGCTCGGTATGTGACGCACACCGTCCACCGAGCAAATCTTCATCACTCGACAGATCTTCTGGTGGATTTTAATTCTCTGAATTCCACAGAGATGTGATGGATGACAAAGGTCAGATGTGCCGTCTGCCCAGACGTATCAGAAATGGTACCGCTTGTGAATTTCTCCCATCCTCGACACTGAGCATCATCAATTGCATCTCCAAGTCTGTCGCATGCCACTTTTGAGAAGCGTCCTGAAAGGAAAGAACGTGAGTCAGATGCCAGAATATCGTACCTTCAGGATCACTGTCGACTGCCAAGTCTGTTACATGTACCTATTTGGTGAGAACAGCAGCACTCTTGGAGCCTGCATTTGACTCAGATATATTTTAGAGAATTCGACCCCCAATTCAGAACTGCGTGATAGATAAACTGCATCTCAGCCATTGTCGAATTAGTCAGAATGCTTGCACTCAGTCGCAAGGCAAAGTCCACAGAGATGGCGAACTCGAAATTCTGGGAGATCGATACAATATTTGCTCCTGTGATCTATTATTGGATGCTCTCTGATCTGAGTAGAATAATTATCAGCTACATGCACAAATGACTTTCCGGCACAATTGTGATTATACTTTGAAATAAAGTTAACTCGCATGCAGCCACCCGGAGTTTAGGAGTTAAGGCCCGAATCGTGATCTTGGTGCGTAAGCGCCTTCTTTGGGGAACACTAGATCCACTTCGCTGTGATTCTCGTGGTTTCCTCTGTTATACTGTTTGGATTGCAGACGGGACATAATGGCTTCGGTGGGACGATTATCTGTGGTGTCATTTTGTCCTTCGGAGATAGGAGTTTAGTTGTTCTTCATATTAAACCCTAACGCCGTGAGTGTACAATCCAGATTGTGCTAGATCGGAGACCATTCCGGCTTCTTGAATGTCATCTCTCATAGAATCTTCTTAAAGAGAGTGAATTCTCGCTGTGCATGTTGAGATTCTTACGACTGTGCTGAGCATCAAACCAACATACCTTCTCTCGAAGAATTCCTCGTCAGCTTCATTACGGCGGATCAAGATGGTTGAATACGGCTTCGCTACGCAAGGCCAGGAGATTGTCTCTGCATTTGCGGATCAAGTCAAGGGCAAAACTTTTGCCATCACCGGCCCCAGCGAAGGGGGCATTGGCGCGGAGATCGCCATCACTCTTGCCAAAGCGTCCCCAGCCCGTCTGATCCTGTTTGGTCGCTCGCGAGAAAAGACTCAGAGTGTCATCGACTCCATTGCAGCTGCCAGCGAGCAATCCTCCCCCGTCGAGACGGACTTCATTCAGGTGGAATTGGCTTCCCTTGCGAGCGTGCGAAAGGCCGCACAGGAAGTGCTCTCAAACACTGCCATCACGCAGATAGATGGCATCGTCAACAATGCCGGTGTCATGGCTTTACCCACATACGAGACCACGCCGGAAGGCTACGAGAAGCATCTGGTCACCAACTACTTGAGCCACTTCCTGCTGACCAACCTGCTGATGCCCAAGCTCCTGGCCTCTCCCTCTCCCCGTGTCGTCAACCTCAGCAGCTACGGCCACCGCATGTCCCCTTTCCGGTTCGATGATCCCCAATGGTCCAACGGCGCGACGTACCATCCGACTTATGCATATGCACAGAGCAAGACAGCCAACATCCTGTTCTCGGTTGCTCTGAATGAGAGATTGGGCACGACACACCATCTGCGGTCCTACGCCGTGGATCCAGGCAGCGTAGCCACATCGCTCACTCGACACATCACCCCGGACCAATTCAAAGAGGGACTGGAGCTCTTTGCCAAACATGGGATTGTGCGTCCGGAACGAAAGACCCCAGCCCAGGGATGTGCTGGGCCGTTGAGAGCCCTGCTGCAGCCGGATATTTCGAACGAGGACGGTGTCTACATCACGGACACGAAGCTCACGACGGATCCGGCGGTCGTCAAGACCTACGCCACGGACCGTGAGGAGGCACGACGACTATGGGAGTTGAGTGAGGAGTGGGTTGGACAGAAATTTACGTATTAATTGCAACTTGAGGGCTGCTTTGGCAATATAGCGTAGTAGTTTTACCGTTATGTGCCGTCCGTCTGCGTCTTACAGTGTAAGCATAGAAATTATGTCTTCCCATCAAGAGGATTTAATTTCGATATTTACTCCTCGACGTTGTTATTTTTGAGCCTGGACTATGCTTAGCTGGCCTGCATAACTCAACAGGAATATTGTACTGTGGAGTACATAACATGATTTCCAAGTTTGCTACTTCTCATTGGTTTACCCCACAACGGCCAGATCCATGCATTGTTAACCTGCTTCAGCTCTATCTATCCATGCAAGATCAGAAATGCCTAGCACCCTGGTCATTGACTGTGCTTACGTGCAGAGTAAACTGCCTCAAGTTCGGTAGAAAATGGATTTCCCTGCCCCGGGAAATGGCGATCGCGCATTGAATCTCCCCACGCGCGGGAGGCCTCAGCTGTCGTGCACGCCATGCAATAGACGAAAGTCAAGCTCCCTGCATCGCACACACCCTTATTCTGTCTCGCTTCAATCCACGTCAAGCTTACTAAATGGCGATGCTGCAGGCTCAAGTGTGACAGGGCACGGCCCTGCGACAACTGCGTCAAGAGAAGGGAGTCGGACAAATGCGTCTACCCGGCCGTGCGCGACCATGCCCGCGCGTCGAAGCGGACGAAAAAGCGTCTCGACCGGCTGGAGTCGCTGGTGATGGGTTTAATCGACAGGAGTGTTTTGCAAAGCCGCCCCTCGCTGGATGGAGAGCAGCAGTCTCTCGGAGGAAGTCGACTGCATGACAGCGACAGGCACAGGAACCTTGGCAGCACTAATGAATCCCTACTCGACAAGCCATCGATACCATCCTCCAGCTCGTCATCTGCGCTGTGGGAGAGTGTCCTGCTGGATGTAAGTCTCCAGTCCGGTTCACAAGTCAATCGCTGATGATACACGCATATCGTACGTGTATACATCCTGCTAGATACTGACGAGCAGTATGGGCTCCTAGATAGCAGAAATTCGGTCCTATTTCGAGGAGCATGAGCTGGACTTTCGCGAGCAGGAAATAAAAGTGGAATCCTCCAGGAATCCGCTCGCAGGTATCAATATCTTACACACCAGCCCCGGTGAATGCGACATGGACACGCTCCTTTCGTCTCTTCTCTCCAGGTCGGCCGTTGATCTGCTGATTGAAAATTACTTTGGCATGACGAACCACAGTAGACGTAATTCTCTTCTGGCTATGAAGATCCCATCGCGAAAGATTGACTAACTTGCGTTTAGCGATAATACATCCGAAAAATTTTTTGCGAGAAGTATAGACTATCCAGATGAAACTGCAGACTAGGCCACTAACCGCTACATAGTATGAGAGATTCTGGAAGAATCCCTACGACGTGTCGAAGATGTGGGTTGTTCGCGATTATGCGGCAAGGCGTACGAACCTGTATAGCGAATGGCATCGACCTGAGACCATTTCTCGGGGACCCAGACGAAGCGATGGCCCTGTTTCGGACCCGGACGACACAATGCCTGGTATCGGCGGACTATTCCAAGCCTTTGATGGAGCAGCTTGAGACTCTCGTCGTCCACCTCGAGGCCGAGTTCACAAGCAGTCCGGACTCTCAAATCCATGTCTGGGTCTTGATGGGGAGCGTCGTCCGCCTGGACATGCGAAACGGCCTCCATCGCGAACCGAGTTTATTTCCGGAGTTTACGCCCTTCCAGTGCGAGATGCGCCGTCGGATGTGGCTCGCGATCGTCCAGACTGACATCCTCATGTCATTCCAGGTGGGCTTGCCCGCAATGATTCCCAAGGGGCAGCACGACACGATGCTTCCACAAAACCTGCGAGAAGACGATTTCGACGAAGATTTCACCGCGCTTCCTCTGTCACGACCTATGAACGAAGTGACCAACATATCGTTCTTTATCGCCAAAAATCCCCTGCTCGAAGTCTTCGCCAAGATAGCGTCTCACATCCTGGACATCCATCCCAACGAATCGGACGTGGAGACGCTGGAGAGCGAATTGTACGCCGCCCGGGATGCGTTGCCTCCGTACTACAAGATGCGTCCGCTGGAAGAATCCACACTCGATCCACCAGACGTTATCCTGGCGAGGATGGGCATGGACCAGTCAGTCCACAGCGGACTGTGTATTCTGCACCGACGACGGTTGCCTCTGGCGCGATCGAAGCCGCAGTTCAGCTATTCTCGCAAGGTGTGCGTGGATGCGGCGCTGACGCTGCTCAGTTACCAAGCCATCCTTCACCGCGAGAGCGGCCCAACGGGGCGATTTGGAGCGCACAGGGTGATGGCCACGTCCGTCACGACGAATGACTATCTCCTTGCTGCGATGCTCCTTTGCTTGGACTTGCGAGTGGGCATGTCCGGGCCGACACATCCTGCGTCGAGTGATTTGAGTCCTGTGGGGCAGGGATCGACAGGATGAAATGATGCAAGCATTAGAGACGTCGTACCATGTATGGCGGGATTCAAAGGACAGATCGATCGAGGCGTTTCGAGCGAGTGAGGCGCTGGCCGTGATACTCAGGAAGGTCCGAAGTGAGGATCAGGGGGAGCCAGGAGACGCCAGCCATGAAGCAGTCGATCCATTGCGTGGTGGTGAAGACGGTAACAATGTGCCCCCAGCGGAATTCGCTTTTTTTTTAATAAAAAAAAGCTGACTCTGCAAGTTGCCCTCCCTACTGGTAACAATGCCGACTTACCAGGCGCGTTTCCGCCAGAGGAATCCGACCCGTATAACCTCAGCCTTCCTTTTTCAGAAATGGTTTCATCTCCGAATGACATCAACTGGGTGGGCATATGTATCAACAGCAGTGTTCGGACTAACAGGCTAATGTTACGATCTATTCGCAGGTGGAGTTTGATTGTTTCGTGCGTGGGAGCATTAATTCTCCTGATGCCTGACGTTGGACTTTGAGGAAGCTGGAAGAGTGCTGATCGATAGAGAAGATAGAAAGATGGAAATCGATCAATTCAATTCAATTCAGGTAATTAATTAATCCCCTTTTAATAATCAACCAATAACCCCAGAATGGGGAAAAAAAAAAGGAAACCAATTCCCAATTCGAAACCCCAAATCCTCCTTTACTACCTCTAGCAGAAATCACTGCATTTCAATACTTTCAGCATTGCCATTTCCACCAGTAGCAGTAGCACCAGCAGTAGCAGTAGCAGTAGTAGCAGTACCAGAAGCAGGACGAGTCTGACCAGACCTTCCGCGAACATTGCGCCCACGCACGTTCGCATTCACGTTATTGTTCTGGTTCGCCTGCTGGTTTGCCGTCCGAAGCAAACGGCGGTGGCACCAAAACGCGTTGATCGCGAAAATAAGCAGCACCACCAGGCCGATCGCCGCGATGACGATGGAGAGGGCGGTCCAGAGACGGTTATCCCAGACGATAGATAAACGCTTATCCATGATGATAGGATGGATGAGATGGGATGGGATGGGATCTGCATTTGCGGCGGGCGCTATTAGTCGATTTTTTTATTTCATTTTTTTTTATCAAATATGCATATTATAGACTTGTCTTATCGGTCGATAGACTGACTCAAGATGGGATGGAGGCAGACTAACAGGATTGCTTTCTGAACTTCTCCTTCTCCTTCTTTGCTTCTTTGAGGCAGTAGCAGATGTTTCTGTCTGACATATACTGTTAGAGGATCCCGTTCACACGGTAGTATACTGGACACTGTACAGTACAATGTATAGGGTACATACCTTTGAGATTCAACTTCTTTCTCTCTCACAGTATGTATCTCTGTGTGAGATGAGGATGTGAAAAAGAGATAAAAAATAAAAATACATCTACGTGCGTGCGTGGGTGTTTACGTGCCTGTTTACATTTACCTACTCCTTAGTTAGGGCTATTGCCCTCTTCTGCTCTCGGCGGACACTTTATCATCGTATCTGTCTCCCTGCAAGATTGAGTGACGATATAGCTCACAGATAAACAATGTGCATCTCTAGAACATATGCGTATGTAGGTAGGTAGGTAGGTACGTATGTGCATGAAACATCACAGCACATCGACCACGGGCGGCCGCCCCAGAACCATATCTTCAGTTACATCTCTAAAAGGGTCCAGGGAAATCTACAACAGGAGGCCCCCTGAATATCATATCCTGAGTTCGTCCCAAATCAGTCAGTAGCTCAGCGAAAGTACTTAGGTATTTGTGGGAAAGAAATCAACAGCGGGAGCACTCTTCAGAATCACATTAATTGTTATTACTATTACTATTATCCTTTGTTTGGAGACTGTAAGACAGAAACTTGCATAGCTAGCTGATCGATTGCCTACATACACTCGAGTATTCAATTCATGCTTGTAGCGGCTTTGGTGGCAAGAATCCTCCCGTTGAATCAATCGTATGTACGATCCGAGAGTTATGATATGATATGATAGGATCATCCTGTATTAGAGACAAATCCTTACTGTATTTCTATAGAGTAATTTGTCTTTTTATTTAAATAAATCAAAGCTTCTTCAAATACATTCCTGAATGGTACAAGTTAGTTATTTTACATGCAGTAAACAAATGCCGTATGACAGGAGAAAGCCCTTGATAGCTGCCAAACGCCGTCCCCAAAATCTTATTTAATTTATCCTTCGACTGATAATACTTCACTGCTGCGCCTTCATCTCGTCTCCTTGGACCGGTACATCCGGGCCGTCTTCTCTCGCTCCGCCTCGAGAGCACGCATATATGCCTCCCGTCGCGCATGGTTCCGTTCCTGCCGCTTGTACTCCTCTTCCTCTTGCCGCCTCCGTTCATACTCCTCTGCCTTCTGGAGATCTGCCTTGCTGAGTCGCGGCGGCGGTGCTCCTGGCGAGCCGGCCGCATTCGAGCCCCCGCCAGTGAGCCCCTGCGCTTTCTCCAGAACTTCCCGCCGAATGTCCTTCACACCCTCTGTGAACCTGTTCACCGTCCTGTCGATGAAGCTGATTGAGCTCTTGTTTGTGTCCGCTTTGAATTGATCCTTGAAAGCCTTATCCGCTTCGGCCCGGATGCTATCCTCTATCAGGCGGATGCGACGGCGCTCCTGAGATTCGCTCTCTGCCTTGCGATGCTTGGGCAAGGGAGCAATTCCCAACCACTTTCGGAAACCGGCATTGTTCAGCAGGTAGCTCTGACCGATGGCGAACAGACCAGTGCTGGCAAAGTAGAGCTGTAGAGCACCCGGGAAAAACGCCGTGAAGAGAAATGAAAGCACAGGAAACCCATAGATAAAGGCCCTGCCAATGGCCGACTCTTGGAATTGGTTTAATCCCGCGTCTCCACCTTTCTATCCAGCGATTAGCCTCCATATATCATCTTCGGCAGCGATGGACATACCCTTATGCTGAGATAGAAGACCGCGGCGGTGGCAGTTGGAATCACGAAGTAGGGATCACTGACCGTGAGATCGGTGATCCAACCCACCGACTCCGCCGCCAGACCCGGCACCGGAAGCGCAGCCATGCCATTCACCACTCGGAAGCAACCGTAACTCAAGGGAATATTGAGGAATAAAGGCACAAGGGCTTTCCAGGTTTTGATACCATGTTTCATATTCAAGTCTTGCAATTCTGCTCGGGCTTTGATCAACTCTACCTGGTTGCCATCGCGCGCGGCGCGCACCATGCGCTCTCGAACCGGGTTCACGACATCTCGAACAGCATGCAATTTGGCCGCCAAATCCGAAGAATCGATCGCAGGCTTCAACATGGCTATACGGACTAGAATACCAGCAGCGACAATACTGGCCCACCAGGGCAGACCTGTCCAGATGTGAATGTGTTCGATGACCCATTGCATGAGAGAGGATGGGCCCCAGCCATAATCCAGTCCCAGCTCCTTCAGATATCCGATTTTCTCTGGGATTTGTTCAATCTCCAGCGCCGAGAGATCTGCGATATTTGTCGACCCGGTCTGAGCGGCATCTGCAGTGGTAGTAGTAGTAGCGGCTGCGGCGGTCGATGTCGAGTTGAAACGAGCAAAGGACAGCCGGGACGCGGACGACACGGGCTTCCAAGAAGCATTCCCTGGAATCGTCTTACCAAGGGAGACTGGATTCCGGAAAGACCGCGAGGCAATGGAAGACAACTATAGTCCAGTCAACTTCTGTCTCTTGCATGCTAGGAAAATCGGATCAGGAACCAACCGATCGAGTAGAGCGGAGAGCGGTCAATCGCGTGCTCGCCATCCTGGCAGCTGTGGCCGACCTGGTCAGGCCTGTGCCGCCCAGCATTGTGACTGCCCGATGGCGAAGCAATTGTGTCGAGAGGTGCAGGCGACCGAACAGTCGACTCCGTGAGAATCGGGATTGACTGCTCGATCTTTTTGTCGGAGCATTTTTGGCGCCAAGCCAGTTCTGCCGGGCGGAGAGCGGCACCCCCAATCAGGAGCGCCGCTCGTCCGCCTCATGACTCTGGCTATTCTTACTGTCCAGGGAACTCTTGGAGAGGAGGATTAAGACAGTCTCGCTGATGAGCCAGCATTTCAACACTGTAGATTCGTTTACACCAAATGAGACATTCCCAGACGCCGCCCAATAGATGTACCTCACTCTATGTACAGTAAATATCAAGACAGATCGTGGGTTGCAAGCAAAAACAAACAGGCATCATGACACCAGAATGCATATTTTCCAGATACGATAGTGGTTCGCATCCAACAGATCTAAGGCAGGTAATACCGTGTTGTCGGCGAGGGTCACCACTTATTCCAGAGACGTCGTGTCGTTCAGGTTGGCCCGCGGAGCCCTCCTCTGGGTCGGGATGTTTCTCATCTCAATGCCCGGTCCAACAGGTGTTGAGCGTCGGTACGTAGGGAAGATCTGACAGGGTTGTTAGCATCAATTGCAGACCAGGAATGGATTGCTAGTCCAGCAGGGCTAAAGACAGGCCTACCTTGGTATTAGACCAGCCCAGACGGAAAGCTGCTTCATGTGCCAGCAGCTCGCCCAATCCCAGCATGAGCCCGTTGACAAAGGGCAGGATGAGGTTGATGGCCGCGCCGCGCAGGATGCTCCACAGCGAGGGCGGTTTGTAGAGGATCAGCGGAGAACTGGACGTCGAAGGAGGCGAGGATGAGAGCTCGTGGTTGGCCGAATAGTTCTCAGAGTCGGAGGGCACCGTCAGAGCCGAGTCGTAGAGCTCGATCCGCGAGCCCGAGGTGTTTTCCGATGTCATGTTGACAGGGCTAGTGAGCCAGGCGGCTGAAGATGAGGGCAACAGAGGCAGAGCAGCCGGCTGTCTCTGGAGTAGCAATGCATGCAATAGCTGGTGCGAAAGAGCCCGAGACTCTGGTGGCAGAACTGCTCCAGTCGTGACGATGCGCAACTCCTCTCCTCCGCCGCGGCGGTTGGCATGAACATCACGCTTATGTAAGCCACATTGTACGCAGGAAAGCAGTCTCTTCGCCAGGCGGTTGATGAGGAATCAATCCTATGATCCTCGTAGCTGAGGGCATCTAGTCGCCTTGAAGCCCTAGTCTACTGTCTCTAGAGTCCAGAATACCAGGACACTGTCTGGTCTGGTGTCATCACACTGGTTCTCTACAGTTCCCCACTCAAGACTGTTATGCAGGTAGAAGCTTCTCTGTATTGCATTCAAAGGCCTATTCGTTCTTCGAGACAATTGGAACAAATCGTCTCTTAATATCAGAATGGGTGATATCAATAATAATAGCAGTCATCATGCCAAAACACTAGTGTAGAACGATCTGATGCAGTTACTGCGCGCCTTTTCGTGTTGAGGCTCGGCGGAAGGTCCTCGGTGGGATGACCAATCAGGCAACCGTGACGTACGTGACCTTCTCTGTTGTTCCTTCGACTCTTCACTGAATAATCACTCGGCGAGCCTACATCTTGCAGGCAGGGCGCTCTCTTCCATCTTCCTTCCTGTTCTTTATTTTCTCCTTCATTTCCCCCGCTGCTGTCTCTGTCTTCTCCACTATCAGCAGCAACCCCGCCATCGCGACTGCTGTCGTCTGGCCAACTCCAACATGGCGTCCAACGCGACAGACCAGGATGAGATCGTCTCCCAGTTTTGCGCCATGACGGGGACCCGTCCGTCTGAGGTAAGCATCGGCAAAGTAGTCTATTTGGGCATCGCATTGCTAAAAGAAAATCATGACGACAGGCTCGCCAGTTCTTGGACGCGAACGAGTGGGACATCGAGGCCGCAGTCACGGAATTCTTCGCAGAGCAGGATGAGGCACTACAAGATGCGAATGCTGGAGGTGGACGACGACTGGGATCGGATGAACCTGCACCCCAGCCGTCTGGCGGTCGGACACTGGGAGGGGCTCCTGCTCCCGCCTCTGCTTCTGCCCCTCGCCAATCTACCCAAGCGCGACGACCTCAACAGAAGAAGTTTGCGACATTGGGAGACTTGCAAGCCAGCAGTGGCGCTGGAGAGTCCACCGACGATGAGGACGAAAACCAGGACTTCTTCGCTGGCGGTGAAAAGTCGGGCCTCGCCGTGCAGAACCCTGATGACATCAAGCAGAAGATCTTGGAAAAGGCGATGAGGTGAGATTGTGGGCTCCTGGGTTATCCTCGATGTAGCCGCTGACAATATTGAACAGGGCACAACCTCCGCCAGCAGATGATACCAAAACCAAGAAAACGTACTTCACCGGCACTGCGCGCACCTTGGGAGGAGACGACACCCCTAGCCAGATCATTCCAGACCCGAACGAGGGCCGACCGCAACGGCCGCCCCGAGTCCGTCGGACGCTACACTTCTGGGCGGATGGCTTTTCGGTGGATGACGGCGAGCTGTTCCGGTCGGATGACCCTCGCAACGCAGAGATCCTAGATGGCATTCGTCGTGGACGCGCTCCGCTGTCAATCATGAATGTCCAGCCGGGCCAGGAGGTCGATGTCGAGATCAAACAACACGACGAAAAATACGTCAAGCCCAAACCGAAGTACAAGCCATTCTCCGGGCCGGGGCAGCGACTGGGCAGTCCTACACCGGCTATCCGAACCTCTCAAGCAGAGACTACCCCTGCACCTGCTGCTGCAGAGCCGCCAAAGCCTGAGATCGATGAGTCACAGCCAATTGTCACCCTGCAGATCCGCCTGGGAGACGGAACGAGACTGACGTCGCGGTTCAATACGTCACACACGATTGGAGATGTCTACAACTTTGTCGCAGCGGCCAGCCCTGCCAGCCAGGCGCGACCGTGGGTGCTGATGACTACGTTTCCCAGTAAAGAGCTGACAGACAAGTCGGCGGTGCTGGGCGATTTGCCTGATTTTAAACGGGGTGGAGTTGTGGTGCAGAAGTGGCAGTAATCTCGCAGACTTGGTGGAGTGTTCTCTCTTTCTTCTTGCCTGAAACCAGGAATCATTGTTTTTATCTAGATTAGATACCTAACATGAAAAGTATGCTCGAGCTGTACTTGCAGTTGCCAGATCGACAATGAGATGTACCAGATCTGCAGAGTACACTACAGATGATACATTCATGTAACTCCTGCCTCAGCATGAATACCTATATGCCAGGATGCTAGAAAACTGATATATTCCATGCCTGATACCTAAACCAAGCTATTTAAAACTGTGCGGTACCTGCTTCATCGATGCTTGTAAGGCAAGGTCATTGAAGTCCTGCCTCTTCTACGCCGCTTCGACAAAAAAAAAGAACGGACTCAATTTTATATTTGCCTGTCGACAATCCAATTCCTTCATAAGCATTATTTCTTGTTAGACAGATATGGACATACGGAGTAGGTACAGGTTATACTTCGTAGAAAATATAATCCGATCCCATTATTATTCTGCCAGCAAAACCCCCCAAGGCGGTATCCCCTCGCATCAAGACGATACCATATCCAGTAGGCGGTATAGTATTTACACTAGCCATAATAGGAAATAACACGTGATCCAGAAACCTCGCGTCGAAAACCCTGGATTTTGGCACCTCGCCACTCTGCCATTTGTGTGTACTGAGTTTGGACAAAGTGAGGCCTTGGGTCTGCTGCTGGGCTCAGCTGGGCTCAGCTGGGCTCATGTAGGTATGGCACCTGCCTCAGGTGTCTGGCACATAAATGCACAAACATTATTGTGCACTGGCACTGCCTAAATTTAGTACCTAGTGGACCTGTCAAGATAATAATAATAAGCTTTTCAAAGCTGGAATATAACTGCTCTGTTTAAATAAACATTACGATAAAAGACTCCATGTTCTAATTAACTCAATCATTTACCAGATTTTCGACTTTATCTCAATCCATCATTTTTCTGACTTGAAGTTATTTTCTCTGTGCAGGCATTGGTTGAGGAAGCTTTGACTACCTACCTAAAGCTAACCCCTAGCGCGCCAAGCTCAGCTACTTACCTATCCTAGCTTCCCTCTGCTGGGCTTGCCGACTATAAATCATCTCGTGAAACCTCTGACGACGTTGGTATTGTCAATTAATATTTGTTTAGGTGTATAGTTCTAATCCTAATGGATATGATGATGCACTCCCTCCCGACATTAAGACAATGCACCACCACTATCACAGGATGCTACAAACAAGGGCAATATCAGGCTCAAAGTCTCCTCCGTGATAGCTACAATATTAGTGAAGCGACAAATTTTATGGTTAAAATGGTTTTTAGTTATTTTCCACACATGAAGTCATTTCGAGTCTTCGAACCACCAATCATTTATTCCAAATCAGTGAAATACTCGACTCGAGCACGCTTCATCTATCTATACAGCACAGGAATTGACCGTCTATGAACATAAACAAAAATGTCGACCAAGGAAACAGACTTTCTCCACTGACTGAAACCACAAATTTCTCTTCCAAAGAGTCCACCGATCTCAGTTCGCTTAGGAAATGAGATGCTTGGCCTTCAGAACTTGACCCAGCTGAGCCAGCTCATCCTGAGTCAAGCCAGTGTACTTAAGGCTCGCGGATCCCATGGGGATAGGAACGGCACCGCCGTATTGGGTAGGGTGGCCGGTAAGCACAGTGGCCAGATCCATGCAAGCTGGAGGGACGCCGTCGGCTTGGACGGCTACATCATAAGTCAGTCATCATTTTTTGTCATCGGATGAATTGTTGGGAAAAGACGCACTGTTAGGAGGCGTTCCCGTCAAAGTGATATGGGCGCCCTTGAGCTGGTCCTGGCACTGCTGCACGGATTGCTGCGACACGCCAGGAGGGAGGTTCGGGATGCTCTGGCGTTTGTGATGGTTTGAGGCCGCCGCGCCGATACCGCCAGCAATCGCACCACCGGCCATGGAGGCGAGGCCGCCGTCGGCAGCGGCAAGAGCACCTTCAGCAGCTCCTTCGGTCGAGAGGACCCCGAGAGCGCCCAAGAATGAGAAGGGCGCGGGGCAGAATTGCACCAGGCTGAAGAGAGCACCGGCGGAGAGGGCGACGACGGCGAAAGGACGCATTTTGCTGTCGTTTGTATCGAGCAGAGTGCTTTTGTCGCAAACAAAGTAAGATGTTTCGTCAAAGAAAAGTCGATGTTTGGTTTTATTGCAAGTTCGCTGATGTTGTCTGGATTGATTGATGATGTTCAACCTCGAGAAAATGGATGCTTATATACCTTTTGTTTGCGCTGCGAGGTCCGTCTCCATGAAGCTATCCATCTACACTCTGATCCTCATCAACTGATCCTGATTACGAGTGTTTCGGGCCGATTGGGGCCATGTTGGTATATCCACTTCCATGGTTCTGCCCGTGAGCGACTGAGGCCAACATGATGAGGTGATGATAATCGTTCAGCAGAACCCATATGGCCCGGAAGATTAATCGAGAAAGACGCACAACATTTCGACTATCTGGACTTTGAGCGTTGGTGCCAGCCTACGAGTAGTGGAAGCATTCTTTATCGAAGTTAAGCGAGAATCCTTTCGATCCATTGTCCCCACTGGCAACGATGTGAGATGGAGGTGATTGGGCATATCTCCTGGGCCCTACTATGTTGATATACTAGGTGCAGGGCCTTCCGCGTCCCCTGCATGTTATCTGATACAGTTTGAGGTGTTAGATTACTTCCAGATCGAGTGGAGGCGGATGTGCAGGTCAACAGACGATCTGTGCTCTCAGAGCCAACACATGACGGTCAAATTTCCCCCACAAAGAGACCCGTGCAGCTGTGCCTTAAGGTTCGTATGTGGCGTCTTTATGGTTAGATCCTGCAATGGATGTGTTATGCATAGGCATTTTGTTCGCGTAAGATGATCGGGTATAGCCGAATGGGATCAATGATCAACATCCTGAAACCAACACACACCAACGGATGGAAAACGGCCCCTTCTTCAGCCCGTGTTCCTTATTGTTTGACGTCACGATGCAGCATATACAAGGGGATTCTATTTCGACGTCAATTTCAAGGATTTTTGCGGACACAGAGGGAATTGGATACAACACGTCTGTTCTAGTTAACCACTCGAGAACTGGAAGATTGACATTTCTCGATCTATATACACGTATACCCCTATAAAGGATTTACAGCACTATTCGAGTGAGATAATATGGGAAGCTCACTCCACCAGAGGAAGACCCATGAGATCAAGACCAATGATGATCAAAAATATGTCGAGATTGAGATGAAACAGCCCGTGATCCACCTCCCGAACACCATCCAACATGACATCAACGATGCAGGATTCTTCCCCCACGAGCAAGGACGAGAATCCTATACCTCTGGAGATCTTCCCAGCAGTTGGTTAGGGTTACGGACCCCAACGGGCGATCAACCAACATTATACGGTCAATATCGTAGCGAAGAGCTTCACCGGTATGACTTTTTATCTTCTAGGTCAATATTCCTCCTTGTTCTCGTCAATATAAATAGCCCTCTGAATACAAGCCCTCTGAATACAACAACGCCACACATCCTCTCGAAGCAAGATTCTCCAGTCCTTCGAAACACTTCTGTCATATATCTCTATAACCCAAGAACAAAAAACACATCTGCATAAATCAACATGAGAGTCGCTGCCGCCGCCGCCGCTGCCATCTGCACCTTCTTCTCCTTCATCCAGCTGACGCCCGCTCCCGTCGCGGCGGTCGCCGAAGTCATCGCGGGTGCCCTCCAGGGAGGCATCACGACCTTCACGGGCTCCGTTCTCAGCGCTGCCACCGCGTTGGGCGTCAAAGGAGCTGCGGGGCACCACAAGCGAGACGGATTCATCACCGTCGACCCTCGTGGGAACGACCCGTTTGCGAACCTGCCCCAGCCCGCGGCCGACGAGTGCAAGGGCCAGCTCCACGGGGCGACGATTAACTTCTCGCCGCTCCCTAACAACGGGGTGCAGATCGATGGCGTCCCGTCGGCCTGCATGACGCTGGCCACTGTGTTCCTGGGGACCAATCCCGAGGGCCCGGCGCCTACTCCTATGGGTATGTATATCGAACTTGTCCTTGATGTGTAATCGTGATGTACTCCGTATAAAAAGAGACAACAATAGTGACGTTTTTTTTTCTTTCTTAGGATCGGCGAGCTTGGCGTATCATAACCTGAGCAATGATGAGCTGAACCAGCTGCAGGCTGCTTTGAATAGCAACCAGGGTCACTGAGGGAGCTGAGGCCTACGGGAAATAGGAGGGATAGTTGAAGAAGTCTATTGAGTTTCTGTACAGTATTTGTGTTGTCTTCTGTCCATGTTGAGCCTTGGGTTGTAAGGATGAGAAGCAGGGAGGGTTCTTGGAGATGTCGATAGATTATTGATCATAGAGTGAATTCCTTCCAAGAAACAATCGCTTATGATAAAAGAAATCCAGAATAGATCTAGATAAACCAAAAATTTGATTGTTTTCTATACATGGTCAAATGAATTAACCCTAACCGTATTTCTCGATACCCCGTGACATGGCGTGTATGAGAAGTTTTCTCCCTTTTTGATACAGAGAGCCACTCAAGGACGACCTAAGTACACAAAGCAAGCAGTAGCAGAGGCCTGGCTGCAGTAACTCGGTAGGAGGATATTCGATTTTTGGTAACTCGGTACGGTGTACAATGATTGATGAGTGACAGCGACAGTGATGAGTAGTCGGAAGCGAGCGATTATCCCTTCCCGATGGGGAAATGTGTTGGTCGATCGTAGGGCTGTGCCGCAGCTATGATGTCGAGATGCATGGGGCTATGAGTCTAGCATGTTTCATAAACCAACAACATCCCCCTCTCCGGACCCCTCATTCATCCATTGTTATTATTAGCATTATGCCGGCCGTGGCCAAAGCACGTCGCTTGGTTAGTGGCCTGAAGTCACAGCCTCACAGGGCATTATTCGGACAAGGGCGCGGAATAACCCCCTCTCACCTTTCATTCATTCTTTCTCCATCAAAAATTCATCGAATACAAAACATGTTATTCCCACACAATGAGCGGTTTGAGCGGTTTGAGAGGTTTTATACGCACCAAAGACCCCCAACCACCCCCTCACCCCATTGCCCTCCGACCAGAGTATATCGCTGATTGCGATACCCTGCTCTACCTCACCCCGCGAGGCAACTCGCGGTCGGACACGAACTATACCGTCACAGATGAGTATGACCGCGTGAGGTTCACCGTCAGCGGCCGACGGTCGAGTGACCGCGAGTGTCGCGAATTCCGCGATGGCTCGGGCCTACCACTCTTTGAGCTCCATCACAAGATTTTCAAGAAATACCCGTATGTGGTCCGACTGCCAGGCTGCGATGACGAGAACAATCTGCTCAAGGTTTCTCCCCGACACCTTTCTGCGCTCTGCAACGTGGAATTTCAGAATGCCGCCCCAGCAAGGACGACGGACGTCAAGAATCATCAGGAAGACGATGCCGATAAAACGGTCAAACTGGTGGTCCATTGCAAGAATGCATACGCCTTGCCCAACTATGAGGTGATGATGGGCGATAGGGTGGTGGCCGATTTCCGGGAGAGTGTAGTGAAGAGCAAGACACTGACGACCCTGCCTTGTTCCCATCTTGAGAGGCCATATAGACCCCGGCCAATCCTCGATCTTCGGGTGGCCGAGGGGGTGGATTTGTCTCTGGTAAGTAGGCTTGTTCATGGCCGACATTGGTGATGGGGACTGACTGGTTGGGAGGCGACGCTGATTGCGGTGGTTGCGATGGACTGGATCTACGGCGACAAGTAATGGGAACGAATATGTGATTGACGACATGTTAGCTTTTTCAACCGTATTGTTAATTTTGTGTATTTAAAATGGCTACGACAATCAGGTTGAAGACAACTATAACGGTATTCGAGTCAAGGACTGTATAAAACACTGGAATTATCCGAGAAAAGAATGGCATCATTAAATGTACATACATACAGGTACAATACGAATTTCACATCAAAATTCACAATAAGAATGTCTCTGCAGACACCACTTCCTCTATTCCTCCTCCTTCAATCATCTAAGTATTGCATACCGCACAATAACCCCGACAATAGCACCCATAGCTGCCCCGATAAGGATCGCGATCAGCGCTCTCAGAAGTCGGTACTTCCACGGCAGTTCCCGCCATGGGACCACGTAGATATTGATCTTTTTTTTCGCGGTGGATCTGAACGCAATTTGAGGGATGAAGAGCTGTCATATGGGTCTTTGATTTGTGGTTGAGACATTGTGTTTTGGTTTGGTTTGGGTACTATTTCACGGAGACATTAATTAATAATGGCATCGAACTGAAGTAGAGAGTGTGAGATATTTACCTCTTGGATGTAGACTGCAGCTGAAATGTCTTTGATTATTTCTCTCTCTTTCTTTTTTTTCTTTTTTTTCTTTCTTTTGAAATGGTAGATGAAGTGAATAAAACAGCTGCTGGTCTATATTATATGCCCTTATGAATGCAGAGTAGGGCACGACGTCATAACCCTTACAGCTATCCAACGCATACCACAACACATACTTTAGGGACATTGGCTACTGTCTATTGCCGATCACTTGGCAAGATTGTCAATCATGCTGTACTCTGTAGTGGACTGTGTTGCTTGTCCCCCACCCTGTTGCCCCGCGATTGCGCACTGCCACTGAATCCAATAATGCTTAATCCAATAATTTTGGTTGAGATGCCACTTGGGGGCAATAACATAACCTTCGCTAAAGATAGTAAAACCTGAACAACAAGAGGAATGTGGAATATAATGGATATCACAAAGAAAAGAAAAGACATGGGCACGTGAATCTTTAATATGCATGAATTTATTACTCTTTCACTGCATCAACAGAGATCTATAGTGCAGGATACCTAGGAAGACAAAAGCTGAAGGGTGTAGGATGTCAAATACGGAAATCTCCAGGATGCTAGAAGCATTGAATCAGAGCAGGTATCCAGGGTATGATGGGCAGGTGGACAAGCCAGGTGAGCTGGAGGGAATTCATTGAGAGACACTGCACAATGTGCAGGCATGAAAGGAGACTGGTGTAAAATGAGGGTTGAATGGGAAAACAGGCGATATAGCCAGCTGTGTCACGGGCGGATGCCCTGAAACGGAAGGAGGTGCTGGTGTAAGTTAAATCACGTGATTCTGCTTTACATGAACCAATAAAATGATACAAAACTATTAACCAATCAGAACAGAAATAATCATAGTCACGTGATTTATTTCTACCAATCGCATCAAAGTAAGGGACCAGAGGGGTCCCCGTGAGTCAAAACAAGCTTTTTCAAAATCCCCCAGTTAGTGTGGATAATTCCTTAGGCATCTACATATGTATAATTGCCGTGGCTATGGCTTCTAGAACTCACTCGTATTCGTCGGATAAATTCAAAATGCATCAGGGGAACGAACGACAACGCACCGCCAGGCAGCAATAATTAAATTGGGATAGGATCAACGAACGGGGGTGAATATATCCTAGATGTACTTGTATACAGGTTGTACTTGATCTTTGATCTTCTAATCTGTCAGAGGATGATACCTGAGTGATATTAAACGACATCATACTTAATTCTTCTGTCTGTCTGTCTGTCTTTTCCTTATATTGCTATAATACCTGTCTTCACTCTCTTTTTGACACTCTATTCATCGATACCATTCAAAGAACCGATTGATACATATCAACCATGACATCAAATCCACCCGCAAAGCCCCTCATCGCAGGCAAAAAGATCATCGTCGTCGGCGCCGGAATCGCCGGGCTCGCGTTCCCTCTGGCTCTGCGCAGACAATGGCCAGAGCAGTACGAGGCGGAATTCCCCTTGATCACCATCTACGAGCGGGACAGTCGCGAGACCAGCATTGGCCGCGAGGGATACTCGATTTCCATCCGCGGAGACCCGCTTGCGGGTGGCATGCAGGTTCTGCACAGGATGGGTCTGCTGGAGCAGTTGCTCTCCGTGAGCATTACGGGCAAGCCTGACGCGCGTGCCGATGGCGGTGACTCTGGCGGATTCTGCCTCTGGGATATCGACTGGAAGCCACTTCTTCGACTGACGGGTGTTTTCCAAGACAAGGAGTTGCCTGCCCCCTCGATGCGGATCAAGAGAGATACTCTGCGACAGGTCCTGATCGAGGCAGTTGGCAAGGAGTTGCACGATGGTGCCATCCACTGGGAGACGCCGTGCACAAAAGTCGAGACATTGTCAAAGGATAATAAAAGGGTAAAGGTGCATGTTAGCAAGAAGAGCAAGGAAGGCTCCTCTGAGCCCCAAGTCGACGAGTGCGATATCCTGATCGTGGCGGACGGGGCAGGGAGCAAAGTCCGCGCGCAGTTCCGCCCGTCAGATACTCTGAACTTCACTGGCATCGTCTGCATCTCTGGCACCTCGCGATTCTCTGAAGGAAACATCCCCAAGCCGATGGACAAGGACTGGGGCGGCGTGCTCGGTGGCGGCGGTGTCGGGCTCTTCGTCTCGCCGGTCGACAGCCAAAGCGCGCTGTGGAGTCTGAGCTACCGGGCAGATCAGCCCCGACAGAGGATGAGACCGCCCCTGGCTGACGACCAGGTCCAGTCTCTCCTCCAAGAGGCGCTGGAGAGAAGCAAGCCATTCCGCGAACCGCTGCAAACCATGATCAAGGCCACCGATCCCACGACACTGATGGTCTTCAACGCCATGGACAAGCAGCCCTTCAGGCACGACGCAAAGTCGAACATCATTTTCATCGGTGATAGCAACCACGCCATGAGCCCCTTTGCCGGCAACGGAGCCAACATGGCGTTGCGGGATGGCTGGTAACGGCGCAGCAATTGTGCAAGCACACGTCGGGTGCGTCGTCGTCGCTAGACCTCGGTCCGGCTCTGAAGGCGTATGACGAGATGAGCATGCCTCGCTCTGCCAGAGCCATTAGTCAATCACACTGGAGCATCTCGATGCTCCATGCGACGGGCGTCAAGCTGTGGGCTTACAGGCTGCTTTTGGGAGTGATCAGGGTGCTCAGGCGGTGGTTTGCGTGAGGGTGTAATCGGTCAGTTTCCAAGAGTCAGTTTCCAAGGGAACGAAAACGTGGGTTGGCTCTCCTCTCACTTTATTCTGTACAGTATGTGCTATGTGTATATTTATGATCGTGAGATATGATTCCCATCTCTTCAGCAATGCACATATATGCAGTAACTCACTTCTGGCATGGGTTAAACACTCGCAAATTAAGGAATAGTACTCGAGCTCGACACCACTCCAGGGGTAAAAATTCTATGGCGAGTTGGAACAGGAGATAATGACTTGAGCATGTCCTGACATTTCAAGAGATCAGGTGACCTCATGAACGCCGGTGAGGACGAACAACAGTTCTTTGTATTGCAGTTAAAAATAAGGTAAATAAATAAAAAAAGAAATAGATAAACCAATAAGCAGAGCTAGAAGTTGGGGAATGCAGAATCACTTTACTAATGAGAGTTGATGATAGCACGTAAATTGATTAGCTTGAGGGCTTCCTTTACTTTTATGTAATGTGCAGTACAGGATTTACTAGACAAAATATAATATAACTTTTAAAATAAGAAAAAAGGGAAAAAAGAAAAATAGTTAAAAAAGGAATAATGTGCTTATGCCAGGATAGCCAGATTTCAAGATATGGCCAATTAATGCATTGTCAACTGTTGATTGTTAACTAATTGATGATGATTGATAAGCCGTTCTTGCTTGATAATCAATCAATCGGCGATGACGCAGAAACAGCTTGCTTTTCTTGAAATTCCGCGCTAAGCAATCATGTCGCCCGCGCGCCCGCTCTCTCCAATTTGACGACCAGTCGACTCTCTCTCATGACACTCTTGCACGGGCAGGACTAAGAAAAAAAAGCATTTGTTTGAAGATGCCTTTGGACGGCGTCAAGAATATTGTCCTGGTGAGTTTTGACTCTGCGTTCTTTTCTCTTCTTCCTGGAAAATTCCGGTTTGCCCCGCGAATCTTATCGATAACAGGGAAGGAAGGCATCTACCTTTTTTTTCTTTCTTGTTGGATTGATTGTCCTGCGCGAACTCGATAGTTCTTTGTACTCTGCTCTCACATTTAGAAGTACTATATGATTTGAATCAGAATACGAGGAATTGACTGACTGAGCGGAATTACGATGACAGGTCCTCTCCGGCAAGGGCGGGGTCGGCAAGTCCTCCGTCACCCTCCAGCTGGCGCTGGCGCTCTCGCTTCAGGGCAAGTCGGTTGGCATTCTCGATGTCGACCTCACAGGCCCTTCGATTCCCCATCTTGTCGGCCAGGAGAATGCAAAAATCACCCAGTCGGCTCGGGGCTGGGTTCCGGTCGTCGTGCACGATGCAGAAGAGACGACAACGAACGGAGAAGGGGCAGCAGAAGAACAAGGAACCACGGAGAATAATAGGACATCGTCGCGCGGTTCGCTCCGATGCATGTCGCTCGGTTTTCTCCTCCGTGATCGCGGAGATGCGGTCATCTGGCGTGGTCCCAAGAAGACTGCCATGGTGCGGCAGTTCCTGACGGATGTCTACTGGGGCGAGACGGATTACCTGCTCGTCGACACTCCCCCGGGCACGAGCGACGAACACATTGCGCTGGCGGAACAGCTCTTGACCTTATCAACTACGTCGACTGCTACTGCACCACAACTGCCTCGCTTGGCTGGCGCCGTACTGGTGACTACCCCTCAGGCGATCTCGACGTCCGACGTGCGGAAAGAAATTAACTTCTGCGCAAAAACCCGGATTCCCGTGCTGGGTGTGATTGAGAACATGGCAGGGTATGCCTGCCCGTGCTGTGGAGAGGTCAGCAATGTCTTCTCTCGCGGCGGAGGGCAGGTGATGGCCACTGAGATGGGAGTCCCCTTCCTGGGCAGCGTGCCGATCGATGTCAAGTTTGGCGAGATGGTCGAGAGCAAAAAGATTGAGGGCGATACCGACAGTCTGGATGGCGAGGAGGAGATGCAAGAAGCTGGCGAGCAGCAACAGCAACAACAGCAGCAGCAGCAGCCTGTCGAGGATAACCGGCTCCTGGTTGAGAAATACCGGGATTGTCCGTCTCTTCCCATCTTCGAGGGCTTTGCAAAGACATTATTAGGGAAGATCGAGGGCAGCGGACAAAGCTGATCCCGCAATGCGTCGTTGGTGTTCGTCTTTTGCCCCATCTCCAATTCGTGGACGATTCGAGGACGTGCTGGTGCCGCGTCCGGTGGTTGCGTCTATGCTCTTTTTGTTCCCTTACAATCTCGTATTTCCTTTCTTTTCTGTCAATGCATACATGCATGGAATGGCGTCCATCCTGGTTATGAGAAAAACAAAATTACACCGGCTGAAATATTAATTCCATTTTGTTACTGTCATCCTCGAATGTATCGATACCAGAGTCGATTCGATAGCTGGCTGAACTAGTAGTTACTAACTAGTTAGAAAGATTCCAAAACTTCAAAATCGGTAACATCCGTCATGATTTATTCATTATCTTCGTAAGGAGAGATGATGTCCATTAACCGTGTTCGTAAGAAGAGGCGTGAGAATTACATGACATTGCAACCATCATATCCATCATGACAATGTAAGAAGGCATGGAAGTCGTCAAATTCGCATCAGTCGTCGACGTCAGAAATCGTTATCAAGGAGACATATCATATGTTCAAGAAGTTCGAAAGAAATATCGTTAATGAATATATATATATATATATATATATCAGTAGATCTCGAAAATCGTGATTGGTACGGATGAGAAAATGGATTAAAAGGGAAAATGAATGCGAGAAGCAAAAGATCAGAACGTTAATAACGAGGTCACTCATCCTGTAGTGACCGCAACAGCCTGTTCGTGCGTACGTAGCACATTGGCCGCGTGTCGCTCGAGCACCGCGCGAAGTGTAGTTTCTGCAGTCTCTGGGCTGGAGGCCCGTTGCGGCTTTTCTCGCTGCACGATCCCCTTAAGCCAAGCGAGCCATCCCTGCACATCGGCCATCAGGGACAGCTTATCAACCCGAGAAGGCTGAACAGAGGCACTGCCATTCCTGCTTGTGCCAGGGTAGTTAGAGGCGGCGAGGTTGGGAGAACCGTGCGAAGTGTCTGGAGGAACAGATGGCCATGAAGAACGATTTGCAGGAGCGTCCACATGGACCTCTGACAGCATCGCCGGAGTTACAATGTTGGCTGCGTCACCTTTGGCACCAGACTGGGCATTTCCCAAAAGAGCCCGGCTGCCAGGTTTTGGTTTTGTAGTGAATTGCTTGGTTACGAAAGAAGATCGAGACTTGGGATCATTGTCAGAGGTTGGGTGGACCACAGTCGAAGACCCCGACATATCCGGCTGGGCTTGAACGGAGGAACTGTCCTCGTGAAGGTAGTGCGGGCTGCGTTGATAGCCGGTGGCATAGGCGGTCTGTCTCAGGTTCTCAAGCAAGCCATACGTTGAGGTGGCATAATAATCTCGCCCATCCAAGAGACTATTGTCGTCATCCACAATGGCGACATTGTCATCAGTCAGTCTCTCACTGCTTGCACTCGCCTCTTCCACCGTTAGTAAACCCCCCGGAGGTGCTCGAATCTCGCCAAATGGTGCGATATGGCTCCCATACTCGTTGGCGAGACTCAGTCTGCTTCTTCCACAGATTTCCGCAATTGAATCCAGGGTGCTCCTGATCTCGGGTTCAATTGCACGCAGAATCCCCTCAATGCTAAAGTCCTGGACTGAGGGCAATTCTGGCACGCGCTGCTGCTGCGTCGCTGAAGCGGATGGCATGGTGGAAGACGATTGCGCCTCATCAGCTGCATCGGGATATGCCCGGACAAGCACTGGCTGAGAGGCCAAAGTCGATGGTCGGCCACCAATGGACTTGGTCTCGCGGTGTCTTCGTGACAGAGGCTTAGAATTGCCATTCAGCTGGCGGAAGGCAGTGGTTCGACGTGCCAGGGTCGACTCATCCAAAGCAGATCCTCCGTGACGGAATCTCACCTGGGGTGAGATACTCGCCGCAGGGGGCCCAGCGGGGTGGGAATAGGATGCCTGAAACCAGTTCTGGTGGGGGAGGGATGAAGATAATCGAGGTCCATCAGGGTGGGTCGGCGTCAGGTCAGATCTGGCGTCCATCTTGTCCACGTCCTGCCGCCGCAGAGACGCAGCAATATGCGTGCAGCGTACGCGCAGTCGAATCAACCCAGCTCCGAACCGTTTGAAACGACTTCCGGCGCGCTGCAGTGGAGTACAGGACGGCCACACGCGAGCACTGCAGTAGCACGAGGAAGAAATGGCGACCAGTAGGCAAATTGAAAATCAATCAGTCATCCACCTACGGAGGCAGCAAAGGTCACCATGGGCGATGACACGCCAGTGACCCGAAGCGGACAGCGGGGTCCAGGCTAGACTGGTTCACGAGCAAGATTGCATGCTGAGCTGCAGGAGAGCTGCACTCTCTGTGGCTCCAGGACAAGGGGCGAAACAGGCTTTGTTGCGCGAAACACAGGATGGCAACCCGAGGTGCAGCAGGGAGTGAGTTGGCAAGCGCTGAGCGGTGGGCAGAGGGAGAGTTCGCGAGAAGTCGTCGAGCAGATGGAGGGGAAGGCGGGCGAAGGCGGAGTCTTAGCTCGCCAACCAACCAGCTGGACACTTCCGCAGACAACACGACGCTGCAGGCGTTGGACAGCTCCATCACGCGGGCTTCCACGGGCGCAGATACGCCGATACCCACGATCTGTGATACAAAGGCAAGGCATGGCAAGGTAGTCTTCAAAATGAGCAGGAATTATGTATGCGACTTTGGTTTCCCGACCGCTCTGATTTATCCATGGATTGACCGTCACCTCGCAGTTTGGCGATTCCGACGAGTCGGGCTCTGACTTCGACGAAGACACCTCCGGCCTCCCTTTCCCCAAGCCGTTGTCTCGATCATCCTTCCTGGCCCCCGATTTCGACCCGGCCACCTTTCTGTCGTCGCTGACCAACCGCCATCAGACCCTCGAGGACTTGCGACAGGAGCTGCGCGACCTGAGCCAGACTCTCAACAAGGAGCTGCTAGATCTGGTCAATGAGAACTACCAGGACTTTCTGTCGCTTGGAAGCGCTCTGAAGGGAGGGGAGGAGAAGGTTGAAGAGGTCAGAGTCGGTCTGTTGGGTTTTCAGCGGGACGTCGCAGCCATTCAGGCAAAAGTAGAAGCACGACGCAAGGAAGTGGAGAGTCTATTGCAGGAGAAGAAGAAGTGTCGGACGCAGGCGAACATCGCAAAAGCTCTCTTGGACATTGCAGAGCGAATAGAAGAGTTGGAGGAGCGACTGATGATTGGTGATACCGCAAAACAAAATGGACAGCCATACGAAGACACGAATCCAGATCTCGACACCTTCGAGAGTGAGAGCGATGACAGTGACGACGATTTTATGGATGACTCCAACGGGGCGGCCGTCATATCCCTGAAAAAACTGGAGCATCACATTCAAAAATATGTCTACATCATCGCTGCCTCCGATCGAATAGGCAACAGACATCCATTCCTGGTCAGCCAGCAGCCGAGACTTGAGAAGATCAAGTCGACTCTACTGCTTGATCTCAACACGGCCCTAGAACAAGCCAAAAAAGCCGGAGACAAACGAGACGAGCGGACACTAAAGGTCATGCGACTCTACGATCTATTGGGTGCCGAGTCCAGTGCGGTCTTTGCACTCAAGCACCTGACGATCTAAATAGCGAGACGATGGGTCGGTTTTGTAATTTTTTTTTCGTTGCTGGCTTGCATAGCGCCGGAGTTCGGAGTTCGGGAAGAAAAAAAAGGGACGGTTTTCAAATTGATACCATTAGACGCCGTAAATAGAAGAAACCTATATAACTAACACATTGCATACGAAAGATACAATTATGTTACAGTCCCGTCAAAGCTTCCGGGTCCGGTGAATTCTCCGACTTGAAATCCCCGTTGAGACTGAACCCGGGTCCGTTGGTCGAACTCAACACCTGACAACAATATCAGCTTCACTAGTCGCCGTCACGATCGTGAGATGAGCTTGACTTACCACCTCGTAGATCTCCTTCGTGATGCGGTCGCTCAGCTGGGCAGCATCCTTCTTGATCTGCTCGATGGTCGTACGCAGATTATCCCGCAGCTGGTCGGGCGAGAATCCCAGCTGGCCAATGGGCATCCGGATCACTCCATCTCTCTCGCGGTAGACTGTACCTCCGCGCAGCATCTGGACCTTGTTTCCAACATCATCGACCACAGTGCCCATCTTCACGCTGGGCATCAAGCCCCTGGGACCCAGATATCGACCCATGCCGGCCTTGTTCATGGCATCAAAACTGTCGGTATGACAGATGCACCGATCGAAATCAATGACGCCATTTTTCACCTGGTCAAAGACTTCTTGCTCTCCAACCAGCACGGCGCCTGCTTCTTTGGCTTCCTTTTCATGTTTCGAGCCAGGTGGGCAGATGACACAGATTCTGGATTCGGTGACGGCATGAGGGAAGCGGACCATGTTGCGAATGACAGGGCCATCCTTCTTGGTCTTCAATCGAATGTGAACCTCATATTTCGCTACTTGGCGGTCACGGCCTACTTCGAAGGCCCGGAGGTATCTGGTTGAGCAGGGTGTTAGCCTAGAAACCACCGCGCCCTGAGAACACCATGGACGAAATTTGCCAACCTCATCGCATCACAGAGTGAGAATTGCGTAACATTCTTCAGATCCTTGTACTGGTACTGCCGAGCACGATCTTTCTTCTTTGGCTTGTCCTTTTTCTTGGCCTGCGCATTATTCTTCGCTCCTCGGACCTGCTGCTGCTGGAGCGGATAGAGAAACGGAGCAATTGGAGATTTTTGCCGCAATGGCGACCTGCAGGACAGGATCATGCTCCTTGCCACTGCGGGCAAAGAAGCAGTGGACGACGCCATGAGGACGGGCGACGGGATGATGGAGTCTGTCGTACTCGGACACTCTGACAGTCTCGAATGTTTTCTCCGAGCTCTTCGGAGATGGCCGGAATAACATAGCGCCGACCGCCTCACGCGACGGCGGCGGCCCGCCGCTTAGTCATCCATTTAGCTCGTCTTTTCTCTTCCCGGGAGTCAGTGTGGGGTTCCGTCTGGAATCACCCCGCCGAACAGTTCAACTTTTCTGTTCATTATTTCACCACAACCATCGTCACTGCAGTCCACTATGTCTGAATTTCAGCTGGTCCTGGCGTCGGGTGCCAACCCTGCCACCTTACTCCCTGTTAGCCTGCTTGCGACCTCCATCAATGAGGCGCGACCAAGCCCTGTAATTGCAATCCGCTATGAGAATGCGCCCGCCCTTCCTGATGGAGACAATGCTACAGTGCAATTCACTGGAGCCAGTGGTACTCCTGTCTATGGGACTGAGAACGCTATAAAGGAGATCCGGGAGACTTTCCCTTTCTTGAAGGGGCAAAATGAGTCCCTGGAGGAGTCCTGGCTTTCTCAGGTTAACCAATTTTTCCCCTCTGATTTCAAGGCCCTTGAGCCTCATCTGCAGCGGCTGGATATGTATCTCATTCTGCGTTCGTTCCTGGTCGGGTACTCCTTGTCTGCTCCCGACATTGCCATCTGGGGCGCCATTCGAGGCAACCGTGTGGCCGTCGCTGCGATCAAGAAGGGGACATTGGTCAATCTGACTCGTTGGTTCTATTTCCTGGAGGAACTCTGCCCATGGGCTGCGCCTGCGGTTGAGGTGCTGAACGCTGCGGCGAGGGAGAAGAAGGCTGCTAAGTCTAGGGAGGGTGCCAGCTATGACATTGATCTGCAGAACACCGACCAGGGTGTTGTGACTAGATTCCCTCCCGAGCCTTCGTAAGTCTATTTGGATCTTCCGTCGAACACAGATTAATGACTTGTCTGTCTAGGGGTTACTTGCACATTGGCCACGCAAAGGCTGCTCTCTTGAACGACTATTTTGCACATGAAAAGTACAAGGGCACCCTCTTGGTCCGGTTTGATGACACCAACCCGTCTAAAGAGAAGGAAGAATTCCAGGATTCTATCATCGAGGACCTGGCCTTGATGGGTATCAAGCCTGACAAGCTGAGTTATACGAGTGACTACTTCAACGAGCTTTATGAGTACTGCGTCCAAATGATCAAGGACGGAAATGCCTACGCAGACGACACGGATAGAGAGACCATGGCTGCTGAGAGAATGAAGGGAATCCCTAGCAAGCGCCGTGATGCCACGGTCGAGGAGAATCTGGCACGCTTCGAGGAGATGAAGAGGGGCACCGAAGAGGGTATGAGATGGTGCATCCGCGCCAAGATTTCCGTGGATAACCCCAACAAGGCGCTTCGGGATCCCGTCATCTATCGCTGCAACCCTACGCCCCATCACCGCACCGGGACCACATGGAAGATCTACCCGACGTATGACTTCTGCTGCCCCATTGTTGATTCCATTGAGGGGGTTACCCACGCGCTGAGAACGATTGAATACCGCGATCGGAACCCTCAGTATCAGTGGATGCTTGATGCCCTCAAACTCCGTAATGTGCAGATTTGGGATTTTTCCCGCATGAACTTTATCCGCACGGTCCTGTCCAAGAGAAAGCTCACAAAACTGGTGGAGAAAGGTGTCGTCTGGGGCTGGGATGAGTAAGTAGTGCCTTCTGTCAGTAAAGCTCTATGGACTAACAACCCCAACGCCCGAGAATGCCAACAGTGCGCGGGATTAGGAGGCGGGGCATGACTGTGCCTGCCCTGAGAGAGTTCATTCTCAAACAAGGTCCTAGTAAGAACATCATCAACTTGGACTGGACGCTCTTTTGGGCCACCAATAAGAAATATATTGACCCTGTTGCCCCTCGTCACACGGCTATCCTTAAGAAGGACGCTGTGAAAGCCACCGTCAAGGGCGCCTCAGCTCCTTACACGGAGAAGAAACCAAAACACCCGAAGAACCCTGATGTCGGTTTGAAGACAGTTGCGTACAGCAGCTCGATTATTCTGGAGCAGGAAGATGCCAAGACTTTCAAGCAGGATGAGGAGATTACCCTAATGAACTGGGGCAATGCGTTTGTTCGGAAGATCCACACTGATGGTGACAAGGTGACCGAACTAGAGCTGGAGCTTCACCTGGAGGGGGATTTCAAGAAGACCGAGAAAAAGATCACGTGGCTTTCTACCGAGGCACAGCAGCTTGTGCCTGTCGAGCTTGTGGACTTTGATCATATCTTGACCAAGGATTCCCTGCAGGAGGAGGACAATTTTGAAGACTTCATCAACCCCAATACTGAGTTCCGGGACGAGGCTTTTGCCGACGGCAACGTGGCAGAGCTTAAACGCGATGACATCATACAGTTTGAGAGGAAGACATACTACAGAGTGGATAGGCCGTATGCTGACGGCCAGCCTGCGGTGCTGTTCTGCATTCCTACTGGCAAGACGAAATAGAGCCAGGAATGACATAGATGGGTGTCTCAGACTATTTTAGGTCAACAAGAGAACAGGGACTATACATCAGATACAATCACCAAAATGCGAACTAGTCAGTCAAATTAGTCTGGGTTGATAGAGGGCGCAGTTGATACCAACTAGGCTAGGGCATGATAGGTACCATAAGGTTCTCGGAACCTCCGTAAAAGTTGGTCTACTCCGCATTTTTAAACTTACCACATGAAACTCCGTACTAAAGAAGGGTCCATGATGCATACCTTCTAGGTATAACTGCGGGGCTTCATGCCCTGTAAGTTTGGGTGCATGGAGAAGTGTTCTAGAGTTCTAGACCATAAGGCCTTCTAACGGCGAACAACTCTTAATAGTTAACAGTAATCCCCTACGGAAACTCACAGTCAAAGCCAAAAAGGAAAAGGAGTGTAAGTTACCGACATGACAAGGATTCTGAAAGTGCCGAGGCTGGTTGCCATAGTCGCAGATATATTAATATTATCAAGTACCTAGTAGGTAATATTAAAATCAAATTAAGTTAGGATCGGTTGAGTTTAATATTATTATTGGGTGCCAACGTCGTATTAGGTAGCTAAGTAGTATATCCAGGTCCTGTACGTACTCGTACTCACCATCTAGATCCAATCAGCAGGAAAGTGTACAGGGAGGTAGTAAGTGATCTTCACATGTCATGTACCTCATTTTTGGCCGGGTTTGCCAGAGAAGCCTAGGCTTGACTATAGTGCATCTCATATAGCAGGCTGAGCTCTTGTTTTATGGCTCCATAGATTTGAATATTGACAGGGTTCCCCGCATTGGTTACCATTTTACTCCATTTGAATCTGAATAGGTAGTTGGTGGATAAAGAAGACGAATAAGTCGATGGCTAAGCTCTAAACTTCTGGTCTTGATATTGTCAGTTTCACAAGCTTGAAGTCAGTGCCGAGGTAAGCTTTGGTCCTGTCATATCATGCATCCCCCCTCTCCTCCTTTTTTTCCCCTCTTCAACGGTAGTTCTGGAACAGTTAACCAACTTTATCTGCAAGACATGCACGCCAACTAGATTGCATTAGTCTCCTGCTTTTATGTAACCATGAACCGGGGGTCGATGTCGCCATAGATCATATTTCCCCGGATTTTCGGGCAAACCAAGTCTAGAACCTTCATCATCTTCATCCTCATCGACATCGACAGGGATAATGGTGTCATGTATGAAATATGCAGCCCAGAATCACCTGTGAATTTATACTGCTGGCCAGATGAAACTGTTACCATCATACACAACGGAGTTGTTCCTCTTCTTGGATACTTATTAGTCAATGAATTGAGTAACAGGGTGAGGAAATGACGGAATAGAGGGATATAAAATGGTGCAATTTTCCATCTGTAAAGTTTCTATCAAGTCGATAGTCCTTTGAGAACGCGTTTGATATTGATAAATACTTACTGTGTCTATCTTGACGACCTCCTTCTCCTATCTGCATAAATCCAGTTTAATCTGTCATTGAAAATGTCCATCAAGTCCCTCGTCGTCCTATTTCTCAGCTTGGCAGCTGCCAGCCCTTTGGCCAAGCGCGACGCTGCCACCGTTCTCGCTGATCTGAACACCATCAGCACTGATCTGTCGACCTTGGACACCGCTGTCCAGGGGTTCGATGGAAACATCCTCAATGCCCTGCCCATTGCTAATGATGAGAGCACCGTCGAAAACGACCTCAAGCAGGCAATCAGCGACACTGATGCGTCGTCTGCATTTAGCACCAGCGACAGTTCCAGCGTGACGAGCGCTGTGACGGCCCTCGAGCCCAGCATCAATAAGACGATCAATGATCTTGTTGCCAAGGTATGTACTGACTAGAAGCGTTGAATACATTAGCGTTGTATCTTTTCTGATGACATTCTTTACTTACGGTTGACATTTCTAGAAACCCCAATTCTCATCCGCTGGCATCACCAGTCTTGTCCTCCAGGACCTCCAGTCGCTCCAGAACCTGACCGACACGCTGTCCAGCAGCCTCCAGGCAAAGGTGACCCCGTCGGACGCCAGCACCATCGCATCCGGCACGACTGCTTTGGATGCGGCATTTGCGAGCGCGATTGCGGCATACTCTTGAATGATGATGGAAGACAGCCAGGAATGGTATTATTGAGGCGGATTAACTTTGGCATTCAGAATGCATTTGACGTGAAAAGTGCAGACCAAACTATGAGTTATGTCTGAGCTTCTGTTTGAGTAACTAGTAAGATGTCGATTGAGAGAGTCAGGAATGGATATCTCCCTTCATTTTGATTAGCAATATGCTTGGGATCGGTCGTTCCATGTGTACTTAGCCGATATTGTCAGGATGTTGTTTCCAAAGTGATGCTGCTAGCTTTCTAATACTCAGCAGTATACAGTGTTGCGCGAAGTTGTTCCAAGTGATCTTGCTACAAATAGAAAATATTACCTGATTCTGTGTTGGGGCCTAACTCTACGATCAGAATGGCAAATATCGACTATACCTATTCCACTATCCTAAGAGAGACCTAGATAAAGATAATGCGTCCATGTACCGTACATAGCCTTATCTCTTCGTGACACAGCAATGCTTGACCTCCCACCTGCAACTCGCTTCGTTTGCCATGTCTGTCCAGACGACCAACCAGGCTGGATTGCAATCCTCCTACATCCCTGCCCCACCTCGCCATCAATCAGTAAATAAAAAGAAGGCTGCTCAGAGCAGCAAGCTTGCCTTTTTTTTTTTAGTAGGTACGAATCCTTAGATTCTAATTTAATCCCCCATCTCTGTCAAAGAAACAAAGCTATTCATTAGTTTCGTTTTCTTCTAGAGGAATATTCCAGTCATGGCGTCGACGAGATACCTTTCCACGACAGTTGTCGTCGCACTGCTGTTTCTGGTTCGTAACTTCGAACTACCCATCTACCTGAGATCCTGGTTATTCCTTGGCTGACACGACTCCAAATAGTCAACTTGCGTCTCTGTCATTCTGGGCTCGTGAGTCTTCCCTTTCTTAGTCTGTGACATTGCTATCGTGGATAATCATCAACTTCTGAAGACGGGAGCCAACAATCGACAGCTGGAATAAGACAATACAACCATTACAAGAATGGCTGACTTTTCTTCAACGCAACAGCATTGCCTGGTCTCGCTCCGTCTCCCTCTTCCTCCCCTTCCCCGTCTCTCTCAGTGCCAGCGGGACTCTTCTGCCCGTGCTGACTATCATCACTCTCCTGACGACTAACATCGTCCTCTCCCGAAGAAATCGAAAGAGAATCACTGCTAGCAATGGCACTAGCACAAGCAACAACAATATCAACAATGATAGACCTGTTACCCAATCCAGTACCACAACCACCATCATCACCTTCCTCATCGACCAATTCTTCACTCTCGCACCAGCCGTCATCGCCACGCTGGCAGCAAGCTACATCTTCCCCTCCGGCAGCACTGCCGATACCTGCCATCTCGAAGAGACATGGCAGTCGTACTTCCGGGCCAAGAACGCAGACGCCATCCGCACCATCCAGGATGCGCTGCGGTGTTGCGGGCTGCGAAGCATCCACGACCGCGCGTGGCCATTCAAGGATGCGACGCACGGCGACGATGCCTGTGCCGTGCAATTGGGATACCGGCAGAGCTGTCTGGATCCGTGGAGTGAGGTTGAAAAGAGCACCGCGTGGATGGTGTTTGTGGCGGCTGCGTTGGCGTGGTTGATCAAGGTTCGTATGGACAAATCCAATCGTCGTTTACGATCAAATTGCACGTTTATTTTATTTCTTTAGTTGTTTGCTTGCATGAGACTTCACTCTTAAGCATGAACCCAAAATGATTTGTCCATGATTGTGCATACGTGAATTTCTCACTGACGACATCAACCCTCAATCAAACTATCCAGCTCGGCCTAACGCACTTTGGACCACTACACGGAACCAGTCCGTTTGATTTACCCAGAGGAGAAAACCAATACAGAAGTAATCTCTGGATCAACGGCATCAACGGGTCCTCTTCCATCCCTCGAATGCTCCCTTACTCGGACGTCCCGCATGCAGACGAGCACCGCGAAGACGAAGACGAAGAAGAAGGAGGAAGAGGTAACAGCAACAGCCACGGCAGACAGAATGCAGATAATGACGGTGAGAATCACGACAATGGTTATAATAATGGTCAAGGGAACCACGGAACAGGAACAGTAGCAGGAGCAGGAGCAAGGCCAGAATACTCGGACTCAAGTCCTTGGAGAGAAGAATAATTGTGGCTTCGTTCTCTTGCAATGGCTACTGAATATTTTTTGCAATGCAAGAAGCTAAGTGGAAGCGCCAGACACCTGATATGGAATGAACCCATTGATTCGTGGATGAGAGTGTTATGTATCAGGGATACAACAGGTTGGTAGGATTGTTCTTGGGTTCTTGGGGTGCAAGTATGGGTCTGAAATCTATTGTGTGTCGTGTGCAGATGGATATGGAAGATGAGCTGAGCAATTTTTTGTCTCCATTCCTTTCAATTAATCATCTACAGAAACAGAATGCTGTGCTTTAAAGGTTATAACGATAGGATCTAACGATACCGCTCATTACAAGCCGTGTCCGGGCGGTTCGGTTCCAGACAATTTTAAAATTCAGGGTTCTTCTTTGGATCCCAGGTAATGTCGAGAATTCCTTCAGCGTACAACCCGGTAACAATGAGACGACCTCGCTTGGAGTCCATATCGCCCGTCGTACTGCTAGGATAGTGGTCGCCATCACCTATAAAACACATTGTCAGTGAGAAGTTTGTATTGGATCAACGGTAAAAGCGTGGATATACTTTGGTACAGAGTCCGGGCACAGTATTTGTTTTTCAAACAGAACAAGACTGCAGGATATGGAGCCGGGTCTCTTCCATTTCCCCGACGAATCTCTGCCACGATGGACGGTGCTTTGCAGCCATTAGCGCTCTTGGCCATGCAAAACAATCTCCCAGCATCTGGGCAACCGGCTACGACAACTCCACGCAGGAACCTTCCATTTGCATCGAAGACCGTCGGGTCATCCAAACGCAAGGAACAGTCAAAGCTGAGATTGTCCGGGTGAAAAGTCACCCGGATTTTATCGTATCTGCTCGACAGAACATTGGTCTCCGGGTCACGCTCGTAGATGCGAACGCAGTTTGTACTAGTGGATGCGACAAGCACTTGTTTTCCCGTCGGGGTGATGACTATGCCATTCGCAAAAGGGATCCCTCCAGCAGCAATTGTACATACCGGTGTCTCCCGAGCTGCAAAGTCTACGAAGGTGACCCAACCAAGAGGAAGCGCCAGGGCAGTTTCGGTGTAGGCAAGGATCGGGTGCCTTCTCTTGATCAGGTAGTGGTCATTCGTGACATAGAAGGAAGTATACGAGACTGGGGCGACAGCATTGGGGGACAAGATGCTGCGATCACCGTCCGAAATCGAGGTAACATAAATTGCTCGTGCTGATTCGTAGTCAACATCCATCACCTCCACCGTGCCGCCGTCGCGGCGATGGTTGACGACAAAGAGCCGGATTCGAGGATCTCCAGGGGTGCGGAAGAAGTTGATTCCCAAAGGATGAAAATCTGCGGTTGTTGGAAATCCTACCAGCTCCAGCTGCCGGATGCTGCCTGTGGACGCATAGTCATACAGCAGAAGATGGCCCCTGGGGTTTGGATCCTTCAACGGACCCTACCAGTCTTCGTAAGCAATTTGAACGTACAAAGACATCCGAAAATTAGAATGCAACCAAACTCACCAGTATGGTGTTCCAGAAGACTCGCCCAGGGTCCGAGCTGATAATGGCGAACCCCCGTTCATGGTCCAACACGACATCCTCTGAGAATTTCACCCTGTCCTTGAAGAGAATCCATACAAGACCCTTGTGAAACGGGTGCCAGCGTTCAGGAATTAAAGGGAGGCTGATCCGTGGTGCAAGAATTTTGTAGACGAAAACTGCGAAGGCTGAGAGCACAGCTATCGCAGCAGCAAGCTAGTTGAGTAATACAGTCAGTGAAAACCTCTCTTATGAACACTCCTAAATCTGGAGTAGCATACCTTGAAATAAGAAGCTTGCAGGGCCATTTGCTGAGAAGATCTTCCGTTGGCTAGGTCATAATTTCCGTTTCTCGTTCAGGAATTAGGGAATAGGGAATTAGGTAGTTAGGAACTGGGCTGTCATGCCAGCAGAACGGATTGAGATGATGGGATAAAACGACCAACATGATCCTCGGCGGGAGGGCAGCGCTCGGTATGGATCGTTCTTTCCTAACAGAGATGCTGTATGCGCTCCGGTCGGGTTCTTGGTGACTGTCGTGGACGATATTGTGTCGAGATTCCTACATCACCAGATTTCATCCAGAGAAGCCTATCATTTCTCTTGACAAGATTCAACTGTCACTACAACAAAAGAAATACCCCATTTCGATACCTATTTATCTAAGGGGTCTACGGTATCTTATGGAAAACTTCGCAGGATGAGATGTTATTCCAAGGGCCTTCGCAAAACGAGTTTACCATAGCCATGATGCGGTCCAGGACGATGGGTGCGAAAGCAACTTATAGCACAGTAGTAAGAAGTGCGCGAGTTCAACATGGACGATGTTGGCAGGCAAGGACTACCGTAACGAGCAATCGGCAATAATTCCTCAGCGGGTTCCCCGCCTGGCTCTCCCCAACCAACCTCAGAAGCTTCCACCAACCGTCGTCAACAGTCATGACCAGCTGCAATTGAGTTATTTTCTTAAATGACACTCACAAGTGATCGATCCAATCCGGGATTCTATTACAATGGTTGTATTACTCTTGCCGACAGACGTCTTCCTGGTAAGCCATATGAGCTCTCTGCATCTACCGTCCCGGCTCCAATTGTCTCATCTGGTCTTCCTGCTCAGAATCTAACCAGAGATTTTTGCCAAAGAAGATGCAGTTTATCGGATCGTCCGGAAAGTCAATGGGCACCCTCGTCGGCACTGGCTCGAAGTTCAACACTGGCTACAACCTCGGGCCTGAACGGCAGTTCCCATGGTTTGTCAATATCAATTCCTCTTAGGCACCGTCTCTGTACTCTACCTCCACCAGTGGCAATGATTCTCGACGTGAATTAACTTCAGTGGGATCGGCCAGTCCTCGTGCTAAGGTTGACAATAAAGCTAGGCTTTGCCAATCACCGCCAACGAGTTCCTGGGATTAGACGCTGGGAGTTGAAGGTTTGCTCGGCTTCGACTCAGCAATAAACACCTCGTACGTCAAAACACGTCAAACTTACCATTGATGCGTCAGGACAGGGTCACTCTTCGCTGCAGCTTCGTCCCGTTCTCATGGATGACAGACCGTGGGATGTTGGTAGCCTAGCCCGTATGGGAGCAAAGCTACATCTTTTTGAAAGCAATCAGCCCTCATCTCAGAAGCAACCGTTGCAGAACCCATCCTAATTATATCTACGTCATCATGATTGAACTTCAAAAGCATCGTTTACCCCGTCAGACACGAGCATGTGCTCCTCGGTTGTTCTCACTGGCTTGAGAGGGGCCGAGAGCACAAGCAGCAAGCGGCCGCCATGACGGCGTTTCTCCTCAGCTTCCAAAGCCTCTTTGATTTTCATTCTACCCGCATGATCAGAGAGAACTTGCAACCGAAATAATACTTTCTCGCCCCCCTTCTGCGCCTGTACAACTGCATATAGGTTGCAGGAAGGACAAATATCCCTTCCCCCTAAGATCGGCTGCTGCCCTGAAGGAAAGGCCTAAGACACCATGTCCGACAGCCAGCCACGTTCCGAGCCGCTTTCTGAGCCACGTTCTGACGAGCAACGTCCTGACGACGTGGAACAGCAGCCGTCCCGCGAGCAGCGGCGCTCGTCTCGCATCTCACGTCGAATGTCACGGGCGACCAGCATCGCGAACGATCCGAATTTGGATGAGTATGAGAGACTTGTCAAGTATGTTTCTGTGTACCGAGAGCCTGGGAAGGCCGAACTTGAAGAGGATCAGGAGGGCGAGATGCGGAGGGTATGGTATGCCCCCTGGAGAAAGAGATGGGTTCGTAAACGGAAAGCAGAAGGGGCACCGCAGTTCCCAGAAGACTGGCTCCTCACCGATATCAAACAAGGCCTCACGAATCAAGAGGTTCTCAATCGACGTCGTCGTTCGGGGTGGAATGAACTAGTCTCTGAAAAGGAGAACCCAATTGCCAAGTTCCTTTCCTACTTCCAAGGTCCTATCTTATACGGTGAGGCTCTCCATGATTTTTCTTAAAGTCTTCTTGTGTTTATTATCTGCTAACAGTCGTCTTCAGTTATGGAGTTGGCTGTGCTTCTTTCAGCTGGTCTGAGGGATTGGGTGGACTTCGGTGTTATCATCGGTATTTTGTTTCTCAACGCATCCGTCGGTTGGTATCAAGAAAAGCAAGCAGCAGATGTCGTTTCTAGCCTGAAAGGTGATATTGCCATGAGAGCAACAGTCGTTCGTGAGGGCGAGGAGCAGGAGATTCTTGCCCGTGAACTCGTCCCGGGGGATGTGGTATGGCGCTCTCTCCTGGACACTAGTGGCACTGTTACACTTCGATTAACATGCTGGCAGATTGTTGTTAGCGAGGGCACCGTCGTTCCCGCGGATGCCAAAGTCATCTGCTCCTATGATGATCCAAATGGCTTTGAAGAATTCAAGAGGATGCAAGCAGAAGGTGCCTTGGGAGAATCGTCAGAAGAGGAAGGTAGCAATAAGGAACAAGGTGGGGAAGAACGTGAAGAGGACGCAAGGCTGCCAGGTGAAGGGGAGAAGAAAAAGGAAGGCGAAGGCGAAGGCAAGGAGGAAGAGGGAGGTGAGGAAGAACAGGAAAGCAAAAACAAAGGGTATCCCATCCTGGCCTGCGATCATTCTGCCATTACGGGAGAATCACTGGCTGTTGACAGATATATGGGTGACATTATCTACTACACTACTGCATGTAAGCGTGGAAAGGCCTACGCTGTCGTGCAGACAACAGCAAAAACGTCGTTTGTCGGACGAACTGCAACTATGGTTGCTGGCGCTGGGGGGAAGGGACACTTCGAGCTCGTGATGGAGAACATCGGAACGTCTCTTCTTATCCTTGTCATGGCATGGATTCTCGCTGCCTGGATTGGTGGCTTCTATCGACATCTCCCCATTGCTAGTCCAAAAGAGCAGACGTTGCTGCACTATACACTGGTGTTACTGATCATTGGAGTTCCTGTCGGTCTTCCAGTTGTCACGACTACAACCATGGCTGTTGGCGCAGCCTATCTCGCGAAAAAGAAGGCGATTGTGCAGAAGCTGACCGCAATCGAATCCCTGGCCGTATGTGGAACCCTTCACGGAAGCACATCACTTTACTAATTGGTACCAAAGGGCGTTGATATCCTGTGTTCCGATAAGACTGGAACCCTTACCGCCAACAAATTGAGTATTCGGAATCCTTACGTTGCGGAGGGTGTGGATGTCAATTGGATGATGGCCGTGGCCGTTCTGGCGTCGTCCCATAATATCTCGGCCCTTGATCCCATCGACAAAGTGACACTTCTCTCGCTACGGATGTATCCCAAGGCAAAAGAAATCCTCCGACGAGGCTGGAAGACCGAAAAGTTTACTCCATTTGACCCAGTATCCAAACGAATCGTCACAGTTTGCAGTTGTGAGGGGGTCAAATATACATGCACCAAAGGCGCCCCTAAAGCGGTCCTGACATTGACGAAATGCTCGCCACGAACTGCGGAATTGTACAAACAAAAAGCACAAGAATTTGCACATCGTGGATTCCGCTCTCTAGGGGTGGCCGTGCAGAAAGAAGGTGAAGATTGGAGGTTGCTCGGTATACTACCCATGTTTGATCCACCGCGTGAAGACACAGCGCAGACTATCTCAGAGGCTCAGAATCTTGGGATCAGTGTGAAAATGCTCACAGGTGATGCACTTGCCATTGCTAAGGAGACCTGCAAGATGCTTGCGCTGGGTACCAAGGTTTATAATTCTGAAAAGCTTATCCATGGCGGACTCAGTGGTGCAATGGCCCATGATCTGGTAGAGAAGGCCGACGGGTTTGCAGAGGTTTACCCAGAACACAAATATCAGGTGGTTCAGATGCTTCAAGAGCGTGGCCATCTAACCGCGATGACTGGTGATGGGGTTAACGATGCTCCATCGCTAAAGAAGGCCGATTGTGGCATTGCGGTTGAAGGGGCTTCAGAGGCTGCTCAATCTGCCTCGGACATTGTCTTCCTAGCTCCTGGCTTATCGACGATTATTGATTCGGTCAAGGTTGCGCGGCAAATCTTCCATCGCATGAAGGCTTATATCCAGTACCGTATTGCGCTCTGCTTGCACCTGGAAATATATTTGGTTACATCGATGATTATTCTGAATGAGAGTATCCGCACGGATCTGGTGGTCTTTTTGGCGCTCTTTGCCGATTTGGCCACTGTCGCGGTCGCCTATGATAATGCGTCGTTTGAAATGCGGCCGGTTGAATGGCAGCTCCCAAAGATCTGGGTTATATCTGTCATCCTCGGCATTTTACTTGCAGCAGCGACGTGGGTGATTCGTGGCTCGATGTTCCTGCCGTCTGGAGGCATCATCCAGAACTGGGGTGCCATCCAGGAAGTCCTTTTCCTTGAAGTGGCCCTGACCGAAAACTGGCTGATTTTTGTGACCCGCGGCGCGGAGACTTGGCCGTCGCTGGAGTTGGTCGGCGCAATTATGGGTGTTGATGCCTTGGCCACCATCTTCTGTCTGTTTGGCTGGTTTACAAACCAAACAATGAGGACGAAGCCTAAGGACTCATACCATGAGACCAGGAACGGATGGACGGACATTGTTACTGTTGTCCGAATCTGGGGTTACTCCCTTGGTGTCACCATTGTCATTGCACTGGTGTACTATATCCTGAATAGGGTTGAGTGGTTGGCCAATTTGGGTCGGAAGAAGAGAAGCAAGGGAGACATACAGATAGAGAACCTGCTCGCACATCTTGCCCGGGTCACGCTTGAGCACGAGAAGGAAGGGGAACCCAAGGGCCGGTTTTACCTCGCGGCCAACAAAGAGGAAGAAGAGGCGGAGTAAACCTGTCGATTGTCGAATCATGATCCTGTATCTCTGTGGTGTTTTCCAACCTACGGTGCGAGTTACGAAGTGTGACTGGGGAGGTTGGTGGTCAGCGGAGATGCTGGCTCCATTCAATCTTCTTCGCAGTATGCATAATGGGAAAATGCATGATTATGGATTCATGGGAGTAATGGTGGAGTTATAACTGAGGATTGTTTTCAGAAGGGAAGTTGGGGTCGCTAAAAGTCTGATGAGAATACTTTAATTGTTATATCCTAATATTATTAATGTTACATGAAATCGAAATTAAGAAAGACAAAAAAAACATGGATCAAAATTTATCAGCCGCAGATAATCCATCTCGTCAGTGGAAACATTCTGATCCTCGCATGTGTGGGGTGCGGGTTAAAACCGTTACCCCTCTTGCGATGCGCAACACAACTGCAATATTATTATTGTCATCTCATTGTTCTCTGAATCTACATCAGAATACTCGTCTGTCTGGGATTTTCTCTCTAACTGTGCTAGACGTGTCGGAGGTGCTGTCCTGACTCCATCATCATGGAAGGCCGCTGCCAGTGTTCTCTCATCCGCTTTACCACCCCCCTCCCGGAACCTATCAAGATCTTTATCTGCCACTGCACCGAATGTCGACACCAGTCGTCATCAGCATACAGAATATTAGTCATCTTCCCTTCATTTGAGATCTCAGATCCAAAACTTCCTGGAAAGGACGATCCAGCGATCGGCATCTACACGCGCCAGACCCTCACGGATAACATCCTCGAGTGCCTCTTCTGTTGGAACTGCGGAGCGCGTCTGATGGACCGGACCCCTGGGGAGCCGACCCTGTGCGTCAAGGGCGGGTGTCTGGTCGGACTAAACAAGGAGATGATAGCCAAGGCGGCGCATGTCTGGTGCAAGGAGGCGGTCGTGGAGGTACCTGAGGGAGTGGAGAGGTGGGAGGAGAATCCTGGGAGGGGATGATCCTCAGAAAGAATGATGTTGACACAGTCAGTATAAGAAAAAGGACAGGGAAATGTCATGAAGTTGTGTCTATGTGGGGTACATACCGTAGGGTCAAAAGCTCTTGGATGTTTCATTCCAACGTGCCAATTCAATCCCATAGTTTCGCTGGAAATTTCATTCAACCAACTTATGCATAGAATAAAATACATATTCATCATGATCTGATCCTGAAATGGGAAATCTCTGTTACTTACTGTGGCAGATGGTAGACAATAGATGGTCGTTGACAAACCTCATGTAATTAGTAATTTAGATCAGTTAGGGCATTCCCGCCCTATCCAAAAGATAACCCAGCCACCTCGACGGACAGAATGGAAGGTGTATACTGACAAACATTAATAGACTATGAAACAGGTGTCATGACATCCCTTTTGTCCCAGAGAGTTATATAGCTATCATGCTTCGCTACCTATCTAGGTGTCCTCCCTAGATTGCTTTCCCTTGCCTGCATAGTCACGTGGAATCCATCCATCCTTGCGGGTGCGATTCAACAGAAGAAAAAAAGGAAATTATATTATGTGATACACGTATGCACCTACATCTATTCTACTAGATTTATGCAGAAATAATTTTATCTTCCTTCCTTTGTTTGTTGTAAGTAAACGAGTATGACTATCTGGATCTGGCATTCATACCCGCCAAGCCAAAACAACCACGAGCGTAAATTAGGTAGTCTATCTTTACATCTATTCTGGTTAAACGTTCTTCAGCCGTTCCTGGCTGCTACATTCCTGCCGTGTTACTTACTTCCTCGTGCTCCTGCCATAATGCTGTCGGTAGCTATCCAGTTATTCTTGTAGGCTTCTGCAAACTGTCTCTGGCTTTCCTTTACTCTGTTAGGCGACGGACTCAACAAACAGGCATGGTGATTAATTAATTTTAGTCTGCGTATTAAAATCAATCCTCCATTCAAGTTGTGTCTCCGGATCGGGTCAGAAACCGCGGTCATTTCCCCCTCATGGGAATCGAAGGAATTTGGTGCACATATACCTGCCACAACTACAATCTTAATGAGCGAGTTCGAGTTCGAGTCAGAGTCAGATGTGAACTCTGCAGTGCAGGTTGATCGGGTGAGGTGATCATCTTCTGCATACCGAGTACCTACATACGTAGCCACATGTTCGTGTGATCTACATACCTGACCCATCCTGCATCAAGTGCAGTTGAAAAAAAAATTATGGGGAGGGGAGAGAGAGCTCCAACGCAATACCAAAATTCAAATTCATATGTGCATACCAAACTATGTACAGAAAGAATGGAATGTAATGTATGTACATGAAACGAGAGTTCCAGTTCAGGGCAATCACCAGCCACATCGAGCCAAGCGATTCGTCAGGCATAACGAGGTAACGACAGACATGCACATACCACAAGAATATCCATCCTATCCTGTCGTGTTAACCTCCCCCAAAACTTCTCCCAGAGTGTTCTTTCTATTTCTCCCTCTCTCCCCATCTCTTCCCGGGTCTCCACCATAACTGGCAGATCCCGAGAATGGGTCAAGCAAAAAAGGATCGATTTTTATGGTCAGTTCAAAACTCAAAAAGGAATGTGACTTTGTTGTTATTTGGAATTGGAGCAGTCCATGCTCTCTGTTTGTCAGTCCATCCTCCCTCGAGAATTCCTTCCGGATCCCGCCAGGGTTCTCAGAGGTTTCGTCTCAGTGGATCGCTGATTTAGACGTAGCGGCGCCGGACAACAGAGCGCATGATGCGAGAAGCGCTGCCGTTCAGAGCAGATCTGATTCCAGAGAGGAAACCGCTGTTAGCGTAGGCCTGACTGGCGTCCCAGATCATGACGCCACCGAAGCTGGAGAAGCCCTTGGCGTATTGGATGATAGGAGCCAGGCTCGAGACAGGCTCGTAGCCGGAGCCAGCCGCAGTGGGCCCACCAGGAACACCGAGGTAGACCTTCACATTCGGGTTCTTGGAGACGTTCTTGGCCCAGGTGTCCCAGGTGTCGAAGTTGAAGTTCTGCTGCGTGGTGGAGCCGGGAGTGAATGACTGCAGTCCGCAGTAGTTGTTGTAGAACTGCACCCAGATGGCGTCAAAGGAGACGGTCCCGTCGAGCATGGGGTTGTCTGCAGCATCGGGGTAGGGGCATTGAGGCGCCGCAGTCAGGTAGTACGTCTTGGACGTGTCCTGGTCCATCAAGGAGCGGAGCTGGTTGGCAAAGGTAGGCATGTTGGACACGGTGGACTCAAAGTCGAAGTCAAAGCCATCAACCACCGCGTCGCCAAACGGGCGGTTGATCGACGAGTTGGATCCCACGGGTCCAAAGGTCTGCCAGATCATGTTCGCAGCGTCAATGGCGGCTTGCTCGCTGGTGAAACCACCCTCGCTGTAGGTGGCGCCTCCGATGGAGAGGAGGATAGTCTTTCCCAGAGACTGGCAGGTCTTGATGTCCTCTCTGATTTTCCCACCCTAGTCAACACGATGGTCCTCCAGTGTACTTTGGGTATAGATTCGGCACTCACGCGATCTGCGGGCAGTTGTAAAGCTCAGTGCCCGGGAAGTAGGTGCAGTTGTTGCTCGCGTTCGCAAAGTCGATCACCGGAGCACCACCAGGGCCATTGAACTCATACAAGAAGGCGAGTGGGTAGACCTATTGATAATGAGTACTCCAATCGATTGCGCGTGCTCAGTGGGATGATCATACATCAATGTCCGTATCTGTACATCACCAACGGCGAGGTTAGCCATTATTACGCGTTGTCGTGCCTCGAAACGACGGTACCACTTACTTTGGCAGTAGAAGGCCAGGTTCTTCTGCGCCTCGGCAGCCGTGCCACCACCGCCCGCCTGGATGGAGTTCTGACCTGATTGGGATCCCCGTCAGCTCTGCATCCTTTGCTCGCTCAGCAGACCACCTACCCCAGTAGACGGCAATGTTGGACTTGGTCAGATCCCAGGCAGCACGCGCGCCGCTGAAAGAGGACAAGAAAGCAGAGACGAAAAGCGTGGTCTTCACGGAAGACATGGTGTGTGAAGGAATGGCAGACCTGCTATCGAAAAGGGAATGACAGAGAATTATTGGCAAAGGAATGGAAGAGGGAGAGAAGACTTGACGAAAGGCTTGCTTTCTGACTCGGGGAGGAATGAATCAAGTGAAGTGAAAGCAAGGTCTCTTATTTATAAGTTCCTCGACATGTGCCTGCTACCTACTGACTGTTGCAAGCAATCAGATATCAGGGTTGCACCACGATGAAGCTTAGCTCTACCTTTACTCCACACCGACGTGCCACCATGACAGGCCCCATCGGCGAACCGGACGCGATGAGATGATACGGAGGCCTGGAATGTGATGGATGTGAACTGTCCCCTGACCATCTCACGTCAGCCGAATGGAAACGGCAGCCGGCGCAAAGCTTGCCTTCCATCGCCAGCAGTCGAGATGTGCCAGCTTCGTCATCTGAAGAGCTCCAGCAGAGCTTGATGACTGCCGAATGTAACTCTACAGCTTTCCCTGGGCACGATTCTTTCGAGCGTGAAGTGACTCGCAGCAGCCACGAGAAGCCCAGGTCTAGACCAAGCAACGCCCTCGCCGCATTCAAGGCCATCAATGACATCCTTCCGGCGTCTTGACCACTTCTAAATTTCGACATAGGAAAGGCTAACAAGGTTAATCACTAGTTAGAGTCACACGGCCAATGTTATCTCGCGTCCGGACGTAGCTTGCGCGTGGTCGGGCCCAAGCGTTGCAGCCGGCAGTCCGTCAGCACTCGACAGTTAATTAGGGTGGTACAAGCTCATTGCTCGAGTCTGCACGAGGTGCCAAGCTCTCTGGTCGATCTGATGCCGATCTCGGTCAGCCAAACACTGTCGGGGCTGGAGCCTTGGGTACGGTGGCTCCACAGTATGCAAGCATCCAGGAACAGGAAATCTCCCTCGGAATAAGCGTGTCCCAGTCCTACCTCAATGATCTTGGTGCCCTCCTGAGACGGAGTCCACCATGCAAGACACCGTCATGCGGCACCTACATCTCTCACGGCAGGATTTCTCCGACATGTCGACCAAGGTGATTCGCAAGAACGCACTGTGGAGGATGGCAAAACGTTTACAATGGCATGTTGAAGGCTTCCCTTTGCAGCGACGTCGCATTCCTCGGACCAGCGGGCCGCTCACTCCTCCACTTGTCGGCCACTTACCGCAATCTGGGGGCCGAAATTATTTCCACACGTCCTCTTTTTCGATGCGCTAACGATATTTGTGATTTGCAGATGAATGCGATAGCAGCCGTCCAATATTAAGTCGCGACCATCGTGGCAGAAACACAACTTGACTCGTCACGGGAGTCCCTGTCGCTATCCATGGATGGAGTGATGGAGTTCCCGCTTTGACGCCCATTTTCCGGAACAACTCAGTCCTCTGGAAGGATTTCCCGACCAGAAGTGTTTTCCTCTTCGTGCGCACTACCCCATAGAGCATCCGTCCTGGCGGAACAAATGCCTCGTTTGGCAAACTTTGGGTGAGAAGTCGAGACAGCCCTGGTCGTTTCATCGGCATGACATTGCACGCCGCTAAGCTTAGTCTAGTATGGCACGCCATATCGCCTGCGGGGAAAACCGAACAAGGTTGCATCCTCTAAGACGTTGTTCCCCACCTTAATCGAGATAATCCACTATCTCATCCGCGTCCAGCGTCCTCCGTGCAACTTTCCAGTTACCAGATGTTCTTCTTGCAGTGTGCACACGACACCTTGGTGGATAATAAAACCGTCATGTCGTCGTGAGGGATGCAAACGCCGACGCTGGCAGGCAGCCTGCTTGCGTATGCTTCAACCCAACTCCCTTATCTTATGACTGCTGAGGTGGTGCTGGCCAATGTTACCCTGCCTGAACGATTCCTTCCGAACAAGCTTAATTCGACCTCCACTACGGAATAGACCCCGTGACGAACCTCGTTACCGACAGTGGGCCCAACTCTATCGTCCTTATCGGGATTTCGAGTACGGAGGGGAATGAAAGACAGAGAACAGACGAGTAATCGGAATCACAATCAAAGTCCTGTCCCGTCCTTCGGTGCGCAGAGCTCTGGTCGTTTTATTTCCCGGTCTGGTTGCCAATCTCTGATAGGGGTGCTGCGCTGTCATGGGTTTAGTGATAGAGCCAAGATAGTCACGTCACAGTCGGGAGTCAAGCGGCAGCAGCGGTTCGCCGAGGACTAAGCCAGTTAATTTGCTTACTCCCCCGGTCCAGTGAATTAAAATATTGTCGGTGTTAGAGAACCGTTTCATATGCTCCTGGAATTCGTTTCGATTGGGCTGCTGAAAAGGGCCTTTCATGTATTAAGGACACGTCAACCACCAATCACAGCAGCCCAATTTCATCTTTGACCTTCCAAATTGGACTTGTATTTCCCTTTCCGTACTCGGTTCACATCTGTCTTCCCATCACTCTTTCCTGCAGATGCATCTGCATTGTGCCTGCCTTGCATCCTCAGTCTCCCCAGTCTCTGCCCACTGACTGGCTCTTATCTCCGGTTGACTGGTGTGCCATCCACAGGGTCAGTTTATAACCTCTCCGTTGTGTCCGCTAGATGAATCAGTAGGACTGTCCACGTGTACCCGTTTATCTGCGATAAGCATCTTCCCGAAGAGTCCGCTATCTCGATTTCAATGCTGCAGACGTCAAGCCTGCAAGATCCACTTCTTGTGACCCTGTGAGATGTCAAATTTCCACATTGTACAAACGCTGATGACACCTGCATTGCCGAAAGGCAGCAGACAGACTTTCATGGGAGGCACCCTCGTGGTTCCATTGCATCGAGGCTTTATCCACCGCTGTCACCCGTCCATTGAATGACACCTTAACGTGCTCTGGTATGTTTGCCTCCATGACACCAAACGAGACCCAGGCAGCGGCAGGAGACCTTTGGGTGCTTGAAAGAGTCGAAATAGAGAGATTTGGCGAAAAGAAGACCAGTTATCGAATGACGGTCTGCAACGTCACCTTGCCATGTGCAGGTTGCAAACGACGAGAGAATGTTGTTTGCCTCCGACAAGCAGATGACCAGAAGCCCTGCGTTAGAGTTTGTTTTCGCTCACACCACCCTGTTGACCGGTCAAAGACAGTTATCGGACAAAGCACCCTCATCTCTTGCAACCCTATCGAGAAGGCAGTAATGACAAATAATTCCAGCTTATGGGACAGACGCTTAAAAGATTCTGAACTCGACTCAGATCTTGTGGATTAAAGCCTAGATATTGTCCAAAATGTTTCACTCTTATGAACAGGCTTTCCAGTTGTCAACGAAATTGACCAACCCTCAAGCAGAATGCGAGAGAGGCTTCTCCAGTGGAAGCTGGTCCAACTGACACTCATCTTCGGCAACATGGTACATTCCGTTCTCTTTCAGATGCCTCCAAATTGTTTGTATAAAATCCGCCCAGGTCTGACCAGGCCTGGAGCAACTGAAATTGTAACCTGTTGGTTCTTATCTTCTGGGATATCAAAGGCAACATTAAACACGTTCAACCAGAAAGCAATACCGTAAACCAACACAGTGGTCTCAGAGTCCAGGTCGCTGTGGCTACTCAGATATGCGTCTCGACAGACGAAGGTACGTTGGACAATAAATAGACTCTCTGTGATAAGCAATTTCCTGGCAATGAGTTCAAACTGGCCTGACTCCTAGCCGAAATCTGCCGACCACGTGGGTATTATAGGTATATACTACTTGCAACAAAAAAAAATAAAAAACATTCTTTCGTCATAAGAATGATGTCAAAAAGCAGATGTAAAAATCCATTGCCTTCCAAATCCTGGCTAAAATGAGGTTTATTTGTTTGCACTGGTGATAATTATACAACTAAGATGCAATCACCAGTAAGACTTGAAGACCATGATCTCGCTTCCAGTAATCAATCCACCAACAGAAGCCATAGTATGCTCTGTTACGCCCATCTATTAATCATGGGTCACCAGTACGAGCCTGAAGCATACCGGTATGGTCATATCACAAATTCACGTGTGAAATGCTACATCCTCTAGTGTAAGAAGGCGTTGCCATGCTCTGAAGAGTCTTTAGATTGCCGTTTAAGGATAACTGATTTTCTTTTGCAACAAGACGTTTGTGCTTGTTTTGGCTGTTAATCGCGATTTTAGATGTGGAAGCAGACAATAGTCTAATTAGCTAGTAGTGGATATCTGGACCTTGAAATATATAAAATACAAACCTACATTGAATTTCTCGCCAGATCAGTGAGCAACCACATTTCTTCGCTTTAGCACAGCGCTTCTAAGAATAAAGTGACCAATTGATAAGTCTCTAGATAACGTTGAATGCCGGCATTTCCCTCCTTAACCAAAGGTGATCATCATAGGCATTCCGGAGTAGGTATCTGTACTGGACGGATTAGGGTTGATTCGAGAATACCGATTACGCAACAATTGCCGTGTCCTGAATGGCCCGCAGAGCTCACCGCCTTGCTCGCCATACAAGACACTCCTTTAATTTGCAGGCATTTCCCTGCTGTCAGGTCGAGTAATTGCGTATGTCTCTGCTAAAAATGGCACCAAGGCTGAAGTACTTTCGATGATGGCAGGGATACCAGTCCTCCATTCCCTGCAATTGCAGGCGATGGAGTGTTTGTGCCTGAGGTGTCGACCCCGCCGTTATCGCCTTCCCCGCTGACTCAAGCAGAATCAAAAATTACTCCCCCACTCTATCTCCTCTCTTCCGTGCAGCTTCCTTTTGTCGCGTCCCTAGATACCCCCTTTTTGCCTTTCACCATGGCCACGGACGAGGTTACCAAATCCAAAATCGCAGAGGGAATTCAGGCCCTTAAGACCGATGAGTCGGCCGCTTCCAACGCCCCCGGCGACATGGCCGCCGCCCCGCCCGTGGACATGGCGCAGGATATCAACCCGTGGAGCGTGAGCGGCGCAATTGTCGATGGGAAGCTCAAGGCAATCGACTACGACCGTCTGGTGGACACGTTTGGCACCCAGCTGATCACGAAGGAACTCCTTGAGCGCTTTGAGCGGGTGACCGGCCACAAGCCGCACCCGTTCCTGAGGAGAGGCCTCGTCTTCAGCCACCGCGACCTCGATTGGATTCTGACTCGGCACGAGAAGGGCGAGCCTTTCTTCCTGTACACGGGCCGAGGGCCTAGCAGCGATAGCATGCACCTGGGGCATATGGTTCCTTTCACATTCACCAAGTTCGTCCCCCTTTGCTTGCGGCCAAGGGAATAGAAAGAGACTGACGGAGATCGCAGATGGCTCCAGGATGTGTTTGATGTTCCCCTCGTGATTATGATGACCGACGACGAGAAAATCATCTTCGGCAAGAAGAATTACACGATCGAGGAGATGCGAACGTTCACCCGCAACAATGCGAAGGATATTCTGGCAGTGGGATTTGATCCCAAGAAGACGTTCCTGTTCAGTGACTTTGATTTCATGGGCGGGGCCTTTTACGAGAATGTCGTTAAGATCTCTCGTCTGATTACGTACAACATCAGCAAGGCTGTATTTGGCTTCAATGAGAGGTACTGTTTCCAGGACAACCTGGTCGAGCTAGATAGATTCTGACTCTGTTGTTTGACAGTGATAACATCGGCAAATCCCACTTCGTGGCTGTGCAGTCTGCGACGGCCTTCGCGACCACCTTCCCTCACATCTTTGGACCAGATCAGAAGAAGAACGCAAAGATTCCCTCTCTAATCCCGTGCGCCATCGACCAGGATCCCTACTTCCGGGTTTGCCGTGACGTCGCACCGCGTCTGGGGTATCCTAAGCCCGCTTTGATTCACGCCAAGTTTTTCCCAGCACTTCAGGGTCCCGGCTCGAAGATGAGCTCGTCCATTGACACGAGCGCTATCTTTATGACTGACACTCCCAAGCAAATGTATGAATAGGCTCCTGTCTGATTCTTCCTAGAGATCACCACTGACTTGGCTTCTCTTGCTCTACAGTGAAAAGAAGATTAACAAATACGCCTTCTCCGGCGGTCGCGACACGATAGAAGAGCACCGCAAGTATGGTGGCAACCCCGACGTGGATGTCCCTTTCCAGTACCTCAGCTTCTTCTCCGAGGATGACGAGGAACTCGAGCAGATCCGCACGGGCTACATGAAAGGCGAGATTCTCACCGGAGAGCTGAAGAAGAAGTGCATTGCGAAACTGCAGGAGTTCGTTAAGGCTTACCAGGAGCGCCGAGCAGCGATCACTGACGAGGTCCTGGATGAGTTCATGAGGGTCCGGCCGCTACAATGGGGCCAGGGTCGGGCGGCGGCAGCAGCCCCAGTCCAGAAGGAGTCTGAGAGCAAGTAGCTGCAAATCATAGAGAAAACCAGCCTCTCTACTAACCCTCCCACCTATCTATCTATCTATCACATCTCGATTTCCTCTTCCTGTCATCATGCTAGCCTAGAACCAAACAAAACAAAACAAAAGAAAATCTCAAGGACTCCAGAATCCATCCACAATGTAGACACCACACAGCGTGTCGGTGATGATGAAATGAACAAGAGGAAAAAAAAGCAAACAAGAAGGGCTGGAAAGAGGGTGGTGGAGTTTAATGTGCTTAATCTTATGTTTGTGATGTGATATAATGACATGGTATTTTTCCTCAGTTAGGGGAAGAAAAAAATTTCCTCTCTCTCATTCTCGCCCGCAAGTCGTATTTTACATTTACGTATTTACGTATTATTCGACTTCATGGTGATTGGAGATCGATCGATAGATAGATGGATATTTTACACATCATTTATTGTTTTTGCTAGAAAGAAATTGATATTAAGCTATACACTAAAAAGAGAACAAGAGAGGAGAAGACTAGGTAGGTATCTTAAAATATACATATGCAGATGGCCCCTTAGATAGATGGTAGGAAAAGGAACAGAAAAAAAGGGGGGAAGGGCGAAGAGGGTAAAGAGGAATGAGGACGAGGATGAGGATGAGGATGAGGACAGATTCTGCAAAATACCAACGCTGAGAACGCTAATATGTTGCTGATATGCTCTCAACGAGAACGGGAAGGGAAGAGTGGGGTGAAGGAGGAAAGTGAGCAACATATAACGGTAGCGGAATGAGTAAGAAGGAAATTCGTTAGGTGCATTTCATAGCTGTATCATTAATAAGGCATCGGTTCAACCTTTCCAGAACCAGCCTCCATTAGATTTATCTTGATTGCCGTCTGACGCCTTGTTGCTATCAGACGCCCGTTGCGTCTGTTTGGCAGGAGGATTGACAACTTCCACAGACTCGTCGCTTTCCTCACGGCCATCGGAGAAGCGCTTGGTCTTGACAATCTTCGTCTGCACCGACCCGTCAGGCAATGTCCTTCGTTCTCTCGTTGTCAACGTTGAGATGATGGAAGGCTCTGAGTCCTTGACGTCTCCAGACTGCGGTTTTGTATCCGGAACATCACTCTCAGAGTTACGAGTGTCATTCTTGTTCCAGCTAGATTCGCTCTCTCTGAAGTGCTTCTCCCACTGCCGTCTCCTCTCCTCCCATTCTTCGAGGTGACGCTTCCTCTCGTCGTACAACATTCGCATGAGAGGACTGTCTGAGAAGGCTCGGGAGTATTCGCGTTCATGCGTATCGAAGATGTCTTGAAGGAATCGGTCGTACAGATCGAGTTCTGTCGCCGCGTCTGCTTTCTCTGACTCCGCGTGTTTCTTATCGCCGGTATTCGAAGCAGACGACTCGGCTGTCGAGGATTTGTCATTGTCGCGCCGTGTAGTCCTCTCCAAAACGATGCTGGAAAGAGAGCTGTCTTCCGGCCCCCCGATCAACTTCCAGCCACTGCCCAGACTACCTCTCTGGATAAGCCCCCGCAACCACTCATTGCCCGTCTCCTTTCTGCTGTCAGAGTCTGGACTCCGGTCCAGCATGGGCTGGCCATTCTCAATTCGCAAGAGATCCTCAAAAGCATCCCGCCACCGGGGTTCGGATCGATCTGTCTCGCCAGTAGACTTTAAAGAAGAGAAGAGTGATGAAAAGATGCCTCTGTGCCGGTCCTTCTCGCGCGAGCGCTCAAGGTGCAGAGGGGAGTAAGGGCTAAACAAGATATAAGGAATCGGCCACGCATGGGTGCCCTCTCTGCTGAAGAAGCTGTCCGAAAAGAAGGGATGGAACGAGTGGAAGGGGCCAAAGCCGAAGGGGAAATGGTCGTCAAAGAAGGAGTCGAAGCCAAAGAAACCGAACGGTCGTCGAGTATAGAAGCGCCACCGGTCAAAGTCATCCCAGTCTGACCACCTGCGTCCACCCCACCATGGGTCGTAAACTGTATTGTTGCCGTTGGAATCGGTTGATCGACCGTCCCTCTCGGAGTTCGCGTTCGAATCGGCGTCATCTCCGTTTCTCCTCTGTCTATAATGGTTGTGCTCGTCGGCAAAGCCCAGCCATCTATCCGGAAAAGGCGGAGCCACGATAGAAGGCAGACCCATCACTGACTGAAGCATAGATGAGATCTGCTCGTCGGCGTAGCGACGAAAGGCAATAAATGGGTTCTCCTCATCAAGCCATGACCGCGGCGACGTTTCGGGACGCGCGGAGGGGCTGTTGGCCCCGGTTTTCTGCTCGCTGGAACGGTCGTCACCAGAAGAGTTCCCCATCGTAGCTGTGGAAGCTGTATACGATGAATGACGACAAATATCCGCCGTTTTAGACGTCTCCAAGCGTCGTTGGAGTCGACATGTGAAGCTGGTTGGCGAACTCCTTAAGTCGAGACTCCAAGCTCGAAGGCGGCAACCAGCGGCAAGCCATCCCCTCGGCTATCACCACGTGACATCGTGTCAAACAGAGCAAACTTTCCTTTTCAGTCGTCTGGCGATTCTCGTTTCTTCTACCAAGCCCTGCAGCATGCCTGATAACGAAGTCGCAATTTGTTGATCTCGACTTGAAAGACCATAGAGTACATAATAATGTGTCATTCTATAAAATGCATACATAATGTGCAATTTTGCAGTCATCACATTGGTCTCACAATTACATCATGTAATTCACTGCAGCATCCCATTTGATCCTGCTTCACAATGACCAGCATTGAGCATACTCCTAACTATCTGTTATATTATTCAATAATTAATAACCTCACAGATGAGGCCGATCTTGAAACTCCGTCCATGCTTCATCAAATCCTGTCGAGCGAACCCACATTCGACCAGGGCCGGATACTGAGTCGATAACTGCTCCTTGTCAGCACCTTACCGGCCAGCCTATGGTTGTGTGGTGATGGGAAGGGCCTTCGTCACATACTCATGTTCCCAATTTTCAGCCACATGTCTCCTTGGATCACGAATCCCTTCTCCTTCCCTTGGCCCTCGAACGGCCTGCAGACCCTTTCTCCGTTCGCAACGGCTCGTACCATTTTCACCACATGTCCGTCATCTTGGGGATGCACGACGCTGCTATGGAATATCTCATTCCAATCTCTTGTGATCGGGTAATTCGTGACCTCGTCCAGGAGCAGCTTGGGTACGCCGCGGGAGACGTACATGGCGAGATCCATGCGACCCTTCCATTCAAGGAGACGGATCTTGGTGCGCAAATTGATCCAGGGACGCGAGAAGAATGCCGAGTAGAAAATTGAGGAAGTGACACAGTGCATGAGGAAAAAGTCAAACTTGATTTCTTTGGGGGGATGTTGGGCCGTTGTGGTGTAGTAAACTGTATCACAGCACGAGTCAAATTCATGTTTTCCATGCAGGCCCTAGGGGTTGATGTCACTAACCAACAGTATTGATCATCTCCGCTAGCTTTTCCTCCAGCTGGTCCGCAGAAACGGTGTATTGACTTGCATATTTGACCATCTCATTAGGGGCTCTCTTCATAACACCGTCTCTGATCTTATTGCCATCGGACCAGTGCACAGATTGTGCAATTGTGCTGTCCTGGCGGAGTTCGTCGAGGAGCTGCACAAGCGTCTTCGTTCCTCGTGATCCGATTCCTGCGGAAGACCTTTCTGCTGGCAGCAGATAATCTCCGATCCAACGGTCGTGCGTAGCAGTCTGGGCAAGAGCCTCCGCCACAATCGCCGGCTGATTGAACTCGATGCCAAATCCGAGGTGTATCAGCGGATGGAGAAAGCCTGATCAGGCAGGTCTCTGTTAACGACACGACAAGCCGAATAAAATATCAGCAGCGTACCTGCAAACAGCCTGACCAGCATATCCTCGGCATGGTCGTCTCCAGCAAACAGATGCTCATTCACCACAGCTTCCACCCCTTTTTCATCAATTTCCCGTTGGAAAAACACCAGAAAATTTGGGTAGTGTTCCTCCTTTCCTAGATAATCTTGGAACTGGTGTTTCTCGATTATTGTGTTGACAACACCCTCGTCGACGGGGAAGACTGGTCTCTGGTAACTGCTGCCACGCTCGTAGGCAGTCCTGATAGCCTCTGGTGACGCTCCAAGGGCATAGAGGGACAGTACATGGTGTACTATGTGATCTAGTAATTGTTAAATTATTCGATGAAGGATCCAAAGATATTCTAGAAATGAAGAGCCCGGCTTACTATGGAATCTTTCTACATTGAAGTAGATATGATGCTTTTGCAGATCCTCTTGCAAAACCTGGCTGGCAACCTCGGCAGAGTCTGCCCTCACGCCTGTACTGAGAACACCTGTGTCCGTGGTGGACAGCTTGATCGTAGTGGCCGTAGCCATGTTGGTTGTTTCAAGTTCCTGCGCGTGGTAGTATTTCTCAACACCGGGAAGTGCTCGTACTGCAGGTCTTATCACTCTCCAATCTCGTAATTGAGGCTGGACCACGCTGTTCGCCGAGCGGAAAGAACGGAACAAGAACTGCGGGGGGATTTGCTTGCTATTTATAATGGAGCGACACTGCAGGTGAGTTGTCGAGTTCCTTGAGCCTGGGACGACTGTATTCTCGCCAACAACTGACTTGGGACCGAGTCTAGACTGGCTGGACTTAACAATGCGGAGAGTGCGACGAAAGCTGTGCATGAGCTAGTCTCAATGTAGGACACATCTGTTATTTGTGCAAACCACGGATTAGCTATGTATACTAGTATGCACGCACGTTGATTAGTGTCGATCACACCTGGATGGACAAACTCGAATAGGCGGGGAAACCTGACATTTGTTAATTAATAATAAGGCTGATCTGACCAGGGTGGGAGAGAATACGTACGATCTAAGTAATTGAGAACCAATGGTTGCCCAAGCATGCTTCAGTATAGTTAACTAGCAAAGCGAACAGAGTTAATGGAGTTCGACTCCGCGTTTCCGGTGTGACGGTGGCTACGTCATACCCTGCAGGGCGTGAGTAAATACGGTCAGCAGACACCGTCCATTCATTATTCCTGTAAGAATTATTTGGCAATTAATGGGAAGGTCACAAGGTGAGCTCTCACAACCATGAAGGTCCAGTATAACGACATATGAGCATCCCACCGTCTTCGATCCCTCGAGAGATTTTGGTCTCGAGCACGCCAAGAATACATGTAGAACATGGATGTACACGCATACGTGAGTAAAGTGCTGACAGACAGTTCTATATAATGAATAATCGATGAAATCAAGAGTGTACTCTACAAGAGGCCATTTGATCGACCCAATAACATTTGAATTAACTCTGCATGTCCTTGCTCCATAAACGGTTGACCACTTTAGTCTCACAAAACAAAGAGACTGTCCTCCATTTTTCAGAGGTGAACGTTCATCCTGCCTCAAGGGTGCTCACACTAGTACCCAGAGGGTGCAGCTAGACCACTGTCAGAGAGTTCCCTAAACCAATTAAGTTGGCTGGCCTCACTTGCATAACTAGCGCCAGTTAGTGTTTAGATGGCAGCGAACTGCATCCAAGTGAGTGACAATGGATTTAGCAATAGGCAGAGTCTCCGGATTGGCCGAGGATACATCGTTAGCCCTAGCAAAATGTACTCTCTGTCGCACAAAGAGGCTCATCCATTGTGGGACCAAGTCGATATGGCTAATACCAGCATTGGCGTTGGTTTCGAACTCATGAGCATCTTTATGCTCACATATTCGCCTCCCAGTGAGAATCAGCACAGCAGTGTTTGACATTGATGAATTTTATCAGGCTGGGATTCGGTTGCTGCATGAAAGCAAACACTAAATTTCGATTTCTCGGTGCCCCTGTTAGTAACAATGCATTCCCAGAAGACCTGCCTTTTGCCGTGGAGATTTCTTTCGCTGTTTCTCTCTTGTTGTCACTTGCTCTGAACTGCACTGGCGTCTGGCGCCTGTATCACATTTCCCTGAATGAGACGAATAGTTGTGTAGCCACCTTTCTGTCTTCCAAGTCTGATATAGTGCCGATTACCAATGGAAAGCCACCTGGCCTGAGAAAGTGCGGAGCAACCAAGTTCTGGAAGGGGTTTCTAAAACGGACTCAGGATTTCCCGTCATCGTTCTTTTCGCGATAGGAAAATTCAATGTAGGGAGGAGCATCTGGCACTGTGGTGGATTACTGTTCGAGAAAGAGAATCCCCAAATAAAAATATCGCGGCATGCCGGTGTTATATAACGCAACCAGCAGGCGTTGTACCAGTCAAACACAGTCCTCCCCAATTGACTTTGGGTCTCTTCGAAGACGGTTCCACCTGGTTGAGTTCCGATGCCAGTGGCAAACGGTATCGCGTCATATGAATAATCAATCGTCCTATAATTTCCCATCGATCTGAAAGCAACACATCCCACACCCAGGTCATATGCTGATTGGTAGGACGTACTGAGCAAGGATTCCTTCGATAAGGGCGAGAGAGGGGAAGAGAAAGAAAAAGAAAGAAATAGTAAGAAGGGTTGTGAGGGTTTTTGAGCCTGTTCGATTGGTCTGTCAGTTTGATGGAGTTACATATGGAAGGACGATAGTTTAGGATGATAGTTTAGCAGATTCCTTTATCAGCCCTGTATGGCTGCAAGAGTAGCAATCGAACGAGTCTGTATTCCGTACTGTACCATTCTTTGTTTTCTTCGTAAATCACGTCAGTTCTTCTCGACAGGGACGGTCACCGAGTGGAGCCAGAGCCACAGATGATAAAATGATCAACGCAACGCGTGTCCACAGCCTTACTCCACCGGAGGACGCCTGCTGCAAAAGAGGAAATGTCTCTCCGAAGCGATGGATGGATTGGGAAGGATGAGGGTGGTCGGAGCAACTCCGACGACAGTAATCCGCGCCATTTATTAATCATCCTGGAGCATGCGGGGCAGCACAAGGAGGGGCAGCAGCACGAGTGACGCACGCACTCGAGGCCCAAGGGGTCCCTCAATCCAGGTATATCTCGCTCTGTCTCCCAAGGCGTAAACGTGTTCTCCTTCCTTTCTTTTGTGATCACCCAACTCGCCAACCAATCCTCCATCCGACTGCGCCTTACCTGCCAGAGCACCAAGTCACCACCATGTCTCTCGGAAAGAAGTACACGCTCAACACCGGCAAGGAGATTCCGTAAGTCCACAAAATATCCCTTCTCCTCAATGGTTGTCCAGCTAATGCGTGTCGAATTCCAGCTTGCGCGGTTACGGAACTTGGCAGGCTGCCCCCGGCGAAGTCGCTGCCGGTGTCTTCGAGGCCCTCAAGGCGGGCTACCGTCACCTGGTAAGTGTTGTTCGAGGAGCCTGATATCCATAATAGCCTTCTGACCATCTGGCGTGCAGGACCTTGCCAAAATGTGAGCAGATTGACCGTCGAATTGATATAATTTGGGTTGAAGGTTGCGACTTGCTAACCTTATTGTCGAACACAGTTACCAGAACCAACGCGAGGTCGCTGAGGGTCTCAAGAAGGCCTTCAAGGAAATCCCCGGCCTGAAGAGAGAGGACATCTTCATTGTGCGTAGCCAATAATGGGCTCCTTTTATTTCACATTATAGATGGCTAACTAGGAATTTTTTTCCACTACAGACCTCCAAGCTCTGGAACAGGTATGCCTGCGACACACACCATTGAGTTTCCTCACGTCGATTAACCATTCGCAGCCAGCACCGTCCGGATGTGGTTGAGGCTGCTCTGGATGACACCCTGAACGAGCTTGGTCTGGACTACCTTGACGTATGTATCCGTCTGCATCTCTCTTCCATGAGGTTTGAAACAAGTGGCTGACTTGAGTTCTCTCTACATAGCTCTACTTGATCCACTGGCCGGTCGCATTCAAGACGGGTGACGAGTTGTTCCCTCTTGTGGAGGGAAAGAACCTTCCAGACGGAGATGTTGAAATTGATGACAGCATTTCCCTCGTTGACACGTGGAAGGGTTCGTTTCTCTGAACTGGCAAATTTGAGGACTGAATGTGACTGATCGTCTTCCTTGCAGCCATGATCAATCTCCCCAAGAGCAAGGTGCGATCGGTGGGTGTGTCGAACTTCAACATCGAGCAGGTGAGTCGAGCCTTGAACCTCATTGCTATCTGTGCTTGAGCTGATCGTTGGGCCTGATATCTGTAGCTCGAGGCGATCATCAAGGCGACCGGTGTTGTCCCTGCCGTCAACCAGATTGAGCGTCACCCTCTCCTTCAAAGCAATGAGCTGATTGCCTACGCGAAGGAGAAGGGAATCCACATTACTGCCTACTCGGTATGTGTTCTACTGACGAATGGCCTAGCTGGCTGGCTGCTAATATTTCGTGTCTCCTATCCTAGGCCTTCGGAAACAACATGCTCGGTGTTCCTCTGCTTGTTAACCGCCCAGAAATCAAGGAAGTTGCCGAAAAGGCTTCCAAGCGCCTCGGTACCACGGTTACTCCCGCTCAGGTGATGTAGGTCAGCTCCTCGCTCTGGTATCAACGCTGTCTAACCTTGTTTAAACTGCTAGTCTCGCCTGGTCTGAGGTTGGCGGACACAGTGTGATCCCCAAGTCGGTCACTCCCTCTCGTATCGTCGAGAACTTCACCGACATCGAATTGGCGCCTGATGAGATTGAGGCCATCAACGCTCTTGGAAAGGAGCGCCGGCGCTACAACATCCCTTACATTGCAAGTGAGTTTCCTTCCCTATTGCCTTTTTTATGTCCTCAACAGAACAAATCTAACCCTGTCTCTTTCTCTCTGTACAGACAAGCCTCGCTGGGACATCGACGTCTTCGGCGAGCCGGAAGAGAAGCCTGCTACCCACAAGGTTAACCTTGGCGCGTAAATATCTCGTTCTAGATGAGCGCTTCAGTGATACTACCCCCCTTCCTCCTCCTCCTCATCGCCCCAATTGCGGGATCGACTGCTGGAACTGGAACTGGACAGGCGACGTAACGTCTCGTCTAATATCAATTATATTGTAGCAGAAACACTTTTGCTTGGCATGAAAATCAGCTCTTCCATGTCGGGGACATACATAAATATTTATTAGTCCTGGCACAAATTAAAAAAGAGAGAGGGGGGATGGGTAGAATGTCACTAAAATTCAAATTCAGAAAGGCTAGATGGTTGAAGAAGCCTAGATAGACGCCGATGATAGAAGAACAGAAATACACATATTGTAATGTCTGTCTATGAAGATCCTATATCGATCCTATATCGCTCTATTTCTTTTTTTTTTCGCAAAAACTGGCAAGCCTCCTTCCGTGTGATGATGATGGTAACTAACACTGGGAATTTGTCATTATATAGTAGTAATATGGCTTGCTAAGATTTAGGAATGTAGATTTTCAAATAATGCATAGTACAGTAGAACAGCAGGTAGAATAACCAACCCGAAACGCCTTTAAATTAAAAATTAAATCCCTGTCCAGACGCCTGTATTTGCAAAGGCCCATCATCATTATCATCACCATCATCTCTATTCATCCCCAAAGTGAGTGATTACCATAACTAATCTGTGTGAATGGCAAAGCCTGAAGGGGAAAAAAAAATCAAATGCACTGGTTTACCGAATCAGGTAATGGTAGGCACTGCATCCCTATTATGGACAGCCCCACATAATAATCGGAGCGAAGACGAGAAATAATAACTGTCCGCTTCATGTCGAATCTTCTGTCCAATCTTTTCATGCTCTATAATGACGCCCCCAGGGCGATGTCCCGCAACAGATGGATGCATCATCTTTGCAGTCTCATTTCTTCCATTTCCTTCTTCCGTCTCAACCGTTCTCTCTCCAACTTCCGGAACAGCGGGTGGTGGCCGACCTTGTCTTTCAGCTGCTTGTTGCGGCTCTTGTTGTACTCGATGTACGCCATGTCCTCGCCTCCAGCAAGACCGCTGAGGGTGGCTGCGCTGCGCTTCACAGCCCCCTTCTTCGCTTTGCCGCGCTGCCCGCCAGAACGTTCACTGAAGAGATCGTCGGTCACGTGTTCCACTTCAGCAGAGGTCTCGTTCTGCAACATGACCTCCTGCAGAAGCTCCCGACGCTCAGCCGGGGTCGAGTATGCCAGGCCCTCCATGTTTTCAATACCTTGGAGATGGGTGATGACCTTGAAGGCATAGCCCTGGTCAACCAGGAAGGCCTGTCTTTTGGAGGAATAGTACATCTCATCCGTATCTTTCGATACCAGCGAGTAGAAGAAGGCATTGAAACCCTCGTCATTTCGGCGCTTCGCCCGCAGGATACGTCCCAGGCGCTGCGCCTCTTGACGACGAGAACCGTAATGCGACGAGATCTGAATGAGGCACGTGGCTTCCGGCAGGTCAAGAGATGTGTCTCCTATCTTGGACAGGAAGATCGTGTTGACCTGCTCGTTGTGCTGGAAATTCTCCAGAATGCGCATGCGCTCATTCTGAGGTGTGCCACCGTAAATGTAAGCCTTGCCCAGCTTTAGCGCATACCGCTCCAGCGCGTACACATTGTCCGAAAAGACAATGATCTTGTCGCCTCTCTTTTCGTGGTAGTCGATCAGAAATTGACAAGCCTGGAACTTCCTTGGATTCATGATATACAGTAGAGCCGCCTTCCTTGACTTCTCTCTCATGTACTCGGAGTAAAATTCGGTGGTCATCGGACACCAAACCTCCGCGCATTGAACCTTGGCGATGTGGCCCTGATCAGCCAGCTCCATCCAGTTGGCTTCATAGAGCTTAGGACCAATCAAGAAGTTAAGATCTTTGATCTTGTCGTCCTCACGCAGAAGTGTGGCCGTCAGACCAAGTTTGGCCTGCGTCGCGATGGCGGATGTGACCTTTCGGAACATCGAAGCAGGAACGACGTGGACCTCGTCCAGGATCATCAGACCCCATTCCCGAGACTGCAGCCACTCCATCATCTTCTCTGCGTCGTAAGATCGTGCTCTTGTTTGTGAGACCATCGAGTACGTAGAGACAATGATTCCTGTGGATCTCTTGAACTTCTCTTTGTTGTCCGACGTAAAGATTGCAATGTCACCGGGGTCAATATTGGACCAACGTAGGAACTCATTTCGCCACTGCACGACAGACATGGAGCTGGTGCAGAGGATGATTGTGCCCTTCTTGATGGTGCAAGCAGCTGTGATCCCAACCAGCGTTTTCCCTGCACCACACGGCAAGACGATAATTCCACTCTTGGCGCGACCATTACCAAACATCTTACTCAGACTCTTCTCCTGGTAGCTTCGAATCTGTGCATTTGGTTTCAAATCGATATCCAAGGTAGGATTTATCTCGTCATTTCGGAAATCATACTCCTCAAGAGCAGGGCACCCCATGGCCTGGCACCGAGCCTTTACAGATTCAACTGCAGTATTCGGGATTTCGAAGCTGTGAACCTGAGCCTGGTCATCATCATCATCCTCATCCCGAATTGTAGCAAGGATGTCATCCTGCTTGGTGGCGCTATTCATGGCATTCGCCCCGTTTTGTTCAGCCGACTGCTCCGACGTCTGTTTCACGCCAGCGGCATCCTTGGTACCAGGAATAACAAGGCCAGACATTTTCGGAGCCGCTTGCTGGGTGATTCCTTCCGAGCCCTGTACTATCTGGGAGCCAATCACTTCGTCTTGCAGGAGCATCTGTAGCATTGCCGGGTCCGTACTCTCCACGAAGAAACGGTTGTGTTTCAGGACGACCTTTATCTTTCCATACGACTTCGTGAAGTCTATGATGAATGATTTGATCGTGTCTGGAAGGGGCGTTTTGGACAACCGGTCGAGGAAATGGATAATATCTCTTGGTTCGAGCCCAACGGAAACCGCTGCATAGAGACTGTTTCCCGTCAACCGATACTCATGGAGATGGACGGGCCGCGAGAGCGGTTCGGCAATAGTGGTCAGAAAATCCTGAGCTTGCGGGGCTAGCGGTGAGAAACTCTCTAGGGTGATAGTACCCTTGATGGGGTCGATCCAGAGCGGACGGTTGGCATGGTCGGGTTTGAGAGGGAGAGATGAGAAGTCCTTGTAACCGAAGTGAGGATCTTCTCTCGAGACCACATTCTTCTTGTTCTTGCTGAAGGATTCGAGCGAAAATTTCTCCACGACCCCTTTCAGGTTGTCTTCCTTGCCGTCCTCGAAGTCAGAGTACTCATCGCTGCTTCCCACGCTTTGCGGGGTGCCCGGGACTGGGGTGGGACGTTTTGAGGCTCTGCTCGACTGGCCACTGTCGTTTGCCTTGCGTTTTGGCGCCATGGTGCTCTTAGGATGTTGCTATCTTTGCAGGTTGAGTGGCGAACGAGTGTGGGATGGTGTGAGGTGCTCGGAGACGGACAGACGCAGCTCCGAAAGGCTGCTAACGCCTCAAAACGTACCGTCGGATCCCAGCATACCCAAGAGACACCGTACAGCCGCCAGCGCGGATGAGAGGTGTATGATGGGCTGGGTGGAGAAAGAGTAAGTAGACGGAGGAAATGAAGAGCACTGGAGATGTTGAAGTATTGCCTGGACCGGCCTGGAGCCGCATGGGTGATACTCCGGAAGCGCCGATTTGTTCCGGGAAGCCGGCCTTGCCACTCCGCCCTCGCGACCGTGAACCCTTTCTTTCTCCCACATAATCTGATTTCGAACACAGCTCTTTCTCAGCGCAGACATTTACGTGTGCTACATTGATCTGCTTGCCACAATGAATACGGTACAGACTCACTGGTTACCATACGGCGATCGAACAATGACTGACCATGCCTTCGTACCTGTAGATACGATCTACCTGGTATGCATGCAAGCTTGTCGACCTGTTGAGAAATACGGAATTCGATGACTGATGATCCCAAACCTGCTACAGGATTGGGTGGGGTGCACTCTGCATAGGTGAGCATTACTGTGACATGATCGCGCTGAAACGAAAAGCGGTTTCAATTGCACGAGACCTCCCCCCAATCGAAGAATTGGGATTCAGCTGACAATGGGTGCTATCCTTGTAGCCGGCGGTGGTGCCTACTACTTAGCTAAGAAGTCCATCAATGCGGATCGGGCTGCCAGATATGAAGCCGAGATGAAGCGCAAGGCCCAGTTGGCCGCCGAAGAGGCAGAACATCGACGAGCCCACGCTGCATCGGGCGCGTCGACATCGCCGTCAACGCCCTCCGTACCGAAGGAAACTCAGAAACCATCTGATTCACCATTTCTGCAACGCGCCAACAACGCTTTCAGCGGCAATGTTTCGAGGGATGATGTAGCCTCTCCAAGTACGGAGGCCGGCCAAGATCCGGCACCCACCCGTCATGAGCCCGACACGGACAAGGAGAAGTTGCTGGAGAAGTCCAAGTATGAAGCTGCAGAAACGTTCCGACCGCCACGAGGAAACCGATTCAGTTGAGAAGAGTGATCTGATGTTGGATGGCAATTCCAGAAACATGGAGCCTGTAAACATAAATACGGGAAGTCATTCTGTTTACATGTATCATACAATGGTGCCTCGGCATGTCTATAGGGATTTACCGGATCTACTTGCGACAAGAACGTCATCAATGTGAGTTTCCTCAAAAGTCATGCTGTCCATTCTAAAATAGACGAGCTCTCTTGCGTGGTTAGTTCTTTGAATTTCTAGTCTCTCTACCGTGCTGGAAAAAAAAAAGGAAATACAACAAATACCTGGATCCGAAATTGATATCCATCAAATTTCGATCCCTTCAATCCAAAACACTCAATGAAAAGTCGCCCTTTGCGGGAAAAGGGAAAACCGGACCATTGTCAGACCCAACCTTAAACCAATCCGCAGAACTCCAGAAGTCCCAGAACCAAGAATGACCACACCGGATGAGTAATAGGGAAATGAAAGTCCCGAAATAGATTCATCTGGACAGAAAAGAAGAAAAGGGGTATCTCCGAAATAAGGTATCCTCTCCCGCCGTCCGAATGATCAATCCTATATTAATTCCTGCCGATCTTCATGCAATACCAAGCCAAAAAAAATGCCCCGAAAAGAAAATTGCCCCCGAACGCCTTCCCGATGCTCCTGTGTCTTCCCTGTCAAGAATTCAGATGGAATATTGGAATTGATATGCTGTGATTCCTCTCGCTGTTTCGAAGAGTCTGGATATCATTGCTGCGAAATGGCGCGAAGGATGGGAAAAGGAAATGATGGAAGCACTCTTGCGGCAGTCGGGTTCAACGAGCGTGGAAGCAGAGTGGTGGATGCGACCTGGTACGGCGGGAATGCGAGTCAGTCGCGGATCTAGATAGATAGATAGTCCCAACCGGCGGATCAGCACTCACTTGTTGTGGTTGGGGTAACCCAGGCTCTTCTCTCGTGAGCTCTCCAGCGCGGGAGGAATGAAGGGTAGCACGACCGCAGAAACTATACAAGACATGGCCACGAAGCGAGAGGTACGGCTGTCGGGACGTGGCCGGTGGGCGGAGAAATGCCGCACAGAATGGCGGGCAAGCTGAGCAGCGATCGCGGTGGACATGGTGTCTTTTTCGGTGGAGGTGGTTGTTTATGATCGGTCTGCAAATAGATTCGATCCAGCAGCCAATTTGGTTCTTCCTAGCAGTCGATCAAAGAGAAAGAGGTCAAGAAGAAATAAGGAGTGCTGCGACTGCTAAGTAGTCAGCGACCAGCCCAGGACTGACTGCTTTGTCCCCCAACCACGTCGGCCCTCCCCCTGGACAAAGTACGTTTTATGAACCCGCGAGTCACGCGAATGACGCTGTGGCACCATGCTTGGGGCGATGCTGCAGCAAGAGGGGCCAGTGGGAGGGTTTGCGGGGCTGACAGGGCGGAATCACTGACCTGACAAAGGCGCGGCTTTCCAGGGCTGGCTCGGAAAAGACGGATGATCGTGCAGCTTATCGATCTGCCAGCAACCCAGGAGAAGCAGGAAGCAAAGGAGGGCAAGGAATGACTCTGGTCTTAAATAACCCCCAACATTCTACTTTTAAATCGTTTCTCTGGTGCCTGCAGGGTCCTCTTTTTCTACCTAACCACGTTACCACGGCGTGGGGCGCTCTCCTGGCTGTGTCAGTGGTGATCTGCCAATCAGAACGCAGGCATTAATAATGACAGTCGATTGTCGATTGCCGGCCAACTCTGGCCCACAAGTCACGCCATCTGGAAGGCAGAAGACCTCATGGCCCGAGCGGTAATGCCGCCTGTAGGCGCGCTGAAGCGCAAAAAAATTGCCATTATTTCTCGCATGTTCTGTTCATATTGCATCTTAGTCTGGTGGGTTTATTATTAACTACTACCAAGTTGTTAGATGGGGCCAGTACAGATTACTGCGCCACAAGCAGACATATCGCCGGCTCGTTGAAATCTGAACCGTGTCCAATCAATTTTGAAATCGCTGATAACTTCAACGAGTAAAAATGATACCATCCGCAGGGATGGGATGACTGACTGCATCAGCTGCGCTAACCCTGGTCGAACCCACTCTTACTGCCTGAACATCGTGTCCTCCACAATTGCGCGACTACCTTGTGAGCAACATGATTCGATAGTTGCATACTGGTTCGCGATAACCCAGTTAGACCGAATTTTTTTTTCCTTGGATGGACTTGTTTTGTACCAGAAATCTGCCTAAAAAACACTGATGCGCGATCTATCGTAATGCCGCTTACATCTGAATCACTGTAATGAAATATGTTACCCAGTCTAACTGAAAGTATTGGTTGCTGTGTGTGGCCTAGGGACGGCAAAGTTTCTGATATCCAAGTCGGGAAATTATTAGCTTATATAGGTAGGTATAACATCCCTTACTCGCATTACAATGAGAGATGACCGTACTGGCCCAACATAGTCGACATACATTGTACTGGGATTTCTTTTCCATTGTAACATTTGACTTAATAGTCTTTTTTTTTTCTCCACCTCTATCCCCTAGTTCATAGAACAAATTTTTGGGTCAAAAAAGAAGACAAACAGAACCGGAAAAGTAATGAGAATCCCCGCACAGTCGCTACCTAGTTAGTTAACTCATTCATGACGTGTCTGGAAAGTGTCATGCGTTGTCGGGCGTTGCCCCGAGAAAATATCCGAGAAATGTCCGAACTTCAACCATGCGACGCTGGTATGCTCACGCACATGGACCCAGCATAAATCTTGGTTATTTGCTTCTACCTACATGCGCCTAAGCCAAATACGGTGTTTAATTTCCATCAGAATGAATTAATTGCGCAAAGATTGCATTATGTGGGTTTCCTGTTCTCATCATGAGCACATACGTATGAGGTTATTACGACGGTGCATTTCTACTATGATTTATGATTGTATTGGATCGTATTATAGTCACAATTGATTCTTCTATAATTACTTTTTTTTTCTGAAAAAAAAATAAAAATAAAAAAATAAAAAAGCGTAAGATCTCATTGACAAGCACAACAGTGATAGGCAACAAAATCATGAACTGTATAGAATGCCGGCCTGCGATTGGTTCATTTCTGGTCACGTGCCGTCAGGACGGCTGCTAGGATCTCCGCTTCGGAGAAACATTGAGTTAGTTGATCGAGCTCACAAGTGCTGCTTCAGCCTCCATCAAAGATATCCTTTTTTCTAGCAAACTGAGCATGGCGGCGCATCAGCTTGCCATTGCCAAGGCATCTTTCTCTGCAGGACTTTTGCGTCCTGATCCAACTTCTGTTCCTCGCGACAGCATCGCCACGTTCCATTCTTTACTAGACAAGGCGCTATCGCGCTGCTCTCGAGCCAACATCCAGGTCTGAACCGTTTATGTCCTTAGTGCCCCTCGGTCGAGATGTGATTACTAAATCTTTCCTCTGCCTCGATGAATAGACCTGTAAGGCATGGCTTCTTGAGAATGTCGTCTCTTCATCAAACAGGGCGGGCGTCTTGGGCAAGTACCTAGTCGCCCTATCGGAATCCTTCAAGGCGGCAGATGAAAAGCAGAGCGACAATGCAAGGCCCGCTGTCTCGCCCTCTGAACCCTCTGGAAAGCGCAAGAGACTTCATATTCTCTATCTGCTAAACGATGTCTTTCATCATACCAAATACCATTCGGAGGGTGGTGCCAACACGTTTGTGACTTTTAGCAGTGCACTGCAACCCCACATCGTGGAACTGCTGGGATATGCGGCGTCCTATGATCTCACCAAGCACCCCAAGCATCATCGGCGGCTGGAACAGCTCTTGGACGTGTGGGCGGAGAATGGATACTACAGTGAAGAATACACCAACAAGCTCCGTGAGGCGGTGAAGAATTCGGCCTCTGTGGACGCAATCAAGGCAGCTGTTGGTATTGAGGATGGTGCGGGGGAATCACAGCAGAAGGGCCTACAGAGAGATACTCCATTCATCATGCCACCCACCCACGGGGATCCCTCCACTCCATATTACGATCTTCCGGCAGGCAACTTTATTCCCCACATCATCCCCGACTCTTCTACTCCGATCCGACCAGAAGCCGTGAAGCCGCTGCAGTTTGTAGCGGGGCCCGCAGACGAGAAGCTTGTCGCTGCTGTGAAAAAGTTTTTGAAGGAAGCGGATCGAATATATGGCTCGAATGATATCGAGCACGATGAGAATACTGTTGTCGATATCGATGAGCTCGGGCAGACTGTCATCAGAGACGAAAAGACTGGAGAAATTATAGGTGGCGATACATACTATGGGTGGTCTCGCCAGTTTTGCCAACAGATGAAGAAAAGGCGGGGGAAGGGGTCCAACCGCAGTCGGAGTCGCAGCCGTAGCAGCGACAACGGCTTTGACAGGAGACGACGCTACAGTGATACACCGAGCAGCAAAGAGGGAGGGCGCCGAGGTCGACGGTCCCGCAGCCGTTCATACACTCGCGAACGTGACCGGGGGCGACGCTATTCAAGCTCTCGTTCTCGCAGTCGTTCACGTTCAGGGCGAAGAAGTCGTTCCCCATCGGGTCAGAGGTCTCGATCACGCTCTTATTCCCCACGTCCTGCGTCGCCTCCACGGTCATTTTCACCGCGTCATCAGCCTCCCCCTCCTCAGAGTGCGCCTCCCCAATTTTCATTCAACCAAAGTCGGCAATTTCAACCGCCAACAACGGGAATGTCTGCGCCTCCCCCGCCACCACCGCCAAACTACAACGGCCCGTGGCCTCCTCCACCTCCACCGCCTATGCCTGGTTTTGCTCCGCCGTTTCCGGTGCCGCCTGGGCAGTATCCACAGCCGCCTGCTCCGGGCCAGTATCCTCAGCCTCCTCCATGGGGGGGACCAGGGGGGCCACCAGGGGGACCTCCATACCCGCCGGGAGGGCGTGGAAGATGGCAGTGAGCATGCTGGCTTAATGTGTACGTATTTTGTATTAGTAATATAAAGTCATTGATGGTTATGATAGGATAATCGAACAGCGTTTGAATTCAACTGGAGTTATTATTACAAGCATAATCCCTTAGAGTTTTCAACAGAAGGCATCAAATTTGTCATCCATCAATACCACACATCACTACCACTCTGGATCATGAACCAGTAAATACGTTTTTTTTTCTTTTTCTTTCTTGTATTTCCTTCCTTTTCACGGCCTCTTATTTCAGTCATCTCAAACTTGGACATGAAGTCATTTTTATATTCACGGCGGATTACACCCGATCGTCAACAATGAAGGGCCGGCCTGATGAACAACGTTAGTTAAAGCTGAGTCGATCTTGAACGTCGCTGGGGATGGGGGAAAAAAAAGCCGATAATATTGTCCAAGGATTCTCATGTATGGACAATACATACCAAAGGCTCAGCACTACAACATAGCACCGTGTCGAGACAGAACGAATCCGGCCAGCTCTCTGGCATGGGTGTGCCTGTGGAAAAAATAGTAGGTCAGACGAGATGAGGGATACAAACATACACTTTACGACGCAACACGTACAGCTAATCCCGATTATGGACTTAACGTCAATGTCGCCCAGCACCGGGAGAAGATCTGACAACGAATCCGTCACGCTGTGCGTCAGTTCCTGGATGGACTCGCAGCAGTGTCGAGGGGCGTTGGCTGGACAGGTCTTTTTCGGAGGGTTGGGATGTGGAGTGCTCTTAGTGACTGCTACTGCTGGCGTTGAAGAGGGCGGCGAGGATAGTGATGGCGAGAGTGACGATGGCGTTGGCGATGGTCTTGATGATGATGACGACGACGTCTGCTCCAAAGGAGAGAATGAGCTCGGCTTCACTATCGACGAGAGCGTGGATGGCAGTGTTTGAGAAGCGATCGCAATACTAGGAGCAGATGACGGAGGATGAGATGACGGCGCATGAGATGACGGAACAACCGACGAAGATGAAGAGCAAGCAGCATGCGAAGGCACAAAAGGGGAAATAACGACAAACTCCTCTAGTACTTCTGATCCCGTTCTCCACGACCCTGCTGGACGGCCATGATGTCCATGTCCATGTTCATGCCCGTGTCCGTGTTGGAGTCTCCACGGGGCAGCAGCGACACGAGAAGTCGATGATGATGATGCTGCGGCGAGGAAGGCGATGAAGAGGTAGGATGGTGAGATATGCATTTTTCTTTAAAAAGATGCCTCCGCCTTCTACTTCTTTTCAGGTCTTCTAGAAGATGATACTTCACTGCCTTCCTACCTCTAGACAGAGTCCCTTTTTTCTCTTGTCCGAAGAGGTGGTGATATCGTATCGTACAGCAGAACAGACTGATAGATGTGATTGACTGCGGTTGATAGATCGACAATCGAGTCTTGCAAACGAAATAGAATCCTCTCTTGCGTACACACTGAAGAAGCAAAAGCAAAGACAGGAGAGAGATACAGACAGAGAAAGAAAGACAGAAATCAATCCAAGTCACCAACCAGCTCCTACAGTCTGCTACCTAGCCTCTACTACTGAAACGACTTGCCATGTGCATCACATCCATTTGAGGTACTGTACATCGTCATGTACATGTACATGTATGTGCAGTATATCTCAAATCCCGAAGCTGATATACATGCATTTACTGTAATTTACATACATGTACCTAGCTAGTCCTATCAACCCTTCTGTCACCTCGTTGTCAATTCCCGTGAGACAGCTGTGGAATGTTCGATGACACCGTCCGCTGTCAATCGGGAGATCCAGAGCCCGGCTCCTGGGTCTGAGGGCTGGACCTGAGACCCGGGGATTGGGTACATACTAAGGTACGTGTGGAGTATCTTGTACATACCTGTACGGCCCGCATGCATGCCTGACATCGGAATTAACCTTAATAATGAATGTGAATCCATCGAATCATAATAAATCAAGAGCATGTACACGACATGTACATTCCAAGTTTCGGAACTTCGGCAAGAACCCAAATACACGTTACCTACCTACTTGCTTAGAGCCACGACATAATTTTTAACGGAAGGTTCTTTTGTAGTTTATTTCTTTTCTTTTCTTTTCTTCAATGACGTTTAGATTTCTGGGGTTAATTAAATTAAATAGCTTTCATACCTAAATTCTCTCTAGGCAGCCACTTCGCACTGGAACAAAAAGCTGGTTATGTTGAGTTCAACTTCCAGAGCTGAACCAACTATGTATCAAGCTCTATATCTATACCATTCGTAGAGAGAAGAGCTCTTACAGAGATAGTAAGGAGAATTTGCCTATGTTACGGTGTTATTCAGCCATCATTGCGATGGCTGGACTTGGTAACTAGTAATTGGACAGCGACGTCTACTCCTATGGCTGGCGCCTGCATGCCAGTTATCAAGGCACCGGTTAAACGGAACCTACAACTGTCTAAGCCTACAAACCCAGCCAGTATCTGGTCGTCTCGACCTTGAACGGCGCTCGGAGCGTCTCCTCCCCCGTCCCCGTGATGAGGACCTCATACTCGCCCTGCTCGGATACCCACGACTGCCGAATTTCGTCCCAAAAGCTGGTGGCCAGCTTCTTTGGCACGACTATTTCGATCGTCTTTTTCTCGCCTGGTTTCAGGAATACCTTCTTGAACCCTTTCAACTCTCGCACCGGCCGATTGACGCTTGCTGTCGCGGGAGGGACAACCCACAGCTGAACGGTCTCTGCTCCTGCAACAGAGCCTGTGTTGGTAACCGTCAGCGATGCTGTGATGGTTTCGCTACCGTCCAACGTAGGCTTTTCCGGAGACGAGCTCAAGGTCAGTCCAGAGCGGGAAAACGTGGTGTAAGATAGTCCGTGACCAAACGGGAACAAAGGTCGCACTTGCGTCTTCTCGTAGTAACGATATCCCACATAGATATCCTCGCCGTAGAGCACGCGGCCTCGTTCCGAGCGGAAGTTCAGGTATGAAGGGTTATCCTGTAGACGGGCAGGGAAGCTCAGCGACAGTTTCCCGGACGGATTCACGTCTCCGTACAGAACGTCCGCAATGCCGTTGCCAGCTTCATTGCCGCCATACCATGCCTGGACCAGAACATTGGCCTTGTCGATCCAGGGCATTGTGACTGGCGTTCCACTCTGAATCACGATCGCCGCCTTCGGATTCGCCTCGAGGACCCTTGAAATCAGTTCGTCGCTCCCAGGGGGCAAGTCCATGTGGTCGCGATCATATCCTTCTGTCTCCCATTCACTGTTCAGCCCAGCAAATACAACAACCTGTTCCGTCTTGGACGCCAATTCCACCGCATGCGCAATCGACTCTTCCTGGTTGAGGCGGCGACACCCGCCAAATCGAAATCCACCAGCTCCAAACGACACAGTCCCTCGTTTTTCCAACTTCGAGGTCGGTGCGGTACCAAACTGAAACAGGATTTTGTACGGCGTGCCAGCTTTGAGCTCCTTGGAGCCCCTTTCTTCCACCGTTCCAGTCCCGAAGAAAGACGATCCGCTCCGCTGATTCGTGCTGTTGTCCACAACAAGCTCGCCATCAATGAAAAGTTTTCCGGTGCCCGCAACGGTGACTCCAAAATCATAGATCCCATCCTCATCCGGAGTAAACACACCCTCCATGTCGGCATACCAGGTTTCAGACTTCAACTTTGGGTTGACGTAGTCTGCAAGGAATCCAATCGAGTAGACCAACTGGAGCGTGTCGACTATTTCTCTATTCTTCTCACCAGGGGGCTCATTGTATACTCGAAATTCGAACCCTTGCTTTCCATCATGAGTGTTCAACAATGGACCCAACAGAGGAAGAGATTGGTGTGCATAGACACCCTGTGAGAAAGAAACTGTTGCTTTGCTACTGGCAGACACTCCTTCGAAAGGAGTCACGGCATAGTAAGGAGGCAGAGAAGCCGAACCACCACCACAGAAGGCGGCCACCTTGGAGTTTGGCCCGATCACTGCGATCGGCTTGTTCTTGTCAAATGGCAGGACGCCCCCGTTATTCCGCAAAAGAACTATCGACTCTGCAGCAGCGCGCCGGAGGAGTTTCTGGTCCTCTGGCCGATTGAGAACTTTCTCTTCAGCACCTTCCGGTATGCCGGACTTATCGGCAAAATTTACCAGATTGAGGATATTTCGCACTCTCTCATCCAGGACATGGTCAGGCACTTTTCTCGAAGACACGGCATGGGTGAGGATGGGTCCACGCCAGCGGGTGGGTCCAGGCATCTCGAGATCAAGACCAGCGTTGATAGCATCAGACGTACTGTATGTTCCAAACCTAACTTGACATCAGTCTCAGAGATAAATTAAGAGACAAAAGGGATAGTACCAGTCGCTCATAATCAAACCTCTCCATTTCCATTCCTTGTGCAAGATATCTTCGATGATCGCTCGATTTTCACTGACATGGAGACCATTGACTTTATTGTAGGCGGTCATAAAACAGGCTGTCTGGCAAATCCTCAGAGCTTGCTGAAATGGCATCAGGTAGATCTCTCGCAGAGCCCTTGCCGTGACGATGGCGTTCACCGCCATCCTCTCGTGCTCCTGGTCGTTGCAGACAAAGTGCTTCAATGTAGCCCCAACGCCCTTGGATTGGACGCCCTTGCAGTAGTGCCCGGCCAGGACACCAGACAACACGCCATCCTCTGAGAAGGATTCGAATCCTCTGCCTCCAAGTGGCGATCTCTGGATGTTGATTGTTGGACCAAGCAAGACATGGACGCCTTTCGCTCTGGCCTCATCACCGAGAAGGCCACCCAATTCCTCTAGCAGGTCTGCATCCCAAGTGGCCCCTAGGGCCGTTGCACAAGGTAAGCAGGCTGCGGGAACGCCATTGAAGAATCGAGTTCCACGCACGCCATTGGGACCATCCGAGAAGCGGAGAGAGGGGATATTTAGACGATGGACCGGGGTGGTATGCCAGAAGTCGGCTCCTGGCCGCAGATTTGGTTAATCATTTTGTTCCAGTAGACCCGGTTGTCTTACTATTCCTTACCTGCCGTAAGAGCTACTTTCTCTTCTAGGTCGAGCTCAGAGAGAGTCTTTTCGACATCTAACTGGACCATTTTGCCTCGTTAGTTATACGCAACACTAAAGAGAGAAAGGTAAACAGAAAATATCGCCCCGACAGGTATGTAGGACGAGACGAAGTGCGAGAAGAGGAAGGTTGCGGTCAGATAAATACAGACAGATAGCACTTGCCTCGTGACGATCAGTCGGTCAGGTCCACCAGCGAGGGCCATCCATCACATTCGCGGTGGAGATGACATGGAATCCTGCAGGCTGACGGTGACCATTGGATCTATCTCTCCACTGCAAGCTAGCGGGTGCTTGCACGCCTGAGAATGAAGATCTGTACCGCGCACGCCTACCTACCAGGAAAATGTGCACTATATTAACGTTCCGATTCCCCGCTGGCGGGGAGGTGAACAACCCCACGAGCTCATTAGCCTACCGATTGCCAATGGAACTATACGCTGCAGTTATCAATCAGCGTTAGTCGCCAGGAAAGTTTCACAATTTTCATACTGACCAGGCCGTGAAACCGGAAGTGATCCCGGAAGGTTAATCCTGTCAATTCGAGCGGTGGACAAGCACAAAATCTTGGAATTTCTCGAGCAATCTGGTGGATTGTGCCGCAGCGGAGTGAATTGCTTCGGACGTTCTCCGATTTGGGTAACTTGGGAGGGCTGCCAGATGATGTTATTTATAAGATCCGAAGTTTAGCCGGGAGGGATCCCGTGAATCCTGTTGTATCGTTGTTCCGCAGTTATTCCGCGACATCCATGATTAATGATTGGTGTGTTGATTTCGGAGTATTTAATGTCAAGATTTACTCCGTATTTAGTTAACAGTTGTCGGACCCGCAAGGCGTTTTCCCCACAGCCAATTCCGAGGAGAGCATCGCGGAGTGTCGGACATAGATGACACTAGCCAATCAATCAGTTCATATGGTCAGAATTTAATTATCAGCTGTAAGCTGCTCTGGATGAAGCATATTTGGACGAGAGTATCAGTTATCAAGGCGTGATGTATATGACACTCTATCTACATATATCAATCACGTTGGTCAAACGCAATAAGCTTGATTAATTAATTTATTTAGAAGACGATATCACAGAACTAACTTGAGTGTTTCAGAGAAAAAGAAATCATTAGAACACCCTTGATATAGACGGGAAAGAGAGAAAACGGACAGAGATATCATAACGCATAACGTCGTAAACATAGTTCGCTGGTAACAATCATTTGAAACGGGGAAATCGAACAAGTATAGACGTATTAGATGAAATAAGAAAAAAAAGATCTGACTGAGTCCATGAGCAGATGGATGTTTGTCTGGTAGCACAATCCTGATCTGGTAGACTTGGTGTTGGCCCTGGGTCACGATTGTTTGCTAGGTGCTGACAGGCAATACCTACCTGGGTTCGAGAGCATCCGACAGCAACTTGATCAAACAGATTACAACATTACACCCTTTCAACGTCTCCCGAAATCCTGTCACCAGGAGTAGATCTCGGAGGAGAAGACTCAGTTCCACCACGGGCCACTCCAGCAACCGTCGATGCGTTACTTCGGCCACTGCTACCACTGGTGCCGCTGTTGCGTCTCTTAGCGAAGTCGCAATTGTCGGTGAAGGCAGCCATCTGGCGCAGAGTGTGCTGAAGCATGACCTGGTTGTAGTTCTGCAAGGAAGCACGAGGATCCCGGCCGACGCCAGAACCATCAAGACCTCGCATTGTCGAGGTTCGACCACCCGGGGTGCCTGCCGATGGATAGGTATCTTCTGATGAATTCATAGTGGTTGGCACTTTACGTCTCATTGATAGACACCTGTGACATTGTCAGGACGATTTGTTGATATTGATAGCCCAGAGGGTGTATTTATTCTAAGTTACTGACTTTTGTATTGATACAACAACAGCCAGTAGGGTTGAAAGACAAAGTCTAATAGAGAAAATGGAGGAACGTCCCACAAGCCTAGCGAAGACAATTCAGACGATAATTGAGGCTATTCTGAATCCGACAGGGATATCAAACTCGCAAACACAGTAGGACTTTTGATAATGAAGGTCAGAGCTGCGTTTCGACGAAAACAAAAACCGAAGTGCGCGATCAAAGCAAGAGACGACAGCGAGTAAGAAAATATGATTCACGAGAGGACAAGCAAACGCTTTTCTTTTCGAGGATGACGCTTCGTTTTAAAAAATCCAGTCCTTCAAAACCATGTCCAAATACCTGACACATTTCAGGTAGGTAGCAGCCTACAGCCCGGACTTGGTAAAAGCGCCGGCGACTTCTCATTTGCTCGAGGCCCTCCTTGCCCGAGACACCAGCAGCCTGTCCGCGCTTCATGATATCACAGTTTCCCAGTCCGCGAAGGCTGGGGTAGCTGATGATCGTCATCGTGTGGGTTGGTTTGCCACTCCTGACTGTCTGCAATGTGGACCCGATGCTTGCCAGGGTTTGCCCCAGATTAGGTTACCCAGCTAGGTCATACGTACAACCAGCCTATGGACCTTGCACATCAATTTGTATAGTCAAGCACTGAAATGGGCGGGTGACAGCTGGGATGAGGTCATTTCAGGCATGGGAGTGGGCCGCGGGAGGCCAGATGGCTTTGGATCGGCAATCGGCCGGCCTGGACCCCTTTGTTCACAGCTAAGGTAGGTAGTCAGCGCAGAAGCTTCCGTTAGAACAAAGAGAATCCATTGGGTTTGTAAAACCTTGCTGATAGCTTGCACTGAGTCATGCGCTGTCTACAGAGTAGTCATGTCTGATGACATCTTGTTTGTACTGTACAGACAAAGATAACTCCACAAACATGCAAATATCTTTAATTAGAACAGTAACTGCCTCTTCTGAGACAATGACATGGCATTGGAGACATATATCTAGTTCAAGTTAGGATGGTTACGTGTTATCTCGACCTTTGGCCCTAGACAGGTTCTAGACAGGATCGACTTCGAAACTGAGCGAGATGGATGCCAACTGGTCGCATGGCATTGATCAATGGAAAAAGCCCTCCATGTCATAAAAACACTCATTTGCAGAGAAATGCGGTATCTCCCAGCTGCTTACCTCCCTACCTAACCTCGAAGCTCTCATGCTGTCTGACTTAATCCTGCAGTCTACTCTGTCGTTGTGGCTTACCATGGGTCCCATGACGTCACGCTGCAGATGTGGGCTTTGGGCTTGAAATTGATTTGGACGCTAATCCCTTCCTGGACATAGTCGCTTGCAGGAACAGAATCTTACATAATCAATTATTTAAGTTAGTAATCATGTGATTTTGAGCCTCTTACAATACTAACCTATATAGGAAATATCACATGACCCAGAAGCCTCGTGTTGGTTTTCATGGATTTTCCGACTTGAGTCAGGAGATTTTGGCGAAAATGCGAAGTAGTTCACATGAAGTGACATCAACTAACAGACCAACTATGCAGGTACAGCAAACTTCCTGTGCATTCTCTCCGAATCCCAAAACTGGAAAATCTCATGCTGGACAGAATGCAGATTAATTTAGCTGTGGAATCAGGTGACTCAGACCATTTTATATTTTGCTGATGATTTCTTTCTTTGACTGTGCATTCTCTCCAAAAGCCAAAGCCGGAAAATCTTATATCGGACAGAATGCTCAATGGATGGCATAGGCTTAATTCAGCTCAGTACTCAGGTCAGGTAACCTCAGAACGGCTACCTAAACTACTCTGCATTTTGTCCGAGGTAATTCTCTTTGCGTTTATATGCAGCTAATGCAACTAATCCTATAACTGTTAGTGACTAATGGCAGTCTATGAGCAGAAAAGTAGAAGGTGGATATCTTTTCTGCGCATATGCAGCACTGACTTGTCAACCGGTTGGAGACAACTGACGTCCCTGGTGTTGGCCTCACAGGCTCTCATCAAAAGATACAATATCGCCTCCTAAGCTTCAACTCTGCCACTCGATACGTTCGACGAGAGGTAATTGAATCGGGGAGGGATAAATAAAGGTTGTAAACTATGCATCTCCATGTTTCTCATTCCCGTTGTTACATTCCAAATCAGGACTCCATGCGCTCTGGGAATTGCATTAAAAATAACGATGCAGAGAAAAAGATAGAAATTCCAAAATCGTCAAGCCATTGTTGTCATTTGTCCTTGCCTTAACAATCTCCAAAGCAAACTTTGATGCGAATTAATACACGCTAGCCTGAATATCAAATCGTATTGCAGTGTCTCATCATCATCATACGTAACCTAGACTGAGTTAGTCTGACATGCACATGACCATGCAGATTGGCAGGTTTTATGGGCGAAGAAACGAGCAGAATGCAGCACAGACACACCTTTTCTAGCACCCTGGAAGAAGAAGCGCACAATGAAGACTTGAAGCCCAGCCATCGATACCATCATCAGACTTTCTATGATGCTGAAGTTGAAGATACGTCGTTCGGTACTGCGCACAGTGCTGAAATTCCGGTTCTCGCGAGTGCGGAAGTATTTCTGGTTCCGGGAGATGGTGGACAGTTGGCCCGAAATCTTCATAATGGACTCCTCCAACGCAGATGCTTGCTCGGGGCTCGCTCCTTGTTTGGAAGGAAGTTGGGCCCGTTGTTCATTCTCGACCTGCACAAAAAGTCAATTAGTCTAAATCCTTCGAATAGCAGCCATGCCATTGTCTAAGTGCGTAGAAAATTCGCTTGTAATTATAGACGCCAATAAGAAAGCGAATCGATTGCCAGGAAATGAAAGAGGTGAACCGTACCGCTATCTCAAAATCCACCATTTTCTCCGCAAACGTCGACATCTCGTTGTTGAAGCAAAACCGGTACTCGCCAACACTCTGAGCTGTGAACACGAAGTCACCCTGTCGCTCCTTGGTACCCTCCATAATGACTTTCTCGCCCGGGCCGACAACAGAGTAATCCACATCGAAGGAACCACCGGATTGAACCTGATGCGCCGACAACTTGTCAATTCAACTATTCCCCAGGTTGCTTATGGCTTTTACCGCCCCGGAGGACGGGAATTAAAAATAATAAAAAAGAGTTCAGAGTTGCTTGCAATCATTGCGAACTCACCGCGAAATAGAAAGCCACCTTGGAATTCACTTGTTCGACCTGGGCGTAGAAGCATGCCTTCTCGTTGGCTTCCAGGTTGTAGGTTAATGCAGTCGCGGTAACCAACGGTATCGCCGTGGCCAAAAGGCCCAGCAGCAGACTGTGGAAACGCATTTTGATGGACGAAGAGCCGGATGTGCAGCAATCACGAGGGCTCTCCTGGGTGAGTTTGTTTGCCTTTCTCCGGTTCAGGAGCGAGCTGGCGGTTTATGGACAGCCTAGCAGTATAGTGTTTGGGTTGTTTGCATTGATTGATGCCTTAGGCAGAACTACACCAACTACACCACGTTTCGCCGTATTACCCTGTACTGTACAGTACATTGTCAATGCACCAAGGAACACAAAAACAACATTTGATCAATATAATAATTACACAAGCCCGAAGTCATAGTAAACCATGCCGCTCGCTCATTGCTAGAACATCTGCACGCCTACATAACGCGACACAGATTCAACAGGGTTATCTTATACCAGTGGATCCGCTAAAGGCCGCCATGGCAAATGAGAAATTCAAAAGGAAGCTTAAAAATACCTCACTGCCAAAGCTCATAGTGACATGGTTTGCTCCAACATATCCTGATTGCACTCATAAGAATAACTGAGCCCCTGACAGGATAATTTTGGTCCACCTTCCACAAACTCCAACGAAATGAACGATCAAGCAGGGGATCGATTCCTCCAACCGCAAATCCCAAACGCCTGTGCGGTGTCTATTTGATGAAGAAAGATTCGCTTCTGCTCCAGAGGCCCCGGTTCTTATTTACATGATCGAGACCAAGAAGATCGTCAGGATCGGTGGCTATATCGGAGAGTATATCGTCTGTTACTACGTTAGCTACGGACAGCAAAGACGTGTGACAATGTCGTCCTTTCAAGGTACATACCATCTTCAAGGTATCTTGGGTTCGAATACATGGCACGAGGCACCACAGCGAACTTGATTTTCTCGAACTGTTTGCCTTTGATTCCCGTCCGCTTCGAGAGCCGCTCCTTGGTCTCTTTGAAGATCTCGCCCTGCCAACTGTGAGAATCTACTCCGTGCCATGATTTCTCAAAGAACTTACAGGCTTGACCACAAATTTGAACGGTATCCCATGCGGTTTATTCGGTTCCCGGTCAAAGCTGAAGGCGTTGATGACTCGATCGCCCTCTTGCATGTTGAGCTCTTCTTCCGGAATCTTTTCAGCATACAGGGTGACAAATTCATTGACACCAGCGATGTTGAAATTGCTGCTCAGCTCCTTGTAAATCTTCCCACTGTGTGCCTCGTATATCCTCACATCCTGTATCGTATCATCGTCAAGATTCGCTTTCTTTTGCAACCCCGCTAACAGATCGGCAACGGTCCCGGTTCTGGGCACCAAGACCTCAAAAACTTGCTATTTCCGGATCAGCTATAACTGCTTTCTGATTTCAAGTGAAACAGTTCCACATACCTCCTTTGCGATACCCTCGGGAAGCCAAGTAACCTTGAGGGTTTTCTTCGTCTCATATTCGCTAAGACTCGTTTCCAAAACCTCATAGTATAGTGCATCTGATCTATGCATGCTATAACCATAGGTTCCGTATTGACCGTTGAGTATCTGATACAAGTTTTGGTTGGTGGTCCTCTTGATGGGTTGCTTTGGCTTTCCGGTGCTCGCGATGACAGGAGAGAACCGCAGATGCGTCGGGTCCACGTTGAGATGCTCGCCAACTTTCTTTGAAAATTGGTCGTATGTCATCTTCCGGCTCAGTGTCAGCGTGAACTCTTCGCCCTCGCTCCCTTTAAGCGGAGCAAACTTCACATTCATCCGATTTAAGAGATAGTCATAGTATTGCCTAGTCTCCGTGTACAGCGCGGTCGGTGGTAGCCTGCCAGGAGTCAGAGTCTGTATCTTATGCCACTAAACAGCGTAGAGAGTTACTTACTCAGACTCCTTCCACACTCGTTGGAAAGTGATAATATCTCCGTCTTGGATTTCTGATTGTTGAAATGTTTGCTTTGGCTTCATTGGATCGACCATCGTGTGTTTGATTTCCTGTATTTCAATGTCAGAAGGATTTTGGCCTACAACCAGCGCCGAACGGTGAGAAGGGCACTTACCTCGAAGAGCAAGAATTCAGTTCCTGCCGGCCAGTTCATCTTCTCGAGGATTGTTGGAGCCAATTCAGCAACTCTTTGGTTCTTCCGGACGTATACCGGGCCAATGCCTGTCAAGGTCTGGGCGGGAATATCAAAATACTTCAAAAACACGAGGACAGAAGTGGCTCCATCCGGCCATGGAATCGTCCCATCTGGTGCAAATTGGCCAACTTCCAGCCACACTCTGAAAGGGTTGCCTTTTGTACCGTATCGGTTATAAGCCTCCTCGACCGTCATTTCTGGATCTTTGATAACTTGATCCGGACGAGTGGTCTTGTTTTGACGATTAACCATCACCCAAAAACGGATCTGCTTGGGATCGAGACCCCTCTCTTCCGCTATCTGCTCTGCGAATTCCCCCACCTTCTTGGCTCGGAGAACTCGATACTGTTTCGGGAGCGCCGGATCCCCAGGCGGAAGATCAACGCTCGTTAGATCGAAGCCATGGTGGGCCTTGAATGATTCTTCAGTTAAGACACCAATGTTGATGTACAGATGGGCTTCTTCCCTCTCTTTCTTTCTTCGAGCCAGCTCAGCACGTTCCTCAGCAAGCCGCTTCTCTAAAGCCATAGTTAGTAATTAATGGGAAAAAAAAGCAGTTCCCGATCGACGTACCGAGATGCGCGGGAACGTCATCTTTAGTTATCGGAACCAGAACCTCATCCAACCTTGATTTCCGAATGTAAACCAGCATGTATGCATTCATCGACCGTTTGGTGGATAATCCTCGCGCGTACTGTTGTCGCATGGCAAGCGAGCCATTTGAGAAGTCATATTCCCCACCATAATTCTCTTCCAAAACCTCCTTTTCTGTAGCCCGGATGACCTTGTCATCGTCGAAACGGTAGAAATGACCGTCTTTGGTAGGCTTCAGGAAGGCATAATAATGGCCAGCATTTAAATCACCGCTATGGACGAGTACACCATGAAGCTGATAGATCCAAGGTTCGGATCTGTCTGCATCTTCGGAAAGGTATGGAGAGGCATCAAACTCCATCGGGAAGGCATGTCGATCATTCAATTTCATCATTGCATCCCGGTGGATGTCGTATTCAAATCGCTTCAAGTGGAGATGCAGTACTGGGGGGAAGCTTTCGAAAATAACCCCCTTTTTAGCGTCCTGAAGCCCGTATGGGGGACCGGCATCATATTTGTTCTCGCCCTCAAGAGTTTCCACTTGGATATAGTCCCTGAAACTATCATCCAGGGTCTTGTTGCCTCTGACGTTAAGCTGGATATCCCAGAAATCTTCAATCCGCGAAGACTCATAATCGACGTTGATGCAGGAAATATACGTTTTTGTCTTTCCAACAAAGAGGTCCGGGAGCGCTTTCTCGGCCGGAGTTCCTTTCATCTTCTCCTCCAGTCTCTCCATCAGTTTTCGGGACAGCTCCTGAACATCCTGCTGTTCGAAGATTTGCCTGGACTCCCAACCGAACGAGGCCGTGAGCTCTGTCGTGGAAACGGGCGTATCACTGGTCTGTAGAGAATAAAAGAGTCTTTGCAGTGTCCAAGCGCTATTGTCTTTCGTGGCTTCGTCCTCCGTCGGAATTTGATAGACAGCCTGAAAGCAGTTTTAGGGTAACAGAACTCGATAAAAGCGCTTCCGGAAGCAAGCATACCTTTCGAAAAGCGTTTGTAAAGTACAGCGACTGCAATAGCGAATTGAGATAACAAGTCGCTCCTTGGTTTCTTAACCCTACCATCCCGGTTTCCTTCTTTGAATCATAGCTGTAACCAGTCAGCAATGTGAAAGCTAATCTAGTGTCATCATTTTCCCATACTTCTGAAAACTATGCCACAAGACACCTGTGGGGTCCTTGACAACACGGACGTAGGCTGTGATATTGGCTTCATCGTTTTGCACAAGCGGGACGCCTCGTCCTTCCCACGGCATGCTAAAGAGCTTTCGTAACTCGCAGAAACGAGTAAAACCCCAGTCGCCTTCGTCGGCATTAAAGCGGTGTGTTGCGACTAATTTGTCGTTAGCATGATCTGGCAGAGAGGGAGAGGACCGTTCATACCGTGTGATACATATATCGATGGATCATTCACGTTCCACAACACCAGAGCAAACTGGACGCAGGCATACCAATTCTCCGGTGGTTCTTTCTCCCACGCATGTTCGAGGTAAAAGGAAGCGTGTTCAACGTGGTTGCCATAAGGGAAAAAGAGAATGCGCCTAATGCCATGTCAGAAAATGCCTGGCTTTCCAGTGTCTCTCCCAGGAACAGCTTTACGAACCATGGGTACCCAGCACACTCAAAAATCGGTCCATGTTCCTTGCGTCTCAGCTTCCGCCAATCTGTGATGTGCCACGTGTGGTAGGTCTCTGCCTCTGTCTCTAAGTCGGGATCCTTGGGGAGAATTCGTGCCATCATCGCCTCATCTGTTCATCAACAACGTATTAGACCCTGTTCATCAAATGAAATACTCGACTGGTCGGCCACAGCAGGAATCTGCGACTCCGAGTCCCCCGAGGTGGCCGCGACTTCTGCAGCAACCAGATGGCGCAAGACGGGAAAACAAGTGCTTTTCATCGATCAAACTCGCAGGGAGGAGGGGAGTCCGTACAGTCATTTGCGAGAAGCTCCGGCTCCGGCTCTTCTTCCGAGCCAGAGCGAGACACGACGATGACATCCGTACGATCGTTGTTGTATTGCTCATATTCATCGACGAGCATATCATTGTCCGGAATCTATTGGAGATATATTTACGTCAGCAACAACCCGTTACATCATTGCGAAGATGTTGCAGGGGCGTTCCAACGGTTGCAAAGTCCAGGAACAGTAGGCAGCAGGCAGGAGGGCAAGGGAACTCTCGAGTCTTACGTTGTCCATGGAGGAAGATGCCTCCGCACAATGGGCCGGAAACTTCCCACTTCAATCCGCAGAGGTCTGGTATGGAAAAGGTCGCCAGGAGAGAAGACGAGAGAGGATAGAAACACGCGAGCGGTGCAGGGTTGGAATCGATGAAGAGATGGTTTTCTGAAGGAAGGAGAGTCTGGGCTGCAGATTCCAGTACCTCTCTGAGGAGACTGGAGCTAGTGGCGGAGTGTCGAAATCCAATAACAGCGGGCAGAGAGCTTCACCAGCCAGCCAGACCTAGCGCAACCATACACCCTGCTTACGTTGGCCCGTGAGAGAACTGCCTCGGATCGATGGCAAAGTCTCGCAGGAGCCGATTTTGGCCAAGACACTGTCCCTTTACGAAAGCCTGGAGTGACTAACCAGACCCCTTTGCCGAAGACATCCATTGCCTGCGATCGGGTTTCGAGTGGGGTCGCCCCTCCGCGTACGGAAGAATTCCCGCCGCTCCAGGGCGTGATATCACAGCCAGCTCTCGTGCTCTCTCTCAAAGAATGCTGGAGGCTTGAGAATGCAGAAGCCTTTAGACAGACTACAGCATATAATTCGTTGCCAAAATTTTTGGACCCCGTGGATGACCAAGGGCGATATGCAGAGACAGTCGTGCTTTGAACAGAGAGCTCCATCGCTCTGGCGTTTTGCTGTGGCGATACTGGCGCAGTAGTATTATTAACGTTACTAAGTGTCATTATATGCAAACCAAACACTTTTGACAGTATTCTGAGCCCAAGGCCTACATTGATGCGATGATATCTTGTTCCCTCGATAAAACCCACAACTTCCGCTTCCTTAGATGACGTAGCCAGACGAGTTGTTTGTCAGCATGAGACAAACTACGGTAACATATCGACAATTGACCAGACTATCCAAAGTCCGCTATTGGATCTACATGAGATCAAAAATTATCATGACTTTTATCAGACTTCTTTTCCCCTTGTCCTGCGGTTCATCATGGAAAGGGTTTTATCGCGAGTAACTACTGATTAGTAAATCGCAGTCGTTCAAGAGAGGAGCTCCATCGTGGTTCAACAGCTTACATCTCACCACAGTAAATTTTTCTTTTTGATTGTTTTCCCAGTATTTCTATTCTGGAATGAAGACGAGCTAATTTGAAGCTGTATTGTACTGTGAAGAAAAAAAAGTCTGGCTGGCGTTGCCGCACTAAGCATAAGGATGATCTTGACCGCCTCCCTTCCGGGGTCCTGACGAGTCATAAAGTTCTCTTGCTCACACGACCTCTCATGATCGCAACCAACAGCAAAGATCGCAACATGGCACAAGCAAGACAACGCCACGATCCAGTCAGATAACCGTCTGAAGAGCCATGCCCCACGACTACGGCCGTTTTCTCGCAGTGAACGTATCCCGGTTGTATTATCAGGAACGTGTCTGCGCCATTCACGAATTGCATGGCAGCACATCATGCAGCGGAGTCATTTCTCTCGATGCCTACAACGCATTAGGCTGAGATGCACAGTGGGAACTCGGGAGTACTCAATCCAATCTCACCAGCCACCTCCGTGGAGGCCTGCCGCCGTTCTAGATGAGTAGGCGTTCCGACCTCATACTGATGGGAAGAATGGATGCTGACCCTGCGACAGATGGGTGGAGCGTGAAGTTAGGCCCATCAGTTTGCGTCAATTGACTTTCTTTGGCCGCACATTGACGGAGTCGCGTCTGATTAGCTCTGCAAATTATGTCCGGACAGAGCTCCCTACGAGGTACGCCCCCTCTCTCTTACACGAGCGACAATGCCCTGACTCCACCCTGCTCGACAGAATCGCGCATCGGCTTCGGGACATGCAGAAGTTGCCATACGTTGTCGTTGCAAACCCCCACATATCCCACGTCTATGAGCTCTACTACAAGGCCTTCGAGAGGTTCAGGGTCGTTCCCGAGATCAGAACCTTGGATGACAATGACCGATATTGCGATATTTTGCGGGAGACTCTAAAAGAGCATCTGACGGTCATTCCTAATTTAGCAATGGGCGTTCTGGAATGCCAGGGACTGGTCGAGCCTGACGAGATGGACCGTTTCATGAACACCATGCTCCGCGCGGTAAGAGACGTCCCCTGATGGTGAAGCTGTTTACCAGGTCAAACTGACTGTTCCGTGAATAGAGGATCTCTCGTCGGGTTATTGCAGAACAGCATCTCGCCCTCACCGAAACTTTCAACTCGCCTTGGCATTTCCCGGATTCTATGGCGCGAACAGACCTCAATGCGGATTTCGTTGGAGAAGTGTTCCTGAAATGCAATGCGAAGGACGTAGTCGAACGATGTGGGAAGCTCGCACAGGACCTCATGAAACAGAGTTCTGGGTCAAGTCAGATCCCAGCTATCAACGTACAGGGACATCTTGGTGCCACATTCCCTTACATTCTGAGCCACCTAGAGTATATCATTGGGGAACTGTTGCGCAATTCGATACAAGCCGTGATGGAGAAATATCAGGACTCCTCCACGCCACCTCCGCCAATCGAAGTTCTCATCTGCGAAGCACCCCAGCATGTGATTATGCGGATTTCCGATCAGGGTGGAGGTATCCCACGCGAGATCTTGCCATATTTGTGGTCTTTCAGCAAAGGACCACGTACCAAAAGTCGCCTGGAGAATCTGGGACAGGTGCCCACCATGGCTGCTACCATGCAGGAATTAACAGTCCCAGTGGACCGAAAGACTGCTGACCGAGAGACGTATCGCGAGAGTTCCCTGGCGTCATTGAGTTCGCGACCTCCGAACCTTCGGCTTGGCATGGGTTTACCTATGAGCAGGGTGTATGCGGAGTACTGGGCTGGTAGCCTTGAATTGCACAGCCTCGAAGGCTACGGTGTCGATGCTTTCCTTCAGATATCAAAACTTGGCAACAAGAATGAACAGGTGACTACAAGGGCAGCGCTGGATGCTGTATGAGAGCCTATTACAGAGCAGTTCTGGAGATCGACGAAAACCCTTGTATTTCGGGTCATGGGATCCACATGGATATGAATCCTTTCGGCTGCTAGCACCAGCATTCCGTATGGTGTCCGGGTGTGCAGCTGGCCTTATACCGATTTTTTTTTCCCGACGAAGAAGTCTTCAGCGGGGACTTCGATGCTATGGAGATGGGACGCGCTGATTTTCTCCTGTATGGAAGATGCATGATATCCTGGTTCTCGGTGTCCACAAGTAGTTGTGTTGGATTGCGGCATTACGCGTCTCGAGCTGAGAACTTGGAGCAGCCTATAATTGGCCGTTCTTCAACAGAAGCTCCGGGCGCTGCTTAGCGCATGAGCTGAAGTAGCTCCTGGTTGCCTTATGTTGACGGCGGGGAATAGGATCAGGTTATCTAAAAGAGGAATATACTGTACCAATTTCTATGCCTCGTATGTTATGCTCCTATAAAGACATGACCATGCGCAAAATAAAGTAGTTTTCTGATTGTCTCCAAGATTGCACCAGGTCCGCTCTAACCGATTCTGTTATAACTTCGCGTTCAACTAAAAGCATAGCACTATATGCGCGATCGCCTGTGTCCAATTCTCTCCACCTTCCAGCATCCATACTCTGTAATGCACACTACCTGTGTACTTTTCCTCTAGACTGATGCGAGATTGAGTCACTTTGCCCTATCACAACAGGGTTGTACGTGACCTATCGTCGTATTCACTTGGAGTACGCAGGCCTTGCCACCACGACGTTCGAAAAATTTAGACGGTTCTCTTTCCGATTCGTTCAATAGCCTCTTCAGCTTGTCGCAGTGGTCTCAGTCTGGTAGGGAAAAAAAAGGACCATCAGGTATGGTTGATCTCGGGTGCTACGAGTTGCCGAGCTGAAGACAGTATCTCTGCGGCCAGCACATCGGAGATCCACAAGTCGATCTGCAGTCACGAGGGTTGAACTTGGCTGTCACTATGGGAGCTTGCTCGAGCATGGAACCGGGTTTTATCGGTGATGCCTCCATCCAATCGGTAGCAATCCATGCTACCATCTGAGCTACATCGGGGACCGTTGGCGTGCGTGAGAAAGTCTAAGCTGGCAGAATGCGACAAGCTATGCAAGGAGGGATGAAAGCTGAAGCCAAGATGCCTTCTAGCGCATTCCAACTAGAGCTACATGGAAGCTTCTGTATGGCCTATGTGCCCTCTGATCTTGCGATGGCGGCCATGGCATCCCTAGTAACGGAGCCAGATCGCTCCGGGAGCCGGGACTGGCAGACGCCAAGGACAGACACTGCGAACTCTGGTCTCCCAAATTTAAGTTAAACATCAATAGTGCTCTGTGCCTTCGCGTGATCAAATCACCACGCAGCGATCGTTCTCTTGTGCTCCTCGGTCTCACTACCGATCGCCCGTGACAGAAGACTCAATGTCTAGCTCGACCAAAGTTAATTGCTACCACAATCACCACTTTGGGCATCTGAAGATCACCACGGTCCCACACTTCTTGCTAGGTCCAACTTATCGTGAAAGCTAGAACTGGGGTGTGATATCGACCTGGCTAGTGAACAATCCAATTTCGAGGCTAAAGAATGGGCCTGTTGAATACTGCTACTGGGAGCCTCTCCAGAGGTGTCGGCGCCCAGAATGAGTTTCAGCTGAGGACCCCCTGGCCAAACAGACACTGCTAGTGGCTGAATAGCCTCTATCTTGTCGATCCAATGCTGACAGTTCGTGTCCAGATGACTGAAAGAGATACTGCAGATCGTGCAATGTCCCTAGTCTATTCACGCCCCACATGGAAGATCTGCGATCGATCGCTGGTACATCTATCAATTGATCGATTTAGGGCATTTCAGTTCAGCGGAGGGGTCCACCTGAAAGCAAGGAACGCAAAAAACTGCCCGTTCAGGCTATTTTCGAGCTCACGTAGTTTACGTTGTAGGGAAATGGTCAGGGTTTTGCACCACATACGGGTCAGCAACCTCAGCAGGCTGGTCTCAGCTCTATCTCCGACATCACTTTCAGTCCCAGGACACAACAACGCAGACTCTGGCAAATCAGATAGTCCCGGATACTGTTTCTCGGGGCATGGCACCTTGTGCAGAGAGTGTTCGAGCTTGTTCCTGCGATGAACTCATTCCTTAACGGCACTCTTGGAATTCATCAGTCCGCTTCCTCCGGCTCTTCTGTATCATCGAAGCCCTACGTTCTCGACCTGTGAACCAGTCCATCTCCAGCCCCATTGACTGGTGAAGTTCGCATCCACCGTCGCAGAACAGGAGCTCGAGAATTGGTCTAGGCCCCAGACTGACTTGTTTGGGGGACTTGCTTTGCTCGACCGCGCGGTGATCAACTCTGGGCGATATACGTATCGAAAATGGCCGCACACCACCTTTGTGGCGATGTCGTTTTCCAGGGTGAAGATCCACCAGATGAACTGAATATTCAGCCAAGCAGCTCTGCATCGCACTTTCACTTCTTGCTTACCCACCTGATCTTCGATGAAAGGCTCTCCACGAACATCCTGGATGCATTTCACCATCCTCCAGCGGATTGGTCTCATGTCGCTTTCAATGAGGCGTCCACTCAAAGTTCGTGCTGCTGTTTCCAGTCGAGTCTATTCACAAAATCATGGCCAAAGATCGTCACAAACTACGAGCTTCCTATGAAGGACGTGCCTTCCCTCTCGACCAGGTGAGGGGAAGTTCTTTGGAGGTCTCACATGCGCCTTAGTGAATGTAGCCTAGGACTATGATACATATATCCCTCAGATCTTCCCGATGTTATCGGACTCTTGAGATGCTGAGCATCGTGCGCTCTGTGTGTTCTCTACTCCAATTCACCTGTCTTGTCCAAATTTGCCTGTATTCTCCTTTCCTACTTGTTAGGTTCAAGTTTCAATCATGAATCCATATTCTGAGAAGGACCTTTTCCTGTCTGAAAACCCGGAAGTGGTTTCCTTGACCGACCTTGCACCGGTGGAGCAAGCGAAAAATGAGCCTTCTCCGTTGGAAATATTGCCAGAATCCGGGTCAAAGCTCGATGTGCAGCACACGAGCCGTGAGAGTCTTTCCGAATCCTTGGATATCCCTGACTCATCGACGGATTCTTCTGGTCGAGAAGTCCCAATTGCCATTGTTGGACTGAGCACCCGCTTTCCAGGAGGTGCTGATAGTCCAGAGAAGCTCTGGGATTTGATCTCTCAGGGGAGAAGTGCGTGGTCAGAGATTCCCTCGGAGAGATTCAACCTGGATGGTTTTTATCATCCGGTGGCCAATCGAAACGGCTCTGTACGGCTCCTTTTTATCCTCGAAACGGATGAGAAGACTAATAAGATGCGCTAGACAAATGTCCGTGGCGGCCATTTTCTTAAAGAAGATGTCGCGGTCTTCGATGCCCCGTTCTTCAACATCAGTCCAAACGAGGCCAAGGTAACAATCTTCAAGTCAAGGAATCGGATATGCGGCAGAAATTAAAAGCGTTAGGCTATGGATCCGCAGCAAAGATTGCAGTTGGAATCAGCCTATGAAGCACTTGAAAACGGTCGGTTCATTCCAACAAGACAGTGTGCGAGAGATACTTACCAAGTCATATAGCTGGCATCCCCTTGGAAGAAATAGTAGGCACCAAGACATCTGTCTACGTCGGCAATTTCACCAGGGATTACTGTGACATAACTGTACGTGATCCGGAAACTGCCCCGTTATACTTTGCTACAGGCACCGGTCAATCAATGCTGTCGAACAGACTGTCATACTTCTTCGACCTCAAGGGTCCCAGTATCACAGTCGATACAGCATGTTCTTCCAGCCTAGTCGCTTTACATCTTGCTTGCCAGAGCCTGCGAAGTGGGGAAGCAGATCAAGCAATTGTCGGAGGGACCAATTTGATCTTCAGCCCCCATATCATGACCACTATGAGCTCGTTAGGGTACGCAATGAATCTCTTTCCTTCTCACGGCTTTTTCTAAAGGAGGATCTAGATTTTTGTCCTTTGATGGAAGATCATACACATCTGACCATCGAGCATGTGGCTATGGTCGTGGGGAGGGATTCGCAACCGTGATTTTGAAACCACTTGATGCTGCTCTGCGTGACAAGAATCCAATTCGAGCAGTCATCCGTGCAACTGCCATAAACTCAGACGGTCGTACCAAAGGAATCACCCTACCTAGTCGCGAGAGCCAGGTAGAAATGATCAGATCTGCCTACGCCGACGCCGGACTCGATCCTCACGACACTGGATACTTCGAAGCTCACGGTACGGGTACACAAGCCGGTGACCCGATAGAGATGAGTGCCATCTATGAGGTTTTTGCTTCCTCACGTGCAAGGGACGATCCCCTCATCGTTGGGTCAATTAAGACCAACATCGGCCATCTCGAGGGGGCGAGTGGTCTTGCGGGCTTGATCAAGGCTGTTCTTTGCCTTGAGAAGGGCGTCATTCCGCCTAACATCAACTTCGAGAAACCAAATAACCAGATACCACTCGAAGAATGGAATCTGAAGGTGAGTCTGACTGTGCGTTGTCTTCGATAGCGCCGCTGACGTGTCAACAGATTCCAACTACACTGGAACCATGGCCACCTCGGGCTCTTCGACGAGCTTCTGTCAACAGCTTTGGATACGGTGGTACCAATGCACATGTCATTCTGGATGAGGCACGAGGTTATCTGAATAGTCTTTCCCGCAGGGCCTCCGTGCAGAGCTCAGTCATACTGCCAACTTCAACAAACGAAACAGGAAAGCATTCAGAATTTTATCGTTCCTTTGTCTTCTCAGCAAATGATGACGTTTCTAGCTCGAAATTGGTGGAGCGCATGCTTGAATACCTCAAGCTGAAGCTTCATCAGGACGAGCGTACCTTCCTGAGAGACCTTGCCTTCACCTTTTCAGAAAAGAGAACAAGACTTCCATTGAAACTTGCCGTATCTGCTTCCTCGATCTCTGAACTGGTCGGAGAACTTGAAAGGAGACCTGCTTTCCGCAAATCTTTCCAGGCGCCGAGACTCGGTTTTGTGTTCACCGGACAAGGAGCACAATGGGCAAGAATGGGTGTGGAGTTGGAGGGGATCTATGAAGCATTCGATAAGAGTCTTCTCAGTTCTGAAGCAACCTTGGAGTCTCTAGGCTGCCCATGGCGCCTTCTAGGTAAGCTATTTTTCACTTGCCTTTTGGATGTAAAGCGATCCTCTGACCCCCTATAGATGAACTTCATCGAGACGCGCATTCTAGCAGAATCAACGACCCCGAACTAAGCCAGCCGATATGCACGGCAATTCAGATTGCTCTTGTGGACTTGCTTCGTTCCTGGGGTGTCAAGCCTGCCACAGTTGTAGGCCATTCCAGTGGTGAAATCGCCGCGGCCTATGCAGCAGGCGCTTTGAGCCTCGAATCAGCCATGACTGTGGCATATTACAGAGGATTCTTGTGCTCTCAAATGGCGTCTCAAGGTACCCGACATGGCGGCATGATAGCCGTTGGCCTCTCTGCTCCCGAGACTCAGTCATTCATTTCTCAGATTGAAGGGGGCCGGCTTAATATAGCCTGTTACAACAGTCCCAAGAGTGTTACGGTCGCTGGGGATACGTGCGCGATAACCGAGTTGGAGAAGTTATTGCTCGCAAAGAAAATATTTGTCCGCCGACTGAAGGTAGACGTTGCCTACCATTCACATCACATGCAGGACGTTGCGCCAAAATATTCGGAGTTGTTGCAGAATCTCCAAGTGCAGAATTCAGATGGCGTTCAATTCTTCTCTTCTGTGACCGGTGCGCTCATGGAATGCAGCAGCCTGAAGAGTGACTACTGGGTTCGGAACATGGTCTCGCCTGTATTATTCTCCTCGGCCTTGAGGAAGATGTGTTGGGCCTCGGAGACAGGCACCCAGGACAAAGAGCCGGATGTTGATTTATTGATTGAAATTGGTCCACATGCAGCTCTTGCTGGCCCAATCAAGCAAATTCTCGACGACGCAGACTCAAAACAGGACATCACATACATATCCTGCCTTCAGCGAAAACAAAATGCGGTCAAAAGCATGCACGAGGTGGCAAACACTCTCTTTATGAATGGTTCTGCTATTGACTTCTACTCTGTCAATGATTCCGGCGCGGACGATGAGCCTCAAGTCCTGGCTAACTTACCCCCTTACCCATGGAACCATTCGACAGGCTACTGGCATGAATCCCGTATCAGCCGTGGACATCGGTTTAGACAATACGGGAGGCGTGACCTGATTGGTGCTCCAGAGGACAATTTCAACCCGCGAGAGCCTCGTTGGCGAGGTTTCCTGCGATTGTCAGAATTGCCTTGGATCAAAGACCATCAAGTCCAAGGCAAAGTCCTTTATCCTGCCGCTGGAATGCTGTCAATGGTCATAGAAGCCATGCAACAGATATCAGAAAGATCATCTGAAACATTCAAGGGACTGAGGTTCCGCGACATCAACATTGGTCAAGCTCTTGTGGTTCCCGATTCCAGTGATGGGGTCGAAACCGTCTTGAGTCTCCATCCTTCGAGTCTCCTATCATCGACAGATTCTTCAAATCCTTGGTTCGAGTTCCGCCTGTACTCTGTTGTCTCAGATGAATGGATCGAACACTGTCATGGATACGTCTCTGGCACGCCGTCATCCCAAATCGGTGAATTGGGTAACGAAGAAGCCCACCAAAAGCAAAGAGCAATCGAGGAGCTTTTCACGACTTGCAGACAGCGATGCCAGAAACACATAAACGTCAAGCATCTGTACAAAACCCTCGATCACGTTGGTCTGTCCTACGGGCCAGCATTCCAGAATTTAGCCGTGGTTTCTGCATCTGGCACGAATAATATGGCCTTGGGAACCGTGTCTATTCCAGATACGGCACAATTCATGCCACAGAATTTCGAGTTTCCGCATATTCTTCATCCTGCCACGCTTGATTCTGTTTTCCATACGATCTTCCCAGCGTTTTCGAAGGATCAAAGTGGGCTACCGCACCCATTCGTGCCGACATTCATCAAGCAAATGAAGGTCTCCACCACTGGCTTGAACATTCCTTCAAAGAAGCTGAAAGTAGCGTGCTCGGTCCTGCAGAACGACTTCCGGCAGATCGACTCGAGGATGACTGTTGTGGCAGACGAGTGCGCTGACTTTGATCCGTTGATCGAAGTAGAGGGTCTCAGATGCTCTGCCATTGCGAACATGGCATCTGAAGTTAAGTCAACTGCAGAAGATCGAAAGTTATGCTTCAGAGAGGTTTGGAGCGAGGATATCACCCTTGCCAGCCCCGCTGATATAAAGCATATCTTTCCTCCCCCTGAACACGATCAGGCTCTGTCAGAAGTCGTGGCAACTTTTGAGGCAGCGTCACTTATCTACATTCGACGGGCTCTCTTGGACCTTGGTGAACCAGATTTTGAGAAGATGAAGCCTCATTGTCGATTCCTATACCAGACACTGAGACAGGTAAGAGAAAAAGCGGAAAGGGGAGATCTGGGGCATCAAGCGCTCCACTGGCTGGCGGCATCAGAGAAAGAAGAGGAACGACATATCTCGTCTGCAAAAACTCATGGAGCAGAGGGGAAAATGCTCTGCCGCATGGGAGAGAACTTGTCGCGTATCATGCGAAACGAGACAGAAGCATTGCCGGTAATGCTAGAAGGGGACCTCCTTTACGAGCTTTACAGCACTGGGCTTGGAACAGAAAGATCCTTTGGACAACTTTCAAGCATCATTGGCAAGCTCGCACACAAGAAGCCTGACATGAACATCCTGGAGATTGGTGCCGGAACCGGTGGCGCAACCATGTCCATCCTCCGCACACTTGGTGGAGCGGAGGGCGAATATCCGCGTTTCTCCCATTTCGATTTCACTGATATTTCCCAGGGCTTCTTCGAAAAGGCCCGCGAGAAGTTTAGGCTGTGGGCGGCTCTGATGGATTTCAAGAAACTGGATATTGAGGTCGATCCGCAGAGCCAGGGTTTCGCCGCGGGCAGCTACGATCTCATCATCGCTGTGAATGTCCTCCATGCAACAAGCGAAATGAAGAAAACGTTGAAAAACGTGAGAATGTTGCTAAAGCCTGGAGGAAGACTCGTTCTGATGGAAATAACACATCCATTGCTGCGGACCATCATATTATATGGTGGACTCCCAGGGTGGTGGTCGGGTATGTAATGGCCTGCCGACATCGTCGTGAAGCAAAACTGACGGATTCAATCTAGGTGTCAATGATGGCCGCACATCTGGACCAACGATCACAGAAGATGAGTGGCATGCTTTGCTGAGAAATACGTCATTCTCTGGACTGGACATCTGTCTTCGAGATTTCCCTAACGAAGCCGATTACCTTTATAGTGTCATGGTTTCAACAGCAGTTGAGGATACGGAGAGCCGCTATCCAGATGCTGTTGTCATTGATACCTGTCAGCAAAGTTACGTGTCCGCGGAATACCTGCAGAGCTGTCTACAGATTTCGTGCGGCATTAAATCCAAACTCTGCAGTCTGGACACACCAACAGAGACGTATCATGACAAGGTCTGTATTGTTCTAGATGAACTACAGAGGCCAATTCTGCGCGGAACTGATTCTGCAAAATATGAATCCATCCGTCAGGTTATCTCTTCATCTAAGGGCGTCATATGGGTGACACGAGGCGCTACCCTCGAGTCATCGAAGCCTGAGTCCAGCCTGATTCACGGGCTCATGCGTTCTGTTCGCTCTGAGGACCAGAGCAAAAGGATTGTTACCCTTGACTTCGATTCGGAAAATGTGCTGCCAGCCAAGCAAGCAGCCGAGTCGATTCTCCGCATTTTCCAGAACTCCTTCAAGGAAGGTCAGCAGCTCGAGAGTACAGATTTGGAGTTCAGCGAACGATCCGGCCGCCTCATGATTCCTCGGATTGTTGAAGACCGAATCAGCAACGACTATGTCGCGAAAGGACCACAAGATTCGACAACAGAAATGTTGTTCTTCGAGGAGAGTGAGAGACCCCTAAAGCTGGAAATAGGAACCCCCGGCCTTCTTGACACTCTGAGGTTCATTGAAGATTCTGCGATGGCCAAGAAGCTATCTGGCGATGAAGTCGAGATAAGGGTTGAGGCTTCTGGTATCAATTTCAGCGACGTGATGGTGGCAATGGGGCAACATATCGAAAACTTCCTGGGTTGTGAATGCAGTGGCGTCCTCACAAAAGTCGGAGCGAATGTGACACATTTGAAAGTAGGAGACCGTGTGTGCACACTCGCCTTGGGCACGTTGAAAACACACGTCCGCTGCAGGGCGGACTTGGTACAACGTATGCCTGATGACATGACGTTCGAGGTTGCAGCATCGCTACCGGCTGTGTATTGCACGGCATACCTTTCGATTATCAATACCGCTCGTCTGCAGAAGAATGAAACTATCCTTATCCATGCTGCAGCTGGTGGAGTTGGTCAAGCGGCGATTATGCTTGCGCAGATGATCGGAGCGGAGATTTTCGTCACAGTTGGTACTGCGGAGAAGAAGCAGTTTATCATGCAAACTTATGGTATTCCTGAAGACCACATATTCTCCAGCAGAGATGCCTCTTTTGCCGAAGGTGTCATGAGGATGACAAACGGAAAAGGCGTTGACGTGATTCTCAATTCTCTTGCCGGAGAGCTCCTCCGCGAGTCATGGAACTGCATCGCCCAGTTTGGCAGATTTATCGAGATTGGAAAGCGTGATTTCCTCGGAAACAGCAAGCTGGAGATGGAGCCATTCATTCGCAATGTCTCATTCTCTTCCGTGGACCTGACGGGGATCTTCCGTCACAAACAGGAGCTGGGTAGCTCACTCCTCGAGAAAGTTATGGGGTTGGTTCGGAGTGGAACTATCACTCCCGTTACTCCGATTACGACGTATCCGATTTCCAAGGTTGAAGAAGCACTTCGGATGATGCAAGCTGGGAAACACCGAGGGAAGGTCGTTATCACACGTCGTTCCAAGGATCCTGTCAAGGTACGAATATATATTGACCCTAGAATTTCTGTTGTTACGTCCCTAACAGTTAAGAAAGGTGGTTTCTCAACGTTCGAAGAGTCATTCATTCAAGGAAAATGCTTCTTATATTCTTGTCGGCGGTCTTGGAGGACTGGGACGATCGATCTCGAGCTGGATGGTAGATAATGGAGCCAAGAACATCATATTTCTGTCGCGATCTGGCGCTGCAAACCCGGAGGCTGCTAGTCACGTCGACGAGCTGAGAAGGGAAGGGGTTAATGTCGTCGTATATGAATGCGATGTGTCAATTCTTTCTCAGCTGGCCAAAGTCATGGAAAGCTGCTCAGAGACATTACCTCCTATCCGAGGCATAATCCATGCTGGTATGGTTCTTCAGGTAAGTCCGAGATAAAAGCCGCTGACAGCGCCTTGCGAAAGTGGATATTAACAGAGTTCTAATAGGATTCCATTTTTGCATCAATGTCCTATGAAAGGTTCCAAGCTGCCATCCAGCCCAAAGTTACGGGATCTCTCAACCTACACATGCTGTCAATTGTCATGAATTGGGACCTGGACTTCTTCGTGATGCTTTCCTCGGCAGCCGGCATTGTGGGGAATTCCAGTCAGAGCAACTACACAGCTGGTTGCGTTTTCCAGGACGCTCTTGCGCGTCATCGCAACACCAATGGCTTGCCAGCAGTATCTCTGGACCTTGGCAGGATATTGTCCGTTGGGGCCGTGGCCATGAACCAGAACTATGCGAGCAACTTGGAACGGTGGGGCTTTACAAATATCTCCGAGAAGGAGTTTCATTCATTGCTTCAACTCGCGATCTTCGAGTCTCGTCAGACAGAAGGAACTTCCCAGATCATTACTGGTCTCGACACGCAGCGTCTCATAGCCAGTCGTACGAGCGGCGATACGAAAGACACGCCGTTGTGGTTCCGTGATCCAAGATTCAGCCATCTCCTGCAGACAGGTCAAAAGAAGGTCGCAGAAGCCATCAAAACGAACGCCGTTGCCAGTCTGCGCGAATCCATCCAGGCGTCTACGACATATCCCGATGCCATCAAGGTGATCAGCGAAGCCATTACGGCCAAGCTGGCCAAGATGCTAACGCTGCCAGCGGAGAACATCGATCCCTCCCGGTCTCCGGCAGCGTATGGTGTTGATTCCCTAGTAGCAGTGGAGCTGCGGAACTGGCTCTATCAGGAAGCAAAATACGACGTTCCCATTTTCGAAATTCTGTCCCAGTCCTCGCTGACCGCATTGGCCAAGCATGTTGCCCTGAAGTCGGACATGTTGAGCCCCGAATTGCGTGAGGAAGCAGAAAAGGATGCTCAAGAATAATTGTTTTGTATCTAGCCAGATTCAAGAGCAAATAGGTACAGAACAAAGAACGTTTGGACTTTGTAAATAAGGACCCATCTTGGAAGGCTGCTAGTACATAGACAGAAGAATACGCCACATCAGATAGTGCAGCGCCACACCATTTCTGCAATGATCTGCAGCAGTGAGGCGGTGCGGTCCAATCAGCGACGAGGTAACCCTGGAATGACGTCATACTCATTGTATGTATCGAGTATGTCATGATCACCTCCTTCCCTTTTCGAGGACATGACCTATTGTTGAGCATTACTGGCCAGTTTCCAATTGTGGCATGCTTTATGCATGTTATCGAAGGTGCAGGCACCAAAAGAAAACACCAACCGTCCAACTTCCTACCTACTATATACATTTCTTTCTATTGTTACCTCGCTTCGAACGCTCCACATCCTACCCTGCCCTCACTGTACAAGACACCAAGAGATCAACCAGTCATTCAATAAATCGACCGACCATGGAGAGCGATCTCAGTGTGATCATGCTCATTATTGTCACTATCTTCAGTGAGTACAATACACCTGTGCAATTGCGCACTTTTCTTCGTCCAACTCTTCTCGAACGTATATACAACTATGTGCTATACGTGCCGTACATACTAATTAGTGCATCCTACAGTTCCCCCTCTCGGCGTATTCCTCCTTTCCGGCTTCACTACCGATCTCCTCATCAACATCATTCTCACGATCCTGGGGTAAGTTTTCTCGCCTTCTACCTTATTCTTTTGTCGGTTAGGTGTCTATTCTTATATTCCGCTGCTAAAGACCTTCCTGGCTCCCCAGGTACTTCCCGGGCCACATCCACGCCTTCTACCTCGAATACGTCTACTTCGATCGGCGAAAGTCTGGCCCACAGGGTAATCTGGGCCGCAAGCCCGCGCCGGGCGTCTACTCGCAGAAGATCCAGAGTGGTGGCCATGGCTTTCCCGCACCCGGGTATGGGACGATGCAGTAAAAATCTGAAAGAAAACGAGCAGACAGACAGCAGGCTAACAGAAGGGGTGCACCTCGAACCGACGCCCATGCTGGTTAGCGCTGAACTCTCTGCTTGCTGCCTCGCGATGATCGTCTTCTACGAGGCCGTCACTGTGTGGGTGGTGTATAATGTGTGGAGGTTCATGGACAAAGGGGATACCCTCCGTTCGTGGGAGGCTGAGGAAATGATGATGAATTGATTGATGTGCGGGAACATGACCAGTGCGAAGGAAATTAACTCCCTGGCTTGGTTTGGAGGGATTGGGAGGTGGTTGATTCGACAATTGAGATTTTTTTTTTCTTGTACGAGCGCTTCGTGGAAGCTTCTGTCTTAGTATTGCTAATACATTGTTAATTTGACCCTAATGTTCTCTTCTTCTAAGCTTGTTTTAGCTGCTTTCTGTCATGCGTCGTTCCTAACTTACATAAATCCTGTCCACCATGACTCAAGTGAAATACTTCCTCTATAAACCACACGACCTTATTTATGGGGACTGGAAACCACGAAAGTTGTACTTTCAGTTTCTTCCTTTTTATTAAGACCAACCGAACTCCTGGCCATCGTCGATACAATCAAACCAGACTGCGACTACAGGAAAAGAACAATACATATATGCAAATTCCATATCAATTCTTCTCGCTTTACGTGGCTGTCTCAGACCTGTTACTGCCCTTCACCGCGGGAAAGTCAAACGGTTTACTCCGACCAGCCTGTCCGGCCGTCCGCGGAACGGCCCCTGTCCCGGGACTCCACCACAAGGCGCCCACCCAGGGCTGCACGTTCCAGCCGACGATGAGGGTGACGTTCTCGCGCTCGGCGATCTTGCCCGAGATGTCGGTGATCTGGTACTTTGATTTCTGGTTGCGGAGGTGCAAGATGCCTGGAGTGTCGGCTTGCTTTTTAGACGATGGTTTCTGTTGCTTCTCGTCGTTGTTGCTGTTCTTCTTGGATGTCCCCCAGCTGGTTTTACTGCTAGGGAAGAAGCGCTCCTTCAGGGCTGGGAAGGAGTAGGGAGACTTGGGCGCAGGGATGATGGTGTCCCAGATGATGGCTTCCGAGTTACGGGTGTCATTACCGGCACGAGTGGATGGTGGGTAGGAGGCGAGCACGTAGACGAAGAGCTGTTTCGTGTTCCAGTTGAACAGAGGGGATAAATCTATACGGAAATCGCGGATTAGCGGTGTTTAGTCACGCTACTTGATTAAATATACGCACCGGCGTCGAGATCGAATCGAATCTGCGCATATTCCTCCCTCTTCGTCGAGTAGTAGTGTGGACGGCCCTTGATACTGTTCGACATGTTGCGTCTGATTAGCACATTGTCCCGCAAGCTGCACAAAGCATGACCAATCGCATTGAAGGAAATCATATCAATTGACAAATAAATCAATAGGAACCATCTTAATGCAATTCACTGCTCAATGGGTGAGGGACATACACCTGCACACTCTTCAACTCCACGCTCGACGTGACATCATCTGCCGGATATAGCAGCACAGAGAGGGCAGCCAGACCAGCGACGAAAAGGGCCACCGTCGTAAAGAAGCCAAAGACGGCTTGGATGCGGTTGAGAGACGAATACATGGCAGGCGAGGACAGAAGAGAGCAGGATCAGGACACGCGCTGCGACGGGCGCGAGGACGCAGCAGGGTAGGGACGCAGCCGGAAGACGCAGTCAGTCAGGTCGGTGCGCCCTATATACTGACTGAGCTGCTGGATATTGGCAGGAAAGGAAGGTTGACGAAGGGAGGACGAAGCAATGGTTCTAGATTGCCGTGCTGGACGACGGACGTCGGAGTGCGGAGTTGAAGCCACTGTGGCCGATTGGGTGGACTCCAGGACTCTGATCCCGCGGCAGCCCCTTATCGATAAGCAAGCAGACAGAATACACCGAGCGCCCTCAGGAAAAAATGCAAAATTAATAGTTGGATAGAAAATAATAATTATACTATAGAATGAATATTAATTAGATTACTATACTAAGGTTGGATTATAGGCTATTTATATTTCTACTGCAGCGTGGTCAATATTCTTGATTAGAACGAAGACCGCATACCTTTTCCTGGGATCGGAGATGTCTAGTATCATTCAGAACCTCAGCAGTATTTTCATCACACATCTTCCAGCATTTGCAATAGATTACTCGTTTCCGGGAACACTCCCGCAGTATAAAGTGCTTCTACCACGTGATCCTCTTTGCCAAGATAAGGCTTCTGGATGTAGCAACCTCATAGAACACTGACCCCATGGCAAACATCACATCCTTTACGGAAGGACAATGTGACCAAGGGGGACGAAACTGTCCCGGAGCACTTGCACAGACATGTGCATCTTCACCGTCTATCGAGGAGCCGACAAAGTCTGAAAATTTCAGGTCATCGTTTGCGTCGAGTAGCAAGTTCTGAGAGAAGACTTTGGACTCCATTGTCGATTGCTGATGCAAGCGACGTGGTGAAGTCAATAGCTGGCTGTTGTCACAGCACAATGGTATGAGTCGCAGTTGTAGACCCTTTACCAATGTGAATTTGGAACAATTGAGCCTACTTAAATGTTGACTCACAAGCTATTTATTTATATTGGAAGCGGCTAGTGCCAAGTCATGTGATGTGACTCCCACAACATTGAGCAGTAACGTCTGTCTATGAAGTAGCTCAGTGCCGTGCAAGTTGTAGTATGTGATGAAATTCTTTTTCCCACAGTGCAAAACCTTTGTCTCATATTGGATACATGTATTGGGCGGCAGCCTGTCAGTCTTGAATTCATCTGGGGATGTCTCCCCACTCTTATCGATAAGGAGGAGCAAACGGGCCAAACACGGCATCTCACATACATTACAGAGTAGAAAGACAAAGAACATCCATCTATAAAGGGCATCTGAAACGAGACAGAACGTCATGTATGTCTTGATTACTGTGTCCTGATCTTGTTTATTTTGCGTGTTTGCATCTCGGCGGGCATATATAAATTCTATCTCGTTCCTCCCTTCACGAACATCTCTACTTATTTCATTCCATCCACAACACGCAAGTTGACAGTTCACATCTCAATTTGCCAGATCTTTGTCATTCCCAGATCTTTCTCAAACTGCAATCATCAACATGAGTGATCATACTCTCTTCTTCTACGGTATAGTATACTTTCTTTTGTTGGATTCTGAAAGGACCTGCGTCCGCTGGCGTATCTCATCTTTTGGCATCAATCTCCGGAGTTCTTCATGACTGACTATATAGGAACCCTGATGGCGCCTCAGATCCTCCATCGCGTCATCCATGGTCGCTCAGACCCTGAGCCTTGGCAGAAGGCCCTGTTGACCATCAAGCCCGCCATTCTCCACGGCTACCGCCGCCATCGCGTGCGGGGTGCTGACTATCCTGGCATCATCCCCGTGACGGCCAAGACCAGCGACGGCGGCAGTCCGAGCCAGGGAACCAACGAACCTACTACTACTACTTCCGACACTGGTCATTCCGTCCTGGGGACCCTCGTCTCGGGCCTGACGGACGGAGACATCTGGCGACTGGACAACTTCGAAGGGTCGGACTATGAGAAGCGCACGGTGAAGGTGCGCGTGCTGCGGAGTGCCGTGGGGAACGACGACGACGACGCCGAGAATTCGCCCAGCAAGGCGGAACAGAGCATCCACGACGTGCTGGACGCAGCGCGTGCGCAGCTCGCTGACGAGGGGGAAGAGGTCGAGGCGATGACGTATGTCTGGATCGGGGGAGAAGAAGCGCTCGAGGACCGTGAGTGGGATTTTGAGACCTTCAAGAGGGAGAAGATGCAGTGGTGGGTGGATGCGGATATGAGTGAGCTGTAGGCGTTACACGGTTGTTTGGACTTGTCGACTACATTGGTACAGGAACGTGGCATACTAGACAGTAATAGAATTTGATTAGAGAATGAATTTCTAATAGAAAGTACATCGATCTTGTATGAGTAAAAACAGTCACCACTTCTCCGCTGGACATCGTTCAGGCAGACATTAATGACAATAGTAGTGATAATAATAAGTACTGGAGTGACTAGAGGGATGCTACGCTCCTGTCATGAGTCTGACTATCGACCAAAATAAAAAGCTTAAAAAAAAAAACTTGCATCAAACGCACAGAGTCATGTGTCATCTACGTGTGATTCACGTCTCATCTAAGACACGTGGACGCCGCGGCGATGTGTACTGTTGACACCACGAATTGACTTCAGATTGGACCAGGGAGGACTGCAAGCAGTGGCAGTGGTTGTGTCAATGTTTGACAGAGACATACACACAAAGAGTCTGCATCGGCACAGGACGGTGCATGAAAGAGTAGCTGCTGATGGACAAGGAGATGGCCCGCGCAGAGGGAGAACGGTAAGTCATGGTATATAGAGGCTATGAAATATATATAAAGCCTCGAAGACGTTTCTTTGGCTCTTCTCCGCAAAAGTTCTTTAAGGAAGGGCGAGCACTGTGGTCGAAAAAAATGGATTTACAAGTAAATATAAATACCTCCCGTGAGCGCAATTATTTCACCATGCAAAGATATATTTATTCAGTCAGTCAGTCTATGTATGGTACGCGCATCCCTTCGAACCCAACACTGGTATCATCATCAAACTCAACAAGTACAGTACAAAATAAGTGCTGTCCGCATTCCGATGATGTTTTATGTGCAGAGATAGAGACAGTACTCAGTGTCAGTTGATATTAAAAATAGCCCACACAAACGCCGAGGATTCCCGAACACAACACATCCTGTATGGACCTGCCTTGAAACCTCAAACCGCTATGAAAACAACATGGAATCGCAGAGAATGTGGCAAACAAAAAAGGGGGAAAAAAAAGGAACGAATGTAAAGAAAGATGCTCTGCGAAACAGCCAGAGCCTGCAAAAGCGCTCCATAACGCCCCAGCTGCTGTGGCACAATGCAGTCAGTTCCTATCTTTCGGTTCGACACTAAAGCTGAAGTTCATCGGAGTCATCCTGCTCCCAGAAGCAGTAGTATCTCGATCACTCATCATTTTTATTTCTAGACTTGACCTGCTTAGGACTGCTCCGCGGGCTGTCTAGTACCGCCCCAGACCTGCTGCTTGAAGGCGGAGTCCCCGGAACCTGAACTTCAACTTTCACTCGCTTTGGCGAGGCTGTCAAGTCAAACAATTCATCAACCCACTTCTCATCGGGTGTTTTATGCCGCGCTTCGCGCGTCACCGATGACGGCGACCTTGAACTTTCTTCCTGTTTGGCCTTGACCACTTCTGGCAAGTCGGTCTCTTCTTCCACAGAACTGGTGCTTTCCCGGCGCTCAGAATGCTGAGCATCGGTGTCACCTGTACGAGACCGGCTTGTCTCATCTGGTCTATGAGATTTTGAACGCGTCTCGTGGACAGATTCAGTGACGTCAACTTCAGCTGGCATTGAAGACTTGGTCTTTTCGGAGAGCTCTCTCTCCAGCTCTTGCTCGAGTTCTCTAACCGAATCTTTCTCATGCTGTTCAGCTGACGCCTGAGCATGGCCCAGGAGAAAAGAGATTGGTTTCTCATCAACTAGCGTCTTCCCGCCACTGACTTTGTTGCGCTGGATATTCTCCTGCTCCTCTTGCAACCTGTAGAGAAAATCGCGAAGCCGACGTCGTAGAAGCCCAGATTTCAAAGGCGGCCAGTCTCTCTGTGCATTCATCTCCCTTTGCAGCGATTTTTCCACAAAGCCATCCGGATCTTGCGCAAATTTCTCGAGATACGCCAGCAAGTACAGGCCGCAGTCGGAGAAGTTGGGCTGCAAGGGTATTTCACCAGCGGTAATCCCCTTGATGTCCTTGGGATCGATTTGGAGAGATCGCTTTGACATGGCTTCCTCCAGGAGATATGCACGAAGAACTTTAATGGCAGGATACCGAGATGCACCAAGGGAATCAAAGGTGATAATGGCCGGTTGGTTAACGTCATGTTTAGAACGGCTTTTCCTCTTTTCTTTTGTTTCCTGGGCAAGGCCGTCTTTGGATTTTTCAGCTGTCTGCTCCGCTTCGTCCCGGTCAGCTGAACGGGATCCGTCTCCGGCGCGTGAGAATCTCGGAGGAGAAGAAGTCGGGTTTTCCTCTTTCTCGGGCCAGTCGTCGTCAGATTCGGGTGATTGTCCTTCAGAGACTTCCACCCGCTGTGCACCATCAGTTGGTGCCGTATCAGACAACGTCATAGAAGCAAAAGATTGGCGAGTGGTCTCTTCTGGCTCTGCTACTTCTGTTGCATTGCCAGATTCATCGACAGGAACGTTTTGAGGAGTCTCAGGGATTTCTTTTACCTCACTGGGGGATTGGGACGGAACATCTTTGCTGTCGGGGGCAGGCTCCCCAGGTTCTGCGCTCTCTTCCTTTTTCCGCAACAAACTTGACAAGTTGCAAATGATTGCAAGATACCAGTGTGCACTCTCGTTGATGGGAACGATGACGTAGTCACGGCTGAAGAGGTCCACGTTTCTCGTCCATTTCTGAACGCCCTCATAGTTGATACCACGCTTGCCCCTAGGCGTATTTGTCAAGGTCGCAAAGAAGTAGGAATTGAAAAAGTATGTCCTTTTTGAGACCTCCGGGTTGTTTCGTTCCAAGTGATCTTCAAGAAACCGAAGATAGAAGCCGATTAGATTGTCGTTCAGGAACTCTCCGTCTCGAAGACGTTCAAAGTCATGACGGTCCACTTCTGCTTTCTTCTTTCCCTCGCGAGGATATACAAGAGGTCTATCGAATGTCAATATCGACGCGGTATACTCGATTTTACTACTCACCTGGACCACTTTGGTAGAGAGTCATTTGACTTCGACTTTGGTGACGAAGCCCCATCATCGCTATCACACGTTGTCAGCAACTATAAAAAACACCTAGCACAATAGGATCTACCAACCTAATCAACGACACCAGACCACGACGCGCTTTGGAGCGGGTTTCACGGGTTTCACGGCCTTCCGAAGACGGCGAAGTAAACTTCTTGACTGAAACGGGGGTACCGGAGTCATCTTCTTTCGCAGCAGGGTGGCTGTGAGTATCTGCGGCAGGCGAGATAGATGAAGCCTGATCCCGACTAGATGAATCTGGCAAACGGCGTGGCTGCTGCTTTGCAGCGCCAGCAGGTTGAGTAGTGACAACATCGTCGTCACCCTGAAGAGAAGCTGAGAGCTTTGGTCGTTTAACGTGCTCAACTTTGGGCTCAGAAACGGAATCTGGGGAGGCCTCTGGGCTGGGACGTTTGCAACGGTTGATTTGGCGAGGTTCGGCCTTTCGCGAGTTTTCAAATATCTTGTCCATCCAACCACTTGATAGTATAAGCATGAAAGTCGTGCCTAATGAATGGAAAGAGGTTACTTACCTTTCTTTTTTCCGTATTTTCACGCCTTTCGTTTCGAGAAGATTGCAAAGGTCGAGCTTGTCTTTTTCCGACTGAAACTCGATATCTACCGTCTCATCAAAAGCCCCTTCTGTCTTAGACAATTTTAATCGGACCTTTCGACTCCCGTCCATCCCTTGAAGAGCCAGAGCGACTTTCCGCACAGGTATGGTCGCACCTTTGTCCACCTCGGTCTCACTGACTGCCGCAAGTCCAATAGTTTCATTGCTGCTATCAAAACCGACATCGAACGCCTGCTTCTCGGAAGCAACTCTCTCAACAGACCCGAAACGAAACAAAGAAGCCTCGAATAAACGGACGTGAGACTTTCCACTTGTCACTTTTCGGAGTTTGCGTTGCTTTTTCCCTTCGCTCTGACGTGAGCTAGTAAATGTCGTCGGCTTAATATCACTAGGAGATATCCGCTGTGTGCCTTTTCTAGCATCTTTCTCGGAGCGGTCAGAAGATCGAGACTCTGAAGTGTGATCTCTCCTGTAATTAACGGAGAGCGAACTGGGTGCCGGTTGGACTGTTGCCTCGCCCTGCAACTCGTCTGGACTCTCCCTCATGTCAGAAGTGCGGCGTTTGCCGTCCGTCGGGACGAATAGTTTCTGTAGACGAGGGCTCTCTTCCCCGGACCTTGCTCCAATCCCATTTGGAGAATTGCGGATTTCAACACTCTCAAAGACGGGCCGTTTTGTTCGATGACCAAGCCTCGCGGAAGCTGTCTCGTCATCAGATATTGGGCTTTGGAGATGCCGATGCTTCATATTGTGAGCGGAGGGCTCGCCTCGACCATCATCTGAAAGCAATTCCTGCTTCTTTTGTGGGCTCTGTTTGTTATTACTTCCTCGAAGAGCACTGGTCATCATTTTTTCTACCCCTCGATATTCACACACATTTTTGGACTCTGGCGGCTTCCTCCCCCTCGCTGAACTTTGGCTAGAAGCCGAAGACAGCCGATGCTGTCGCGAGGCTTCAGGTGATAGGGTGGGCGAAGAAGTTCTACGCTTCGCATCTTCATCGTCCACAAGGTTGATAACATCCCGACGTTGGCGTTTAACGGGCCTCTCGGAATCGTCGAAGTCTGAGAGATCATTCACTTGAGGACTGCGAGGAGCCGGGGAGCTTTGATCATCAACTTGCGGTTTTGATTTTCCTTGAGCGCGAACGGGGCCGCTTTCACGAGACTTGCGGGATAGAGTATCCACGGGCTTGAGCTGAGCAAACGACTACCACACAGTACATGTCAGACAAATCCCGCAGCATAGATCCAAAATGACGCGTACCTGCAATGGCTTCGCTGGCTTACTGAATGTCCTCCCCGGTATGATCGGGACCTCATCACGACTTCTCCTATATAGACAGTTGGACATGAGCGAGATGACCGTCGACAATCCAGTGTTGCTCCAAATATCACGTACTCATAATTCGGAAATAATCTGCGCTCGTCCGATGGAGCATCCACGTTTCGCCGCCTGTTCCACATCAGATCTCGAGGTGCCGTGCTATACAGGTGAAATCAGAAGGGTATCTTCCGGGGATGTTGATGCCGGCTCCACGGTGCAGCAGATTTACAGACAACCTCTGGGCGTGGAGGAACTGGGGCAAATTAGCCTGAGCTATTGACATACAGATTGGGGCTTTGGGGCATGGTCGGTAACGAGCTGGTTGAAAGTGTACCACTGTCTTTTAAGAATTAAGGCTCGGATTGCAAAGACAGTGCGATTAATGGGAGAGGGGTAAAAAGAGAGCCAAGGACTCACAAAATGCCGAATTCCTTGACTCCTGAGCGAAAAAAAGGTATCCAGAGGTAATTCAAGGAGAAGACTGCTCTTCCTCACACCGGACGTCCGCGCCGGTTGTCCCAGCTCGAAAATACCATGGGCTGCGGAAGGCTGGAGGATATCGGAGTGGGAATTTGGGTGGTCGTGGGGAGCAGTCCGACGGTAAAACAGCGGGACAGGTTGGCAGAGAGCTGCATCTATTCACCAAGATGACCATCTGGATGTCTCAATAGGCATCACTGTACCTGCATATACAATGATGTTCTCCATCGGAGAAAGAAAAGTGACACAGACACGATGATGAATGATGCGGGCTCCTGCGGCGGCAAAAGGCGGTGCGTTTCTGCCGTGGACGGCGGTCAGTTGGTGGATGGACCGTTCCGCAACGGGCAGCAATCTTTTACGCACAGAACAGTGCATTATTCACGACTAAGATACCTACTGGGGTAATCAAAACCAAAATTTCTATAAAGGGGTTACTATCAATGTGAAGCTACAATATCAGAATTGAATTATACAGCCCATAAACCATCCATGTTCATCAAACCTGGCAGCCATTGATTGCTGCCAACATGCGTAGCATTCAAATATCAAAGGAGATATAATCTGAATCATCGACTACTCTCCAGCCAATCAAGATTTTTTTTTCCATTTCCCTTTTTTTTTTCCGTCGTAGACGTCTTGCATCAAGTCAAAGAGAGAAAAGCAAACCAACATGCAAGATTCGCCCGAAGCTCCCAGAACCAGTGAAATGACGCGTACCGATAGAAAGTTACTATACAGGGCCGTATCAACCTCAAATGACCACCTTTTAATTGCTCACGACGCCGCCCCTTTTCCCTTTTCTCCTGTAGAATCATCATTGGCCGTCATTCGACGGCGATCTGCACCATGGTGGTGATGGTGGTGGTGATGGCCAGCGTTTCCAGCTGCCTTCTCCTGACGCGCTTGGTCAATAGCCGATCGCTGGGCAATGCTGTCGTCGTGGCTCTTCCACACAATGTTCGTGTCGGCCGGGAACGCCAACAGACGCTTGATAGTTTCCCTGCGGTGGCTTGTTAGCAGCGAGGCAGTAAGGTGGACTCAATTCATGTCTGATAATACCTAATTTTGATATTCCGCCCACCGTCAATTCTCGTCCAAACGCTCAAAACGTCCTCGCCGCTGCGCACACTGAGAACTGCACCGCAGATTTCATCTCCCGCTTCGGCAAATTGATCGCCGACAATTGCGAGAAGGAGATCTTCCCAGTAGCGATCGGCAACGCCCTTCTTCAGCCTGACAATCCATTTGCCGCCCTTCTTGTTTGCCTCATCTTCCCAGACCGGACGGATGCCTTTCTTGAAGATGTGGTAGTCGGAAACGGTAGGAAGAAGAGAAGGTCGCTTCAGATGGGAGTAGATAGTCCAGAAATTCTCCACGGAGGATATGGACGCGAGCGCAATCGTGGACTTCTCGTAATCGGAATACTTGGGAGTCGGTGGGCGATACCAGAGAACCCACGTCGTCTTCAGAGGATGTTCCTTGGGAGCAGGGGCAGGAGCGGCATTCAGGGAGGTGGAAGAGGCTTTCGATTTAACGTTGTCTGCGGTCGACGACTCTTGCTCGCTGGAGGAATCGCGCTTATCTCCGGACCCTTTTGACGACCCTACGTCAGATGTGTTCCCGGAGTTCTTCGAGGTCTTTGAAGCCGACCCAAAGGAGGCGAAGGCACCCGAGCCCAGGCCAAATGCGTTCGAAGCGCTGGAAGAAGGCGAGGAGACACCGGCGGAGAGAGGAGAAATGGCGTTGAAAGGGTTGGAGCGGCCGTGGGAGCTGTCGGGCCCAAAGCGCTTCGTTGAATGACTGCGGGGAAGATCAAGTTTGGCGCCGCCCTCCTTGTCACTTCCAGACGTAGATAGCGACAGCTTGCTTGAGCTGGCTCCGCCATTAGAGTCAGTCGCGGGTCTCCGTGCAGGGAATCGTGGTGCTTTGCATAGACGACACTTACTTGGATCTCCGGGTCCACAGATTCGCGTTATCCATCGAGGAAGCGGCAACGACAGCTCAGAAACAGTGAGCGGTCATCAGACATGCAATGTGTGATACAGAGCGTGCAAAGGAAGTCGGCTGAAAAAGAGACAATTGACGGTCACCAAGCGCAAGCAAGGGGTCGGGACAAAGAAGCACTAGACTAAGGCACCAAGCGGAAGAAGGCAGCGGCGAGGAAGACGTCTTTTTGCAGGATGGATGGACTGGAGGCTGAGGGCAGAAACGTGATCCGTCTTGGACGCTTCCTCTACCCTCAAGCTTTGCCGGCGACCAGCCAATCGCGCGACCGTGCCGCCAGCGCAAGCCCACCGCCACAGGCTCCACCGCCTCGCTCTTTTTTCCTGCCGGCCGATTCAGGCACCTCTCTTCCCTTCCTCTCACAACAAACCCAACCAAGACCACCAACTCAAATCATCGCCAGAGGCTCCCAATCCCTCCCAAGCGCTGGCGATTCCGATGTGTGTGTCGAGATTAATTGGATTTGTTCCAAACTCCGCATCTAAAACCATCATCACGAGGGCTCTCGTAGCTACCATGATGCGGTGATGACCTGAGTGACGGGACATTTTTTTTGATCTCAAAATCTTCGTTCATCTTCTTGCAGGATTGCGTGGTGTTGTTTGAGAATGAATTTCATCTCATGGTATGTCAGCTCTCCGTGTGTCCACGCAGTGTTCCAAATGAAGAGATCCAAGAGCTCTGGTAATCCGAGTCGCTCAACCGCACCTGACTCTTGCTTTTGCGAGACCGCTGGTTGAGCCTGACGTCCAAAGGCAAAGTCTGATCATTGTTTTGTGTCCAAGCGTTATCGTTGATCTCTTTACCATATGGGCGATGGCTAACGTTGGCGACTGAGTAGTGTTGTAAGAAGTGCGCCTGCTTCCCTGTTCCTTCCATGCTTCGAAGACATTCTTGTAGTGTCGCCCAGTCTGTTAGGAGATTTTAAAAATATACGGGTGCTTTGCTACACTATAACGATCGCAAAGTAGAGGATAATTAAATGTGTGGGGTTTCGTTCCAAGATAAGGAAACCCTCGATTTTTGGTATTTGTACAGATGTGCACCCAAGGGCACCCTAGACTATCTCGTTATTGTACATTATCGAGAGGATTTATTCAAAGCTTTGTAAGAAATTAGCTCCACACGCTAGTCGGTCTCGAAGGAATGCGCATACACCGTCCCATCCCGGAGTTCGTGTATGCTGTCTCTGTCAGAGGGTGATCCAACCTCTGGATACTTTCGCCCATCTCTCAGTTCATGGATCGTGATTCGCCGATGATACCTTTTCCCTCGCCGTGAGCGTTGTACAGAAGACGAACCGCGTAGTGAGGAATCGATGCTACCGACCTCGCTAGGGGCGACACTAGAGGAAGACTCCTCCATGATGCCTCGATCGATAGACGACTGCAACATGTAATCCGCGACCATGGCAGCCCCATCCTTGCAATACCAATTCTGCAGATCCGCCACGTAGGTGCGCTCCTCAGGACCATACTCCACTGGCGGGCCTGTCACACGAGGCTCTTCAGCGTCACCGTGGAATACCGCCCACGCGCTGCTATCAGTGCTGAGAAGCATCATGGAGTGGTTAAAGCTCTGAACCTTGAAGTTGCGAAGCAGGATCACGTCACCTTCCGAGACGGCAGGAAGTGCAGTCTTGTTAGTTCTGAAAATTTGCGCAGGAAGCGTCGTACCAGCCATGGACGGATCAGTGAGCCGCAGCGTCAGATAGTAATCTCGAGGACCAGAGGTAGCACGCGCTACGGGGGAGACTTCAACAGCGACGGAGATGGTGTCGGTCATAGAATTAAACCAATCAACAAGAGTAGCAAGCGGAGCAAAATACGACACCCGACTACGCAACCCTGTGGCACGACGGTTTGGCTGAGGAAGGCCCTTGAGGGCTTCAGGACTCGCCCTTTCAGTGTCCACACTTTCGCGGGTAGAGTCTTCATCGACCTGGACGGCTTCATCAACGTTGTCTTGCGCAGCATCGACATCACCAATGTTGCCATCTTCTCTGTTTCCTGCAGGGTGGGTGTGAATGTCTTCAGCGCGCTGCTGTGGTGACGGCGAGTAGCTAGGACCGTCTGTCCAACGGGGTCGAGATGGGCTAGCTGTAGTGTGCCGTTCGAGAGGCTCAATCTTATCAGGCGCATGTTCGGCGTGGGATGACGGACCGGCTAGTGGTTCCTGTGAGCGAGGATGCGTCTCAGCATCCTGCGTCGCCTGCGGTGTTGGTATCCATGTCCCGGAAGCAGTTTGGTGCGTCGATGTCCGATTAACTTGATCCAACTGGGTAGGCTCCGGGCTGATGAGTTGCTGGCCCGATTCTAGATGGGATACGCTATGGGTCTTATCCTTTGAATCCTCGGTAGCTTGATATGTCGACATTGCCTCTTCGTCTGAAGGGGCCTGGTTTGTATCATGAAACACATCCTGAGATGCCTCCGGAGGGCGTTGCTCGTCTCTAGTTTGCTCGGGACCCGAAAGACGTTCATTAACACCAAAACTTGATTGCGTGCCAAGTAGCTCGGGGTGTATCGCGGCCTCTAAGGACTCCGTGGCCACAGCCTGTGCTTGACTTTTCCCATCCTCATTTTCGGGAGGGATATAATTGTCGCCGTCTTGAGAAACATGGTCGTCTGTGACTGGCATGCTTTCCTCGACAAGCTCGTCCTCTTCTTCATCTGAACGGGGCTCTGCGTCGGAACTAGCATCCACCTCCGAAGTTACCGTTTCTTCCTGTTGTCCATAGTCATCAGACAGTTCCTGTTCGGCCTCGCTTTCAGCCACTTCTTCGTCCTCAGAATCGGACTCCTCCGTAGACCGATAATCCGACTCCTGTTGCATCGCACGCGGTGAACTAAGTCGGATATCTTCGCTAGGTTGGTTCGGTTGGACGTCCTGACGCGCTTGTGCAGGCGGAGGAGCCGGCTCCTCATCGCTGTCACTATCTATGACAATAACTTCTGGGTGCACAGTCCTCTGGGGTTGTTGCTGTTGTTGAGGTCTCACAACGTCGCCCTCGTCCTCCTGGTCAGATTCAGCCTCGGACACATCTTCCTCCGACTCGTACTCGTCTTCAGACACGTCTTCGTCATATTGCTCTTCATGTTCGTCATCTTCGTCTTCGTCATATTCGCTGGCATCAGTGACATCGTAAGTCTCCCTCGGCACATTCCCTAACTGATCACTTCTATCGTCTTCATCACTTTCTTCGTCGAGCTCCGCTTGCTTTTCGACATTGATTGCGCTGGTCTCAGCGTCGTTCGCCTCCGAAGTCTCATCTGAAACGATGGAGATTACTTCATTTTCTTGGTGTTTTTCATCCATCGCTTCTTCCTGTTCGGCGTCCGCCTCGTCGCCTACTTCGTGTTCGTCATCTTCGAGCTCTTCTAGCTCCTCTTCTTCCTCTTCCCCTTCCTCCTCCTCTTCGTCCTCGTCGTCCGCCTCCCTTTGTTCCTCCACCTCTACCTCGTCCCTTTCTTCTTGGTCTTCATCCCCGGAAATACTAGTGGTGTCAGGCTGAACAACTTCAACGTCAGTTAATTTTGTCTGATCCTCATTAGACCGTACGGTTGTGAAATTGGTCTCGGAATCTCCCTGAGATGGGACAGTCTGTGAGACTGATGACCGGTCAACGTTCATCGCTGTAAAGCCAGACACTTGTGAAACGAATTCGAATTGAGACTCAGGCGGCACAGCTTGTTGGACATCGACAGCCATCTCCTCTGCTCTATTGTCACTCATTTCGACATTCTTTGAATGATCATCTTCGTTAGGTGGATGCTCCTCAACCTCCGGGGCAACAGCCATCTCCGTTGCCTGCAGATCATTGCTCGTATCCTCTGGTACGAGAGCATTCGGATGATCTTGTTGTGCGGAAGAAGGCCCAAGGGAATGTCCAACAGCAGAGGTCGATGTCGATACTATCGGTGAGGGTGTAGGGAGGCGGTCTCCGCGGTCTGCAGAATATTCCGAATGATCTTCTAGGGACGATATGACCTGAATAGGGACAGAAGGAGGATGTTCTGGTTGGGGGGCATTTGGTGCGGCCTGCTCTACCGGATGTGGAGATTTGGCATCGCCGACCGACTCAGCGGGAAGATTATCAGAGACATCCGCTTGAACATTCTCATCGATAGAGATGAGGGCGACCGGTTCTTTTTCCGCAGTGGCGGCGCCAGTTATCCTTTCATCTTCCGTCATGT